GGGACTGCCGAGCCAAGACCCTCCTTCAAAGGTTCCCCCACTAGATATGCCCGGCCTATGACCGATCTGGCCTGGGCAGACCATCAAAGCGCGCCGAGCATCAGTCTTTGCCTCCCTCTTCGCCGTTTCGAACCAGGCGAGTGGGAGACCCGAAAGCAGGATAGAAAGAAAGGAATCCGGCTGTGGCGTTCCTTGGCTTGTGGTGGGTGTCTGGGGTGGTATCGTGAGACAGAGACTACATGGGAGGTCGCACCACCGAGACGAATCCCATCCATCCATCGCGTCCTCAAATGTCATGTATTATGTAGCATCTATCTATGCAAGACGCCCGTTGCAGCGGCTCGAGACCATTCAGCCGGGCTCTCTCTCCATGCCTTATCAGTCGTGCGATCCGCGAGCTGATCTGGTGGAATTTTGCCGCCAGGCGAGTCTCATCCGTCCCCCTCGAAGGGGAAAGGATGGGCGGTGATGCGATACCACGGAATTCTTCTCGACCTTTTCTTGGCTCGCATGCTTGGGGGGAGCCGTACTTCCGGGTTGGCGCAGATGGATGGCATCAGGGAGGGGGTCCTTTGGGTAAGGTAGGGCATAAGCAATCGCAGGAAGAATGTGGTTTCACAAGCCAAGGAAAAGGAAATCACGATGGTGATGACATCGCAGGACGTGTGGCGCTACCGGCCGAGTCGCAGAGGAAGGCGGTCGCTTGATTCCACCTAGCGCTGGGTAATATTCCTTGCATGCTTATTCTACGGACCGCGTCCACTATGTAGGTGCTTTTACTAGCCCTTCCAGTCTCGTGCCACTGAAGGGATTCAAGCAGCCAGGCCCCGGGGGAAAGACGGCATTGGTGGATACTGGGTGCATGATGGAGAGATATGGTGGGAGATACGGTGGGAGATAGGGTGGGAGATGGAGGAGGGGCGGGTACACTGAGCCTCTGCATGCAAAAGAGGCAGGGCTTTTTGTCCCAGTCCCACCCCGGCCACAGAGGCGGCTGCTCGACTATGTGATGTTACTCTGTGCCATGTACGGGCATGGGGCCTGGGCGACGGACCAGCAGTGCTGCATACAGAGTGCGGCAGTTGGTGTCGCGGCCAGCCAGACGGTCCCGAGCAGTTTCGGGGCACGAAGCGTCTCCTCTCCTCCCAGCAAGTCGAGGATGATGACTGTCATCGCAGTGATAATGGACGACCGCAGGCAATAGAGCCTCACAGACTCACAGACCAGACTCCAACCAGGATCATTTGCGCCCGCCAATGGCAGGATCCTGTAGCCATGTACATATTCTCCGTCTCGGGCATGGGCCTCGCAAAAACAGTTGGCATAACGGATCGCCTGTCGCGTGGAGGTGGGCCCTGCTTGGTAGTCAATTTTGAGCAGGTCCCTTTGGACAATCTGCTTTGTCTGGTTAGTCCAGCGGCATGAAGGATGGGGTTGTGTTGCACAAATATGGACGCACTTTTGAACCCTGAGTCGATTGGCCCCCTCAACTCCCTCCTCTGGAATGGCAATTGACCAACAGACAGATGGAAGGGCCCTGATACCCATCCCGGTTTAGGAAGTCGTCCGCTCTCTTTGGCAGGCCATTGGGTGGTTCCGTTCCGCGCCACTATCAACACTCGAGCGTCGTTGCGGGCGAGGCAGAAACATCTTGCGGCACCCTTGAGATAAGTGGATGCAACAACAAAGGTTCCCCTCGGCTGTGGCCATCCCATCTTTATTGATTGTTCTTGCTTTCCTGATTGAGCCCTCCACCAGGAGACGAAACGTAGCGGTATCTCGCCTCGGGTGCCGCCGATTGGCCACATTCACCCTCTCCCCTCCTCCCAGGATAATGGACATGGCGTGGCATCGCATCGCATGGCACGTTAGCCCCGGTCGCACGAAATGGGCGAGTTGCCAGAGGTCCTCCCTTGGTGCTTTAACGTTGCAACGCAGAAATATTTAATCTGTTTGATGCCCCGGTGGTCTGGGAGAGTCGGACGAAGAAGCGAGTGCTTTGCATCTGAGCCCATTCCGACCGTTTGCTGCCTGCATTTTCTGCACGCACAACCAGCTCGCCAATCATGGAACCCAGAATCGTTGAGGCTCAGCCAGAGCCTGCCATCGTCGGTGACGAGAAGGCACCCTCTGTTACCGCCAAGTCTGACAGCTCCGAGGAGAGCACCGACGAGATCACCGATCTCTTCGTCAGCTTCCCGCCCATCAAGGGTCGAGAGCCCGAGAAGAACCCTCTGACCGTCCGTGCCGTCCTCATTGGTGTCGTTCTCGGATCGCTTGTCAACGCCTCCAATGTCTATCTCGGTGAGTCCCAAGCCAGGCCTGACAAGGACGCAGCATACTGACTCGGGAACAGGTTTGAAGACTGGTTTCACCTTCAGTGCCAACATGTTTGGTGCCATTTTCGGGTACGCCATCGCGACATCTTCCTCCTGATAGTTTCCTTCTTGCTGACCTCTTCGCAGATATGGCTTCGTTATCCTCCTCTGCAAGATCTTCCCGCACGTCCCCTATCTCGGCCAGTCCTTCGGTCCCCAGGAAAACTCCATCATCCAGGCCTCCGCCAGTGGTGCCGGTGGTCTCTCCGGCATGTTCGTCGCCGGTCTGCCTGCCATGTACCAGCTTGGCCTGCTCTCCGACGACCCCAAGAAGGACTTTGGCCGCACTCTGGCCATGACCTTTGTCTGCGGTTTCTTCGGTTTCTTCGCCGCCGTGCCCCTCCGAAAGTTCTTCATCATCAACGCCTCCCGTGAGCTGAACCTCGTCTTCCCCACCCCCGTCGCCGCCGCCATGGCCATTCGCTCCATGCACGCTGTCGGCAGCGGTGCCACCGACGCTATCAAGAAGATCAAGGCCCTCGGCTATGCCTTCATCGGCGCTCTCGTCCACATCGTCGTTTCTCAGTACGCCGACGGCATCCTCCACAACTGGCACATCTTCAACTGGTTCTACATCTGGAGTGGATACTCGAACTGGGCCCTGAACATTGACAACTGGGGGTAAGTTGACGCTCTCTTCCTCTTAACCCAGCATCCAACATGAATGTCCGTCTGCTAACAAAAGAGAATAGTTGGTACATTCAGCTCACCCCCGCCTTCTTCGGTTCCGGTATCCTCGTCGGTCTCAATGCTTCCCTCTCGTGGTTCTTCGGCACAGTGTTTGCCTGGGGATTCGTCGGCCCTCTGCTGATCAAGTACGGCGAGGCTGTTGGTACAAGAAGCGCCAAGAATGTGGGCACCATCTGGGAGGAGAAGACAAGCTTCAGCTCCATGACCGTCAAGTCAGAAGACTGGGTCCCATCTCCTCGCTACTGGTTCCTCTGGCCCGGCGTGATGGTCCTCATCGTCTACAGCCTGGTCGAGTTCGTTCTGCAGTTCCGCGTCGTCGCCGGAGGTTTCATGTACGCCTTCCGCGAGACCGCTGCCAGCATCAACCAGCGCCTCCAGGCCCGCGGCAAGAACAACACCTTCCTTGAGAAGCAGGCCGCCAAGCTTGCCGGTATGACCGACCTTGTTGAGGACTTTGCTCCCAAGGACCAGCAGGTCCCCGGCTGGGTCTGGGTTGCCGGAACCACCATCATGGCTGCCGTCGCCATGATTGTCTGCCACGTGCGCTTCGAGATGAACGCCGGCCTTGGTCTCCTCGCCTGCGTCCTTGGTCTCATCTTCGCCTTCCTCAGTATCTACGGATCCGCTGTCACCGACTGCGCACCCTACACCGCCTCCACCAAGGCTTCCCAGCTCGTCTTCGGTGGTATCACCAAGAACTCTGGCCTCAGTATCTCCCAGGCCCAGCGAATCAACCTTACGGCCGGTAACATCGCCGCCGGTACTGCCGACATCTCCAACACCCTGGTCAGTGACTTCCGCGTCGGTTTCCTCCTCCGCACCCCTCCCAACCTGCAGTTCTACGCCCAGGGACTCGGCGCCCTTGTCTCAATCTTCCTCGCCCCCGGTATCTTCGTACTCTTCATGTCGGCTTACCCCTGCGTGTGGGATCCGAATGTATCCGAGGAGGTTGCTGCCAAGTGCCCCTTCCTGGCCCCCTCCGTCACCGCCTGGAAGGCCGTCGCCGAGGCCGTCACCCTGCCCAGCCTGCCCATCACCAAGTCCTGCGGCATCTTCACCATCTGCATGGGTGTCCTGTGCGCCATCCAGGCCGTCGTCAAGACCTTCTGGCTGGTCGGCGAGCGCGAGAAGTACCGCGAGTACCTCCCCAACTGGATGTCCGTCGGTGTCGCCTGGGTTCTTGGCCCCGACTCCGGATATGGTGCGTATTTCCCGAACCGATTAATTAGTTTTTGATCTTTTGCTGACTTGTTTTATAGCCAATGCCATCATGTTCGGCAGTGTTACCGCCTGGTGGTGGAAGAAGTACTTCCCCCGTGGCTTCGACATCTACGCCTACTCGGTTGCCGCTGGTCTTATTGCTGGTGAGGGTCTGGCGGGTGTTATCAATGCCGCCCTTGAGTTGGGTGAGGTCTCTGGATCGTACTTTGGAACGACCATCGCCCTGCCTGGTTATTAATCAATGAAGTTGAGGTGGTGATGATGATGATGACGGTGGTGGTGCTGGAGGTCGATGACTAAGCTTCAAGATATCCCGTGACTCGGCCTTAGTGGTTGATGTAGTCAATAATTAGTGCAGTGCAGTACATAATGAATGATACCAAATTTATTTAATGCAATATCTTTTGTAAAATCTTTCTAAGTCAACGTTTGAGCGCTGTCGAATTGTTCCAGCTCTGGTCTGGCGATCATCGACTGGCGATCATCGACAAGCGAACCACCTGCAGGCATCAATAACAGTGCCCGATTAGGCCGCCGTGTCTCATCAAAATGTCAGAACTTTGGGCACAAGGCGTCCATTCCAAAACAGCTCCTTTCTGCACCCAACACTCATCAGTGACTATTCTAAATTTCCCTACTTCAATCCCCCGACCAGGCTAGAGCCCGCGCGACATTGATATCAATTGAAAATAAACCCCCCCTCATCCCAGAATGACTGCAATCAACGGGAGCAGCTCTGCCCCTCTCGGGGACCAGGCGGAGAAGGATACTTATCATCTGATTGAGCCTCGATTCCCGCAGAAGAGGGATGAATATAAACCGTCTCTGAATAGCCTGGGAATGGAGCTGATCCTGATGATTTTCAAAATCGTCCACCGCGAGAGTCCGGAGTCAGTCAAGAGCCTGTCGCTGGTCAGCTCCCACTACCACCACGCAGCACGCTACTGCCAGAATCAGAAGATTCACCTTCGCATTTCAGGGGAGAAGAAGGATGCGCTCCAAAGGCGTCTGGCCTACATAGAGAAAGGCGGTTTCCTGCCTGCCATCCGGCACATCAACGTCCGGGGCGTCGAGGACGACCTTGAAAATCTCGAGGCCGTGGCGCAGTTCCTGCAGAAGGCCGCCGGGCTGAGGGATCTGGACTGGGTGAACAAGGGAGCGCCCGACTCCTCGGTCGGCGTGCCTGAGCAGGTCCTCGCTGCTCTCCAGTCCAGAAGCACCGTACGCCTCCACACGGATGTCGTTCTGAACTACCACCGTCTGCCTACTAATGAGGAGCCTCCTACATACAGGGCGCCGCTTGCAAGAGGAAGTGAGAATCTGCGTTCGCTTAGAATGTGCTTCACCTACGTCGGTGTGGATCGCTGTCTTGAGATGGTTCGGAATGTGAAGGGCATACTCTTGTCAAGCCCCAACGTCCGGAAGCTCGTCGTTGACTATGGTCGACCAGATGGAGGGTGTGTCTCTTACGGGCCACCAAAAGAATATACTGGGTTCGGATTTGTTGATGGACAGCGTCTTCCAGCGCTCGAAGAGCTTAAAGTGGGCTCGTACAGCTTTGGGTCGATCACATCGGAAGCCGAAGATATGTTTTTCCCGATGCATGTTGGCTACCCAGGGAAAGGTAGAGAGGAAGACTACTGGGCCGAGACTTTCGACTGGTCTCGGCTACGGAAGCTAGAGACTAAGCAGGAGGTGTTTGCGCTGCAGGTCGCTCCAAAGCTGTCCGCGCTCGAAGAGGCATCATTTGGCGGGAGCAGCGATCCAAAAAAAGTCCGAGAGTTCTATGACACGGTCCCCAATCCCCTGAGCTTCATCGACATCCAACAGTTTGATGCTCTGGGCGTTGACGGAATTATCAGACACGCGTCCAAGCTCACACGCCTTCGTATTCATCAAAGACAGTTACGCGACTGGTCAGAACATACGATCGACGCGCGATCTCTACTTGAAATCCAGAAGGCATGCCCTCTCATTGAAGAGCTCGTTCTCGACATCAAGAGGGAGGGCGACTGGCCGTACGAAATCCTGGACATCCTGGCTGGGTTCAGGAACCTTCGACGTTTGACTCTATGGTTTGAGCTAGGTTGGGTAGGCCACGAGCCGTTCGATGCCGTCCAGCCCGTTGTCAATTACTTTGGTGTTGAGACGCTTTTAACCCATATCAACTCAACACGCCCATCGAACTCCAAGCCGCTGAAGGAGATGAAGGTCTACTGCGGCTGTCCGCGGCCTATCAAGGGATATCCCTCGCAGCAAGGACTTTGGCCGCGCCGCAATACATCTAGCTACATCTGCCAGCTCTCTGAGCGAGACGACCAAGCAGCGAGTGGCGTGTTTCACATAACCTGTCCTGGATTGACCGATGATGAGAATATGCTGCTTTCAAAGACGGGAAAAGGAAACGTGAAGGTGCCTGCAAAGCCGAGCAGGGGTCTGACAGTCGCATTAAATGGGCCGATTCCGTTTGCTAGCAGGAGAAGGTCTTGATGTGGAAAATGAAGGTGTGGTAGCTAGCTCGATGGGTTTTTTCTTGATACCTGTCCATTCTTGAGGAGGCAAACTGGAATAGCTGAGATTGGTGTGCGTGTGCTTCATGAAATTCAAAGGATCTATTATTCACATACTGCTATGATATCTATCCATCTAATGCTGAAGTTGGGGAAGTAAGCTGCACCCGAGAGTTTACACTGTAAACTCTTCCAAGCTTTGCGCTATGACATGTATATTGAGATGATGGTCTCCATTCTTGTAGATCCACCCCATTATCACCTCCCAATTGTTCTCACCAGTTTGAACCAAATTCAAATTATTAGTTTCAGCCGAATAATTGCAGGAACAGATTTACCAACCAGCAAAGTAATGTATAAAGCTCTGCATCTCCCTAACGATACCGTGAGTTGGGATCCCATCTAATTATGGATTGGAAAGCTAGCTGAAAGCGAAAGAAGTAGCTGCATGAACAAAAATCCTCAAATTCTGCTGATGAATGCACGGTTTATGCGGAGTTGCTTGACCCGAACCGAATCTGTCGCCATCTAGCTTTAAGAATTAGATAGTAGTGTTCTCAGTCATCAGTCATCAGAAGCGAGTTTGGCCGAGTGGTTAAGGCGTTGTGTTTAGGCTTACTAGTCTCTGACTGGTTAATTGTCATCCGCAATGTGCATCGCACGCGTAGGTTCGATCCCTACAGCTCGCATCTCTTTTTTTTTTCCTTTTCAGGCCATGTTGAGCTTGCAAGTGGAGAGGCAATTCAGGGGAACTTGATTTTATTTGTTTATTTATTTTTCTTTCATGTTCATATATTCTTTCTTTCGCATCTTCAATATTTTAGTCACAAGCGGCTAGTGGTAGACTCTCCTTTCCCATATGGGAGGGCGTGCACTAGCAGTATCCCATATTATTCTGTTCTTTTTGTCGAGTGTGCACCCTTCATCTGTGATTGAGATGACCTTGCTTGTCTGTGCAATCTCTCGCTTTGACACACCGGCGGCATCTTCTGGAATCCAGAGCAGAGGGACAGCGCTTGATACGGATGGAGGCCAGTAGGGACTGTGAGATGAGGAGCTGCCAGACGATTCCTCGGGGATGTGGACTTCAAAGATGTTGTTGTGAATCATCAACTTGCGCAGCGTCCAGTAGTCTGAGAACTCCCAGGGCTTGAGGAACTTGACGAAAAAGGACCCGCCCTGCTTTTGGACCTTCTTGTCACTGGGGTATGAGCTGATCTTTTTTGGTTTGGGGCGTGTTCGATTTGTCAATGTCTGACTGGTGCGGCCTTCATTTAACTTTAGGCCTTCTTCAGTAGCGAATGAATGGTCTCGCTTGGCCTTCTCTTCCTCTGATTGCAATGTGCGAGGCAAATTATACAGTAAAGGGTCCAGAGCCCGGCCAAGAGAGATTTGGTAGAGAATCGAGAACACAAGGAGGGCGATAATGAGTCCGGCCTGCGCAAAGGCTTTGCTGACGAGGAACATGCCGACGAGGCAGACTTCGGCAAGATAGATACCAGCAAACAACTGCTTGAGAGCCTTTGGGTACATTAATCCGCGAGTGTCCACCTCAACGGAGGCAACAAACAGCACATTATATCTGTATGACTGATAAAAAATCCCGATACCGAGAGTCGACCAGAGAAGTAGAAAAGGAGCGATGACAGCATAAGTGATACCTAGTCGTTAATAATTAATGTTACTGGGTTTTAGTATGCTATTGTAAATGATTCTCAACTTACTGATTACGACTATGCCAGTGTAAATGGGTAAAGTACCACCCCATGAAATTGGCGTGAGCGTTGTCCACTTCTTATACATAGAGCGAGGCGTCCGTAAGAAAAGCCGATAGATTAGATTGAACACCAAGCACCCGACCACTTGGGTCGTGACATCGACCGCAATGGCGAGACCCTCGACAATAAAATATGCCATGTAGAAGTTGGAGGATGTTGGGAGCGCCTCAGCCAACACACTGAAGACTCGGGTTGGACTTTGCACAATCTGGATGATGGCCGTCGCCGCTGTATCGGTGATGGTTCGTATCAGGAACACCTGAACCAGCTGGAACATGAAGAAGCCGCTCTGAGTGAACAACTCAATCTCGGCGCGTGAGACTAGACCAGAGAAACGGGCGCAGAAGCGCAGGATGCCTGGCACCCGTGACATAATATACGCAAGGGCAGCAGAAGGTAAAAGACCAGAGATGACACCAAGAATTTTCTGAAAGAATCTTGACGTTAGAAATGGTTAATGAGAGCGTATGGGAAGCACTGACGTCTGGTATATCCTTGATCCATGTCAAGCCCGGCAGTGATTGAAGAACATTGACTTGCGCAATGATACCAAATATACCGACGGGGATCGCCCACCATAAGATTAACGCAGCGATAAAAGCATACACGATATACTCGCGGATAAGGATCTGCCACCACGGAATAGTCATATTACTCCATATGATTTCGTCAGGTCGAATGCCAATGTACTTTGGTGCCATAGACAACGCATGGTGGTGCGTGACGACTTGGAAGGCTGTCTCAGCGTCCGATTGTTTCTGGAATTCAACAAAGACGGCGGGGATCTTCTTGAAATTTCCATCTCGCCACATCTCCTGAGCAGCTTCCGACAAAGGAATTAGTGTTTCTAATTTAGATCGACACCAATCTATTGTATCAACTTTTTTTCCGAGCAGGCCCATGGGACCAAGACGGTGAGATGGACGCAGCCCCTTGATATGCTCAGAAAATGTATCTTGTCCTTCTTGGTCGTGGTCTTGGTAGGAGTTAGATATAGATCCAGCGGATTTCTTGGACATTTTTGTGCGGTGCTTGTTCACTCTCTTGATCAATTCGACCTCGCTCCTTTCGAGCATCATCGCCACTTGGTCCCGTCTCTGCACAAGCTTGTCAAGGCTCCGTGAATCCCCACCGAGCCAAACGTTCCTCACCACATCGCTGCCAAAGATCTCACGAATTCGTGCCTCATTAAGATACTCGTCGGGAACACATGTAAATAACACTGTTCGCGACGATGGCCGGCTAGTTGACTGGTCATTCAAAAGGTACGCTTGGCGGATGTTGATATAGAAGATGCATTCTCGTGTGATCATGTACATGACAAACCCGTAAACAAGCCAGGCAAGCAGCGCATGAGCGAACAAACGGTTTTTGTTCGTCTCGATGTCAATGTTACTGTAGGAAATGACCTCCAGTTGGGATTTGCCGTTACCGCCCGTGGCGTGTATGGGAAGCAGGATAGGCCAAGTTATGCACATGGAAACGAAGCAGATGGTGGTACAGACGCGAAGATAGCGAAGGAAGAGATAAGCGTCTAAGCTTTGGTGCTTGAGAGCGTAGACATCAGGGATCTTTGAGAAGGTGTTGATCCAGCTGAAGAGGCCGTCTGGCAGCTCGGGGTTGCGCTCACTAATGGCCAATATGGTAAGCAAGGACCGCTATTCAGAAATAATGTGATGGGAAGGAGGCCTACTGATCTTGAAGGGAGCCAAGATATATTCGAGGAGCGTAGAAGCGTCTCTGTGCTCGTCTGGTTGAGAGAAATACCACCAAGGAAATGATAGCAATGATGGTCATGGGAACCAGCGTGTTAATCATGCCTGATCCGGTGAATCGAAGTTAGCTTTCCCACATCAATGAGTTTGAATTGTTCGCTCTCAATTGTTAGTGCTAGGCAGCTAACTCACCAGCCAATGATTGCGGTTGATTCTCCTCTCTGGCTTCACCCTGTCTCTCATCCTGCCCCATATTTGACAGGATCCAGCTGATTACATTCCCCATGATGCCTGATTTTAACCTTTACGTCCTGCCTCTGTGGAAAGGACACACGAAAACAAGAAATTGAATGAATGTCGTCACGGAAGACACTCAGTTGGGGAGACGAGCAACAGGCACCATATTTAGACAGCCAAGGCATGTATCTCACGCCATTGGTATCTCGCGCTCCCGTACAATAGCATCTCAATTAATGTAATTTTGTAAGACATTGAAGGCGGTCAAGATGGGTCTTCTACGGATGACCACCCGACTCTAGCTTCGAATATTAAGACACGCAGGACGCTAGAGGTGAACCTGATGCTGAGATAGGCTGAGGGCCAACAAGGCAATTCAGCTATCGCCAGCCACATCAATATTATGCACGGAATATCCCAAACGGTGGAAGACATGTTTCGTTGCCAGCGTGATCAGTCAAGTGAAGCGCCTTGTGACGCGTAATCCCGGAGAGAACACCCTCCGTCGGGTTTAACAAGTGTTAACTGGACTCGCGGCACGACATTTTTTTCACATAATGAAGGCTGGAGGTTGAAAGTTCGCCTTTCGTAATATTGGTTCTTCCAGTGATAAATAGAGGGCGGCGGAGTAGCAACACATGTGCACTATATCGAGATGGGGTTTCAAAACATGATATCCAAATTCAGTTAGTTATTGAACAAGTAAATATTTAATTTTCCCTTTATTCCATCACCAAAACGTTCCTGAACCGAGGCTTGCCCGCGACGAGGCTGTCAATGGCGGCTTTGACATCTTTAAAGGCGTACCGCTCAACCATGCACCGAATGCCATGGGTTTTGGCGAATTGAATGGCCTCCTCGCAATCCAACGCATGACCAGAGGGCCAGCCATGGACCGATGTGCCATTTATAACCATTGACGCAGTGTCAACCTCAACATTGCCAACAGGAGCGATGCTCAGAAGCTTCCCACCCGGTGCGAGGCCGCTGACAAGCCCGCTCACAACCTTGGGGTTTGGAGCCGTTTGAACGATTATCTCGGCACCGCTAAGCTTCTTCAGCTCGGCCGAGGCGTCATCCTTCTTGGTGTTGATGTAATGATGAGCACCTAGCTCCCGAGCGAAGCTCTCTTTGTCAGACCCATGGGACAAGACAGCCACCTCATAGCCCATATGGCGCGCATACTGCACGGCCAGATGGCCCAGCCCGCCAAGGCCCTGGACGGCAACGAGAGCGCCTTGCTCAACATGCATCTTGCGGATGCCGTTGAACACAGTCACGCCAGCGCATAGGAGCGGCGCGGCATCGGCCGGGTTGATATCCTTGGGAATGCGGACGACGGCTTCCTCCCTCAAGAGCACGTACTCAGCCCACCCGCCGTCCCGCGTCACGCCATTGACCTCCTTGTTGTCACACGTCTGGTACATGCTGCGCCGGCACTGGCGACAGACGCGGTCGTGGCCACCGTGCCATGGGCCACCGACACGCTCGCCCCCCTTGAAGGAGGTGACATCGGGTCCGACGGCGACCACGTCCCCGACGATTTCGTGGCCCGGGACGCGGGGGAAGATGTCGGTGCCCATTTCTCCGCGGGAGATGGCAATGTCGGAGAAGCAGACACCGCAGGCGATGACTTTCACGAGGACCTGGCCCTTGCCGGGACGTTTGAGCTCAACATCTTGGAGCTTCACCTCTGCTTTTGGTCCGGAGAAGACGGCAGCCTTGTAGGTTTTTGGGAGAGACGACATCTTGGGTAAGAGACGACTATGTATTGAATACTGATGTAGGACTGATTTATTGTTGGCTAATTATAGGATAATCAGACCAATTGACACAGCTCATAGGTTCTCGAGAGGGTGGTCGTATTTATAGACGGCCTGCAACACCTCATTTGGCTACTTGCATTCCAGTTGCAGCCTGCCGGCTTCTGGATGTCTCGGATGCGAAGGTTTCCCCTCACAAAAGGTACGACGACTCCATGACATCAGAAATAGTGATGATGTCGTTGATACTATGACCCAAAGGTGGGGAAAGCTAACAAAACGGCCTATCTAAGGTATCTAAAAACCATTCATTTGTTGAATAATCCGGAACTTCAAGCAGAGTTCATCTATTATCAAGATAAGGTAGGGAAAGTAATACATATTGGGCAATGGGAAGCGGGTGGCGCGGCTTCGATGCCTTGGGTACATGTAGTTTCCAGCCTATCATTAGCTCCGTGTTTATCCATTCATTCGTCTAGTCTGAACTTGGTTGATGGCTCCCACGGCGGACTTGGTCCCGCTGCTGAACTCAGTGGTGAGAATATGATAGGGACAATTCGGAAGAACGGAAGTGCTGTTGATATGTGTTCTTCACGAATAACGACTGCATGCCTCGGTGTCCCCTCATTCCCCTCACAAACTGCATTAATGAGTATTAAGTTGAGCTGACTAGAAAGATGGAAGAAGCGAAAATAAAATATATTGATGTTGATAATATATTATCAAATCTAGGTTCTCTAAAATGGCCGAGGCCTCTGCGGCGGCATATGAAATTCGTCCAGCTCTGTATCGGATGTTTCCGAGTCTTCTAATTCACGGTATCCTTTCGTGTGAAGCCTCCAAAGATCATGAGGAGCAGCTAGGTAAGGGTTTTCCAGGGTCTTCTGGTCATCTTCTAACGACAAAACGCCGATTTGTGACAGGTGGATATGCTGTGCAATCCATGAGGTGAGCGTAGGTGGACCTACCCATATCCGAACACCCAAAGTAACAAGGGCTATGATGCCGACGAGACAAAATATAATGGCGGCACCAATATGTAAACCGATGGCTCCGATTGACCGGGTGCCTTGGTAGTATGGATAGCTCAAGTATGGCACTTCTTTTGCACGTCGACCAAGTGCTTCGTCATCGGGGCCCAGAGCTGGATCAAGACGCTCAATCGTAGAATCAGTGGGTTCAAAGTTGACCGACGGAGTATTGTATTTCTTGGATAATGCCTCGTTGTATCGGTCTTGAATCGTCATGATGCCCCGGACAAGACTACTAACGCCAGACTCCACGGATGAACCCCCATTCATAACAAGGGCTTCAATCAAAGGACGAGATTCGGAAAAGGTCCAGAACTGCATCTCTTTGTCATCAAGGCGAGTGAATTTGGTTGATGAGCCGTGTGACAGAAAACGGATGTTCTCATCAAGAGGCAGAGTACCGTTCAGATAGCCGCAACCGTTGGAGTTCCTCCCTCTTCGGACCTCAGCCACCGCATAACGTATGGTATAGTTTAAGCGACGATGAACCCTTTGCGAGCCACCGTTACTATTCTTGACCCAGTCACCGGTGCGAGCCCACTGGATCTGCATCTTCCCAGGCTCTGGGACGCGGTACTCCACCACTGCTGCCTCTTCCGTCTCACTATCAAACCAATGCTGGCTCTGTGACTCGACGCGGTACCAATTTGTCTGACTTTCAGTCATGTAGAAGTCCCCTTGTTCCTCTTCTAAATCAGAAACGAGGACGAGCTCTCGAAAAGTCATAATTCCTTGGCCATTGCTCCCAAAGTAACCTTGGTTATTCGTGCACAATAGAGACCTGGTCAAAACGACACTTTGAGGGGGCTGGTTGCGGTGCGTATAATTCAGCTGGTGGACGAACTGCTTGTTGTTCTCATATGCCGGCTTGTCGATGAGCCACCCCACATTGATGTCGGTTACCCCGTCTGAAATATAGACGCCGGCTGATACTTCAGTAAAGTCTTTTGCGTCGAGGTTCTCGTACGTGTCAACCGGGACCTGCATTATCCCAAATTTATATCCGATCGACACCCCCACAGACAACGCGATGACGAGATAGCGAAGTGTGGCAAACTTGACAAATCCCCGAACACCGTAGACCACAGGTGCTCTCGGCAAGGTGTTTAGGTATCTGCCGTAGTCTAAGCCAGAATTCCTGGCGGCTTGACGAGTACACCACCAATCGAAGAGGTGGACATGGGCCTCGCTGAACCCATATGAGAGGAGTCCAAACCCGACACCGATGATGGCAGTCCACATCTGAATAGAGAGTAGAGCACCCACTCTGAACCGCATTCCAGAATTCAGAAGGTCCACCGACCTGCCCTCCTTCCGGCTTCCAGGCGCAGTGAGAGCATTAAGACTGGCAAAGATCAAGATAAGACCACCAGCCAGCAAGGCCAGGAGCGATGGCGGGCCGAGCTGCATCAAGCGTTCCGTGGAGGACTGGCTCGGCTGGACGGCTTTTTGCCGTTGTTTGTGTAGTTTGGTAGATTCCATTGTGTCCCTCTCTGAATACTGCTCTCCGCCTCGCAGTTGGTACTCGTCCCCGTAGTTGCCCAGGGAAGCTCTCATATTCCGTGACATAGTGAAAGAACGATGCCCTACGGCACATAAGTTAAGCTCTGCTACCAATATAAAATTCGAGAAGTAAAGAGGGGAATTCTGCAATATTTGTATATTTGTGCAAGCCTCACTCGATTAGGTTTTCATCCCTGTCTGGTCTCCGTAATGCCAAGATCGATCCAGTGGCGGAGCACTTTGACACTCCAGGCCTTTAGCGACGAAGATCCATGAACATCTGCTATTTCGGGGGACCTTTGGTGTTTATAGAATATACATAGCGTGAAGGTGGGCTGAGCTTATCTCGCATGGCAACAGGGGCGAACCCAACGCGGGATGTCGTGGTTGTAATACGTTGTATTATTTCGCTTTTCTCACGTAAACATAACGGAATCCTAGGCGCGTATAGCAGTATTATATCATTACAAGTATGGGCAGTTTCCACGCGCCTTTCATAAGATCAAACTCTCGACACAGGGTTGATGAATCCTAAACAGCTGTGGGTATCTTGGCTCTTCAATAGATATGATACGTATGTATGGCTAACTGCTGGCTTCTTCTTTTCTGGGTTATTCCTTCTGTTTGATAATCTTAGTTATTTGAAAAAATTGTATATGAGCTTCGATATTTCGGTAGAAAGCCTCCTCATATATAGTTGAAAATGCTTTTCGAGCTTAATGTATGCCCTACTTTACAATGCATTGATTGAGTGGTGGTGCAAGAAGAAATAACTAACCGGGCTTGAAGACAGTTTCCAGCTCGGTAAGAGCCGCAAACACTCGTGAGTTTGCTAAACAAGATTAAATACAAATAAAAACTAAACACTCACAAATGATTGAAATGAGACTGGCGTAGATATGGCCAGAAGTGCAAATGGGAGCTACAACAGGCATCGAGTTGGTGTTCAGCCTAGGGTAGGTAGTTGACCAGAAGGGCAACAGCCACAATAGACTCTAGCCACAGGTTCGAGCTCCAGCCACAACAGGCTACGACCCCACCAGGCGAAATTCCTTGACTTTTTCAAAGCTTTGGGCGAAATGTTCCTTGATTGATCTGCCATTCCACGCCAATCCAACATCCACGCGTTTCCACGGATTCATTCAGCGCAGCCATGCCTCTCGACACGTCTACCTACTCATTTGCGCTCTTGCGCGTCGATGGCCGTCGCTGGAACGAGCTCCGTCGCCTGCACGCCCAAATCCGCATCCAGGCCGCGGCCGATGGTTCTTCCTACCTCGAGATGGGCAACACTAAAGTCATGTGCGTCTTGACCGGCCCCTCAGAGCCCCAGCAGCAGCAGCAAGGACAGCGACGAGGGCAGGCCACCGCTGGCGGAGGTAAAGACGCTGCCATCAACGTCAGTATCGTTGTGGCTGGCTTCGCCTCTGTGGACCACAAGAAGCGAGGACGCAACGATAAGTGAGTAGCCTACCTTGCTACAATTCCCAAACTTTTCAATGCACTGGAGAATGCTAATCGAGACAAGGCGAACCCAAGAGCTTGAGCTCACAATTGCAAAGACCTTCGCCTCGGTCGTCCACACCCATCTCTTCCCCCACTCGAGCATCTCTCTCGCCCTCCACGTTCTTTCTGCCGACGGTTCCCTCCTCGCCGCCCTCCTGAACGCTGCGACACTCGCGCTCATCGATGCTGGTATCCCGATGTCGGACTACATTGCCGCGTGCACCGCTGGATCTACATCCTCCTACGCCGCCGCTGACGACTCGGCCGATCCTCTACTCGATCTGAATACACAAGAAGAGCAGGAGCTGCCTTTCATCACGGTGGCTACCCTGGGCGAAACTGATCGTGTTGCCGTTCTCAACTGTGAGAGTCGAGTGCAGGTCAGCCGCCTGGAGGGTATGCTTGCTGTCGCTGTTGATGGGTGCAAGGAGGTCAAGCAGCTTCTCGACAAGGCCATCAAGGCCAAGGGCGCTAAGATGATCCGTGAAGGCGCCGCTGAGAAGAGTGATGCCATGGCCATGGATCTGGACGAGTGAAATCGCTACTAGTATGGTAGCTGCACTGCATATTCGAACGAATGAGTGTGATGAGTAAATCAATTGGTAGGTTACATTCTCTTCTGGCCACTACGAATACTGCACTTTCACTGTCTTTTTTTCACCCTTCTAACCGTCCAATTTTCTCACTCATTTAGTTAAATATCCCAGTTCCGAATCTGCGCTACAGCTCCTCGTGGGTGATCTTCTCGTCGGTCTTGGCTTCTTCGGTCTTAGCCTCCTTCTCGGATTCTGTAGCGGAAGATGCAGGCTCGTCCTTCTCTGGCAAATCGACAATCACCTCCTTGGGTAGCTTCTTCTTTTCGCCGTCACCGAGACGGATGGCATCCAGCCAGGCCTCGACACTCTGGAGCTCAAAGTCTCCCTCGTACTGTTTCCACCACTTTCTCTTGGCATTGACGGCAATGAGCTCGACTTCGTTGGTAAGACCGAGGGAGGACTTGAGAGAAGAGACACCTTCAACTTCGCTCGAGAGGGAGAAGAAGGGGAACAGTGGGCGGTGGCTCTGGTGGTACTTGGTGTTGAGCTCGGAAACTGCCTTGAGCACCTTCTCTCCGTTCTCGGAGGCTCCGGCTGGGACGTTGACAATAAGGCAGGCGGATGCCTTGCGGTGGAGGCAGTTTTCGACAAGCTGTTCGTTGGAAGTGATGTGAGGGATAGAAATGATCGTGGACTCGGCCTTTGCGCTTTCGGTGGAGGATGACTGGGCAGTTTCCTTGGACTTGGTCGACGAGGAGGTTGAAGAGGACTTGGGCTCCTTCTTTTCCTTCTTCTCCTTCTTGTCGGCCTTGGCCTTGGACTTTGCTGGTGCGGGATCAGGGTTGGGCTCGCCGGCCTGCTTCAGGAACTTGACAATGTCCTTCTTGTTGAGCTCGCCTTCGTAAACGATGGGTTCGGCGTCGCTGTCGGCCGGGAGGAGGACTAGTGTAGGGAACTTCTGAATACCATACTTCTCTACCGCCTGGGTCTCCTTGCTGCGAATCTGAGCTACGTTGATAACACCCAGGAAGTCGATCGCAACGCTCCTCAAGAGGGCACTGGTCGTTCCCTTCTCCGTGAATAGTATAGCGTCGGGGCCCTCCTTGGCGACAAAGGACTCGAAGTCGGAGTCGTCAAGGCGGGTGACGTGGTTGTTGATCTTGTCGGCGACGGCCTGGGCGATGCCGTTGGCGGTACGGGGACCCTGGTAGTCCTCGACGATGGGCCTGCTGCCTGGTTTCTTGCCGGGCCGGAAGGTCTTGAGGGTGGGGAAGCCCTGGATGCCGTGGGCGCCGCAGAGGGGCTTGTTGGACTCTTCGTCGCAGTTGACGGCGACCACCTTGGCGAGGCCGTCGAGGTCCTTGGCGGCTTTCTCGTAAGCGGGCTTGAGGTTCTGGCAGTGGCCGCACCAGGGGGCGTAGAACTCGACAATCTAATTGGAGGGAAGAGGGGAGCAGGTTAGCTTCTGATTGACGATCGGGCCGTGGTGGGTATGGAAATTGAGCTCGGATTGGATTGGGGATTTGTTAGTTAGCAGGCAATTGACTTACAGAGGTGTGATTCGACTTGGAGACAATGCTGTCGAAGTTCTTTGCATCGGCCTGGATGACAGGCGAGGACTTGGTGTATATCGCGGCCTGGACGGCGGGGACCGACACAAGCGCAGCCGCGAGGGCTGTGAGGAGGGACTGTTGATGCATGGTGATGTTCAATGTTGGTGGTGGTGGGTGATTTTGGAGAAGGAAAATCAACCGGGTTGGAGGGATTGACCCAGGATAAATAAATACGCAGTGCCCAATTTCAATCAAGACGTAAAGACAGGTGTCAATAGAGACAAAGAGGCCACCGTGAAGGTTGTCGGGAAAATAGGCCGAGGGGGTGGTAGCCAAGGAAAAAGGCCACGCTGGAAGAATGAAACAGCAGCTGCTGGCTTCAACGTGAGGCGAGGCAAGCTCAGCGCCTGGAACTTTAGTTGCCCGGCTGCTTTTACTGTACTTGACGCTGGTCTGGTGCTCTGCCTCTGCCCGCTGTGGCGCGAGCTGGAGCGGGGCAGAGGCCCTTGTGGCGTATCTAACACCAGCCACAGGGCGCCATCACCAGGTCCCAGAATGAATGATTTTAGCTTGGTGGCGACCTGCGGGGTGCGTCATTCTGCCTGGGTGCTCGTGCCGGTGCGAGCTGCCTAGGAAACACCTCTCCAGATCTCATATATCATTCCCATTGCATCGCAGTCCTCGGCCACGCGCCATACAGCTTCCAATTCTCCCACCGCTGCTGCCACCGACCGCCAGTATTTGGCGGATGCATCGCAACCATGGTTCAGCCACTCCCCGCCTCCCTCAAGATCCCTGAGGTGTATCGCTTCGTCAATCGCGCCAACCAGCTGCGCAATATCAAGCCCGCCATTGCCTACTGGTGTTCGTCGCATCTCGATCTCCCCCGGTCGCCTACAATATTATTTTTGACTGACAAACTTCCTTCTGTTTAGGCGAGTACCATGCCGTGAACCAAATCGTTGCCAAGGGCATCCACACGAGCGACGACGACGCATACGCCTACACCAAGTATCTGCTTGAGAACCTCGAGAAGACCAAGAACGAACACCCTGACGATGACTCCATTGTCGACAACGATGCCGCCCAGGCCTATGTCGAGATGTTCGCCCAGGAGACCCTAGATCGGGCAGGGCGAACAATGCGCGCCAACAGCGTCACGAGGACCACTGCGGACACGTTTGAAGCTGCCGCGACCTTCTTCGACCTTCTCAGCGAGTGGGGAGAAATCGACCCCGAGGTTACGCAAAAGATCAAGTACGCCAAATACCACGCCGCGCGTATCCTAAAGGCCATTCGGGAGGGGCGTGATCCGAACGAATCCAATCCCAAAGAGAAGCCAGCGGAGGAGGACGTGCTGGACGAGACCCTGATGGAGGATATTGTCCCGACAGGAACTGCTCCTCAGCCCGTATCTGTGCAAGATGTGCCTGATGCTGGCGAGCCCTCGCCGCTTGAGCCCTCGCCCTTGGCACAGCAACCCGCCTCAGTCTCAGATGGATACTTCCCTCCCGTCCCTTCGAATATTCCTGCCGACCTGCCCAGCCCATCAGCCCCGACCGAGACACCTCCACCCCAAGGTCCTCCTTCAGATCGAGTTGTTCCTATCCCCTCGCCTCATGGACCTCCCATCGTCCCCTCGCAATTTGCGCCAACCTCACCAGCCGTGCCACACTCAGAGCCAACAGCACCTCCGTTGTGGTCCACTACGGCTTCCACTCCGTCGAATCCTTCTGTCCCCCCTCCAATTCCCAGTCCTCACCAAGCTCCATTTATCCCGCAGCAACCTCCTGTCATTCCTCAACAACCTGCGGCTTTCACTCAACCGTCACAGCCTCCCTTTGTCCCCGCAAACCCCACAACCTTCTCACCCATTCCCCCTCCTCAACCACCATTAGCTCCTGCGCCAGTCCCAGCTGCGGTCCATTACAAGGACATTAATCAAGCCCAAAAGCACGCCAAGTTTGCCATATCGGCTCTCAACTTCGATGATGTGCCCACTGCTGTCGCCGAGCTGCGCAAAGCACTCGCTGCCTTGGGGACGCAGTAGCTGACTGGAACTCGAGAGGAATCAGTTGTTTATATAGTAATACCACTAGCCGGCCTGATATATATTATTACATTGTCGTTATTGAGTTGTTAAGCTAGATATGATATCGATTGATCTACCTGGTTGAACCGCCAATCAATATGATGCCAAAAATATTCTGTTGCAACAGTAAACAAGCCTCATGAGAAGAGATTGGGGTGAGAGACCCAAGACATGATTAATTGAGCCCGGCAGTGCCAAAATGTGCAGAGCTTTGACTACCCAAGTCTCCGAATAAAGGAGTGACTGGTGTCGTCTTTGCAATTTATTGATGGATACTTATTTTGGCCTAAGCATTGCTTCCATCTTACGCCTCTTATTGGTACATTTGTTCAAGTGAATAGGAATAAAACTGATAAGAGAATTCGGGACATGATCCTGGACTCTGTTTGTATTTGTATCTGCTTAAATGACAATTAAAAAAATGATTTTAAGCAATCAACCATTTACACCTTCTCCTTGCCACCTCGCACCCTTAATGCGTCGGCTCTGAGGAACCCTCTTTGGTACTTGACAAAGTATGAACGAGGAAAATCCGCTGGACCAAAGTTCACTCTAATAACCCTTCTTCTTGCAGTAGTTGTAGAGAGCAGGGAACTGCCTTGGAGAATCGGACTTGCAAAGCTGCTCGTCATTTTGACGAGTCGCAAGGTGTCCCGCCTGTTGGCAGGCCGCATCGAGAGCGGGGATGTATAAGGGGGCTTCGGTCTTGCAAAGCTCCTCGAGGCCTTCCTCGGCAACCTGGCGGGAGCTGAGGTGCCCCTCATCTTGGCAGGCTTCAGCAAGTTCGGGAATGTACTTGGGAGCTTCGGTCTTGCAAAGCTCCTCGATGCCTTCCTCGGCAACCTGGCGGGAGCTGAGGTGCCCTCCCTGCTTGCAGGCCACAGCAAGAGCAGGGATGTATTTCGGAGCTGGGCCCTTGCAGAGCTCTGCGATCCCGTCCTCAGTGACTTGACGGGATGCGAGGGAGTCTGATTTGATTTGAGGAGCAGCGAGTCCTCCTGCTGCCAGGCAAAAAGAGACGATGGAAGTCGAGAACTTCATAGTGAATATGTAAACTTTAGAGGGCGCGTGTGTATTGGTTTGAAGATTGGTGTGCGTAAGATGATAGAGAGGTGAAAGCTGCTGATTCCAGTATTCGGTCGGAACTTGGGGTATTTTATATCCTCATTGAACCCCTTATATCTCCAGCAAGCGCGAGAATAATGCTAGTTAGCCTGGATTTAGGTAAACAGGAAGGCGTCATCATGTTTGATAAGAAGTGGCTGATGCGAAACAAACATGACAGGATTGTCTCAACTCCAAGACAAATGGTACGGCTGGGGTAAGCCATAATTTACCGAGACGATGGAATCGAATGACATATAGACTGTGAACTCATTCCAATTGATCCATGGGAAATGGGGAACAGGGAATCCTCGAGACGGCTACGGCTGGCAGTTGAGAAACATTCGCAGGTCATGCTACAAATTAGGTATAAACCTCGAACTTAGTGAGACCTGTCAGGTCCCATCGCCGTGCTTTGGTGCTAATTTTGTAGGTTGATTTGCATAAGTGAGGTGGTGTTTAATTAGAACCGTGAAGGGTCCGCTGTGTCTTGGATGGGTAGGCCAGTGCGCTTGTTATGAACTCAACCTTATTTATGGGAAAAATTATGAAGACAACTTGATTCTTTGGTGCGCATGTATGATTTCTTTGTTGGATATCTTCTGGCTACGTCTTGTCAACTGTGCAGATCGTTACACTCTTGGTGACCTTCTCACTACATGGGGACAAGCCCCGAGAAAGACCATGAACACTGATAATTTTTGATGAATCAAAACTATTTTAGAAGGCCCTTGGCTTGGAATTCACTCTATTGTCTAGGGACAGAACTTACTTGGCAGACTAGCCGACAAGGGTTGTTGAGACGATACGACGTAACAGTAAAGCAGCATCATGCGGCCCTCGTCGGGCCTATTCTTGAACCCAGTTCTACTGTTACTAATATTCGATGGCTACCTCTAATTCGTCCGTTACAAATTGTTAAATCATGAAAGTATTCCATTCAAATGGTCATTTGGTTGGTTGTAGAAGACAAAACCCTAGAGCGTTTGATTTACTTCATACTAATGCTCAACCATCAGATCTCCCCATCAATGTATCCATAAGAAAGGCCAGTCGTCTTGATAGAAGCGTAGTGCTGCTCAGTGAGTCACTGACACCGTGGCCGCCCTCTCGGTCTTCGTAAAATAACACGGGCGCTCCTACTTCTTGAAGCCGTGCTGCTAATTTTCTCGCATGACCAGCCCCTACTCGGTCATCAGTCGTAGAGACTGTGATGAGAAACGGGGGATATTTCACATCCTCCCTTACATTATGAAAGGGCGAGTATTTGAGTAGAGCCTCTTCCATGTTAGGATCCTCTGGATCGCCGTACTCATCCACCCAGGCAGCACCCATCCCCATTTTCGGATATCTCAGCATATCCGTCATTGGAACGTCGCTGACGATGGCTCCAAACAGATCGGGCCGTTGGGTTCCCATAACAGCAGCGAGGAGGCCACCGTTTGATCTTCCAAAGAAGCCGAGCCGATCAGGTTGGCTATGCCCATCTGTGACGAGTTTCTCGGCAACGGCGATAAAGTCATCGTAGGACTTCTGCCGGTTCTCCTTCATTGCCTGCTGGTGCCATGACTCCCCGCGATCTGATCCACCTCTTGCAAATGTCACTACCAGACCACCGCCGGCCTCCAGCCATGGCACAAGACTTGTTCCGCCAAACATGGGGTGGAGATAGTCGAGGGGCAGTGTCGATCCAAAGGCAGCATAACCCGTCATCAGGATGGAAATGGGACCATCTGTCTTCTTAGGCAAAAGAAGGCAGAAGTCAATGGATGTGCCATCTTTACTGGTTGCTGATTGCTGTGAGACGTTGAAACCCGATGCATCGAATGATGCTGGATGCGAGAAGAGGAGCTGCTGCTTCCCATCGAGGCTTTCCAGCCAAGCTCTCGTGGGCGACAACAGGCCTGATTCAGTCATAACCAAGCAGTCAGAATGGATATCAGAGGCGCTTAGTCCGACCGAGGCCCCGGGTGACGAAGGAATACTCTTTACAGTCTTCCAATCGCCGTCTTCGAATTTCAGTACCAGGCGCCTCTCTTTTCCCAGCTTGGCCAATATCATGTTTACCGTTGAATATCCCGCCACAAGACCGTCAAGTGTCGACTTGATATTGAATTCATTTGCTTCGGGGGTATATACTATGGTGGTTCTCTGCTCAGCGGGTAAAGAGTTTGTCAAGTCATAGGCAATTACTGTCCCAGGGGGAACAGTTTTGCCCAATATGACTGTTTCCTCATTGAGTAGCGCTACCAAGTGTGTAGAAGTTGTGTGAGAAGAGACAGTCTCCAACTTGATTGTCTCGGGTAATGCGAGCTTGTGGACCGTCCCATCAGATTCCAGTAGGTGATATTCACGATGGGAGTAGTCCATGATTCTCAAGATTAGGCTGCGCTGTAGTTCTCCTAGACCTACACTTCCAATCAACACCATTGCATCTCTCGAAGATCCAGAAAATACCCGCTTCGCGTTTGTGAGCTCTGTCCCCCGGGTCCAGATAAAGGCATCCAATGGCCAGCCGGTCGATGCCTTCGGGGCTCCGTGAAGACCATGCGCAATCAGAACATGGTCTATATCTATCCAAGTCGCAATGGCGCGATCAGGCTCGGCGTTGAAGCCGTTGGACACGAAGCTGCGTGCTTTAAGATCAAATTCACGAATCTCCGTAAGGTCTGATCCCCCCTCCGAGAAGCGAAGTAAAATGCGACTGGAATTATCCAGGTGAAGGATGGACTGTCGAAGAAATGGGTTCCCTTGTATTTCCCACGACCTGCCCTCGGTTTCCCGGAGCTGCCCGATATCGAGGACGAGCTCCCAATCTCCAAGTGTCCCGTCAGCCCGGAATTTGGATACTTCAAAAATGCCATATTTGTGACCCGAATCCTTGCGAATGCGGAAAAGGTCGCGCAGCAGGCAAAACTCGGGAGTCGGAAAGCTTGACTCAGACAGCTTCTGTAATTGCTCGTGGATCTGCTCAAACCTTGAAAAGGAGTCCAGCTGGGCTTTGGAATTTTCATTTTTGCCGTCGACCCAAGCTAAACATTCCGGTGCAGTCTGCGCCTCGAGCCAATCCCACTTCTGCAGATCAGGTGAGCTGTATGGACAGAGGCATTAGTCCAAGTAATTTATATAGAGGAAAGAGCCGCATACCTCATGGCGAACAAAGTTGAATAGGACAAGTCTCTTGTTATTCTTTATTCGTGAGATAGAGATCCTCAAGGCTCTGGCTTTCCCTGTGGTATTCATCACTGGGTAGCCTGGGATGGCGTTAAAGTGAGGGGCACCACGAGGAATGTCGGGGTGTGGGGTTGTCACAGACAGGGGTTACTTCGTCACCGCTAGAGTTGCAATCATGCAAACAGTCGATATAGGCTCGTGTGAGCCCTATCTCCCCCGAAAGGGTTGATACTGGCGTCGATAAGTGGGAGAAGAATAGAACGCCTATCTTGACGAGATCATCCACAGCCACTGAGTGTTCAAACAAGGTACATGCGTGGCTAAACCCAAATACTACATTCAAGCCATTGAACTAGCTGTTCAGAGGATAAGAGCATGAAAATCGTGCCTTGAGGAAACCTGAAGTTGGTGGAAGCGGCCTGGGCTCCAAGTAGATGTGAGTCTCGGCTGTCGTTTATGGCGTTTTTTTGGGTTCCATTCGGCGTGTATTTCTGGGAGGATCAGGAATCAATTTCAGATGTAGTAGAGATGAGATTGGGTCACATAGTGTTGGACTGAGAGTGAGAAGAAGATGTGTTATTCAATTGGTACATATGTAGCTAGAATCATGTTCCCGAGCCACACGGCGCTTATGATGAAATTCTATGGGCTTGTATGAGGTCATGTATAATATGCAGCTAGTAAATGACAAAGAAGACGATTTTCGTCAACTTTTGTAGTTTGTGGATCTCGCGTTTAATCTAATAATGCCTCTGATGCGGTTGATCGTCGCCGGCTCGACGAAGCATCGTCCCGGGAAGGTCCTGCCTTGTTGGGAGGAGTTGCTTCGATGTGAACCGAGTAGGAGTGGCCCTCTAGGAAGGACAGAGAACCGTCTTTGAAAGACATCGAAGAGTCTGTATTGGCACGGCTAAGCCGCGGAGTAGCGACTACCGGGGGCGATGGTGCCCGTACATTGGTCAGCTCAACTGTCTTGGTGACGGTGGCCCAAGGTTTTTGCACACTTTCTTCTTTCACAGTAGTAAGTGTCGAATTGGTATCCCTATTCCCACTGAATCCTCGCGTGTGGGCGGGAGATGGATTGGGAGTTTGGATCTTGCCACTCGACTTGGCAATCTTTGCAATCAGGGTGGCCATCGACATTTCGATGTTGAGTTTGACGATATAAGCCAGTGGGTGGAATTGCATATACCTATCAGCGAAGCATCGAGGTTAGACATATGCATTATAGATCTAGTTGCTGGCCTTGACCTACACAAACGTATTTCTCAGGCTCATCATGCTGATGATAAGGATATCCATGCCGAGGGAGAAGCCGATGATAAGCATATTAAACCTGACGAGATTGTTGTACTTTTGGAGGCCGTTGTCCACGAGGTTTTTCTTGACGATCCGGATAAAAAGAATATTAAGAAAGCCATCCACAAGGAGGTATATTATCTTTTCGCAGCGATCCCAAACCTCGTTGATGTGGATGTACTCTTCGGAAATCTGCAGCCGCGCAGGGAGCCATATGCAATAGACCGTGATATTGATAGTGGTGATAAGCGCGGCTACTGCCCATTTCAGTCGACTGATCTTGCGTTTGTCCGTCAGGAGAATCCCGCATTGGTTGATGATGATCTGAAGCAGAAATTGTACTTGGAGAGCCCATGTAGTTACTTGAGATCATGGTCAGCAAGCTTAGAAGCAATAATAGCAAGTCGACAACATATGATAAACTGAAACCTACAAATGCAGAAATAGAAAGCAAAACTACATAACGGTTAGCTTTCTTAGAATTGAGAAGGAAAGAGGAACAGATGTTCTATAGGAACTTACCTAGGAGGGATCGCTCCTAGCAAATACATGAAGCATATGATACCGAAAGCTAAGCAGACGGCTATCTCTCCCCAAATCATGATGATATAAGGGTTGGCTATGCCGCGCCAACCGCGCCGCCGAATGACGCTCGCTGTCTGAACGATGGCCGTCCATGATGCCAACCAGCCAATGCCTAGAGTGAAGCCCCACGCGAGAGATGCAATAACGAGATCTTCCTGGGTGACCACTTCGGGAACATATCGATCGGGTATTAGGGTGATCATTCCGGCGCGTTCTGTGAGGAGAGAATCCTATAACATCATGGGGAGGAGCGGTGATGAGAGTAAGTTGAACAGGAAATTTGAGAAGTTTAAAGAAGTCATATGAAACGGAATGGGAGAGGCAAAAAGTCTGGAAACCGGCAGTCTGCTTTGGTTATAGCGTTGAGAGGATGACGAGCATCCCCCTTTAGTGGCCGCGCAAAATCTCGGAGGTGGTGCGGAGGTGGTCGCCAAACTTCTGTAGCTCAAACCTTGCTTGTGAGGTGTTGATGTAAGTGCCGATTGCTTAGGTAAGAAGCCGAGGAGGCGTTCCACGGCATGACTAAGGGATTATCTCGCTTGGATGCAGCTCAAAACACAAATATATATTCTCTTTCTAAAAACTGCCCTGATCATGCAACTGATACACATATCCCATACCGACGGATCAGTTTTCCACGTACGCTGAATTTGAGCAAAGGCATTCCATCGACTTAGAGTTTGCACCCAGGCCTGGAGTAGATCATCAAATGTCAGTCAGGGGTGGGTGTCTTGAGATGCGGTATATCGATCGGCACCTATGTAGCTGAAGTCAAATTTCTGGGGCCGGATTTCATACCCAAACAGCCGGTAGTCCAATAGCCATGGTGCTCCATAAAAAGTCCCTGTTGCCGTACACCCATTTCTAGGAACTGTCGTGGTAATCCACGTTGCCACGTTCTAGCTTATGAAGGATGGTAGATGGACGGGGGGCCCGACCTTAGAGGTTTTATTCAAGACCTCCCCCATCATCGGCGATATATCCGAGACTCCCGTGACGAGTCCTTAATTTCTAGCTGAGTAACTAGAAGCCGCGGAAGACAACCAGAAGGTCCCGAGTCATTGCAAGGTAACTAATGCCAGCCCGTTGAACCATCATCCCACGGCTCATCGTCCGCTAGCTCGTGATTGCTCGATTGTGGGGAAATGGCCAGATGGACATCCTGCTTGACTCGCTTAATTTGATGAAAGGGTTGTGTTATGACAAAGTGATCTGAGGACTTCCTCCCGAGCACGTCCTCTACAACTTGGCAAGCGTTTTGTGAGGGGAAAAAGCTTGATTACATATTCCCGCACCTACATCCACTATCCGGAGTTTGCTGAACAACGTAGGACATGGAAATCTGTTGATTTAGCATGTGATTGTTTAGATGGTGGTGCCCCTCATTATAGACCAATGGCGAGTTCCTGTGATTCTCAGATTGACTGCATCAATAACCCACTAGTCGTCTAAATATCAAGATAAAACTATTTTTCTGATTTGTAAGAGGCCTTTGCCCCTTGTAGAAGATTTAGATCAAGGAGGAAATGACATTGAGATAAGATTCAGGGAGTGTTTGTGTATTATTTAAACGCGCATGCTTCGTTAAGGAAAGTCTAGCCAATTACAATAGATGCAAAAAGGGGCGGCAGTCAACCAAGCAAGTAGCCCAAGACTGAACCTGCTTGGTGAAGCGCAATAGAAGAGAAATATTAATGCCAAACTGAAAAGCAGAAAATCAAATGTCATCCATGGCCGTTATCATGCAAACCTCTGCAACCGAGAGGTATCTCTAAAGGAAGTCCTGCTATATGTTTTCTTATGCGTTGACCTCGACCTCCTCGCTGCGGCCGGGATACTTTCCGGGATACCACTTGCCGTCGTCGAAGCCAGTCTTGCCACCTTCGTACTTTCCAGGGGCCCAAGAGCCATCATCAGCACGCTTGACCTCTTCATCGTTCTCACTGCGGCCCGGGTACTTTCCGGGGTACCACTTGCCGTCGTCGAAGCCAGTCTTGCCGCCTTCGTACTTTCCAGGGGCCCATGAGCCATCATCGGCACGCTTGACCTCCTCCTCGTTCTCACTGCGGCCGGGATACTTTCCAGGGTACCACTTTCCATCGTCAAAGCCAGTCTTGCCGCCCTCGTACTTTCCGGGGTACCACTTGCCGTCATCGGCACGCTTGACCTCCTCTGATTCTTCTTCACTTCGGCCTGGGTACTTTCCGGGATACCACTTGCCATCATCATAACCAGTCTTGCCACCCTCGTACTTTCCGGGGTACCACTTGCCGTCGTCGGCACGCCTGACTTCATCGATCTCCTCCTCTCTCTTCACTTCATCAACGCTGCTAGCCTCATCTCGGCCTGGGTACTTTCCGGGGTACCACTTGCCATCATCATAGCCAGTCTTGCCGCCTTCGTACTTTCCGGGGTACCATTTGCCGTCATCGGCGCGCTTGACTTCATCGGCATCTTCCTCACGCTTGCCGGGATATTTGCCGGGGTACCACTTGCCATCGTCGTAGCCAGTCTTACCGCCCTCGTACTTTCCGGGGTACCACTTGCCGTCATCGGCTCTTGTGGCCTCATTGACGGTGTCGTCTTCGCTTCGGCCTGGGTACTTTCCAGGATACCACTTCCCGTCGTCGTAGCCAGTCTTGCCGCCCTCGTACTTTCCGGGGGCCCACTTGCCATCGTCGGCAGGTTGCGGGGTGGGAAGTGCCAGAGCCGTGGCGGCAAAGGCAAGAAGAGTGAAGGAGTAGCGCATGATTGGAGTGGCTGGTGGTTGAGTGTGTAAGGCTGGAGGACTGGGAGGTTGTTTGGTGTTTCTGAGGAGGATGGAGGAGACGCTATTGCAAAGTAGCGGCTGGAAAAGAGTTGCTTTCTTCTAGGAAGAAGACCTAGTAGAAAGCTGAGAAGATGTGATTGTGACTGTGATGAGGATGATGAGTTTGGCAATAATGAGGAAGTCTGATGCATCTTATATACACAACCGTAGCTGTCCAGATGCCAGAGTTTATTCCATTGTGCCAAGTTTAGCATCACCGATGGCATCAGCCATCACGCCAGTGACATCACGACACCGCCAGAGCATAGCCTCCTGTGTGTTTGCAACTCTGTCTCACAATAGCCTCGCAGCAGAATCAATGAGAACATCGGTCAGCAGACGATGAAGTGCTAAGAATGATGGCATTTTCTCGTATTGTGTCTAGAATCAACCCCGCGCCAACTCACTCCCAAGCATCTCGGACGGTCCGAGCCTCCCCGCTTGCTCGTAAACAGCAATAGGCGCAGTCGAGCTGAAAAGCCGCCAATGCAGTGTGAGCCTCGTGGGGAGCTCAATAGACGGCAGAGAAGCGACCGACCGGCAAGTAAGCGAACGCCATTACCAAGACTAGCAGACGCCACCGGCTCGAGCGAGACGACAGCTCAAAAACCAGTAAGCGTTATGTCTAAATTTAACTTTCCATTCTCGGTTCTTTTTCCTCGGCGGAAAGCGTCGAGCTCTGTGGCTCAAGAACCTCTGTCAAATCGGCCCATCATGTGGCCGTTCAAAAGTCCACGACGTAAGCAATTTGGTCATGCCATCAGCCTCGTATCAATGCCGTGCCAGTCTCAAAGCGACACGAGGGAGGTGACCGCATGGCGCTATGCAGATCGCTTAATGGAGAATAAACTCGAGATCGGGATTGTGGTGGCATTGATCTGCAGCTTTTGAAGCCTAACACGAGTGGTTCTTTTTGCCCAAGAACCAGACATTCCACCCGAAGTGAGGAGAAAATGCAGCTTACATGTCTCGGTTTGCTTTTTTCTGGGCCACAACTATTCAGACTATTGGGATGATGCATATGCAGAGCTACTGGCGGTGTCATCTATACGAGCGGAGAGGATGGACAGACTGTCAGACATGATCCAGTGGTTACGTCGAGGCTGGCGGTTCTTCCCGACATTTTGACCGAGCTGAAGGTGGCTTGACGGCTGTCTTGCACTTTGCATTGTTTCTGCATAAGATTCCGTCACATCAGCATCAACACAGCGCCTTGACCGCCACATCCACCACTTTCATTGTCAAGAACAGTGTGAGGAGAAACAATGGATGTGCAGGCCGGGGGAGGCCGACTGCCGCTCTGCCCCAGGTTTGTCTGGTGGACACCATTCGTAATAGCCTCGACCGATTTGGAAGCTTTTGGACCCGATGGCTTGGGGCTGAAAGCGGGGTTTTCCCATTACTCGCAGAAATGCCCGAGGCAGCTGACCCTGCGCCTTGCTTGGCAAGACGGTCGAGTTTTCGTGGACGACTCGGACGGGCTTCCAGCCGGGTCTAGTTCGAGAAGCTGGAGGGGTGGAGAACACGAGTCCTCGGGACGGGCTGTCTGCTGATTCACCATGACCTTTTCCATGTGAGACGCGAGACCAGCCAGCAGGCAACTCGGACCCCCAGCATGCCGTCGCCACGATTGCTTGAACAAGAGGCAGAGCAATCAGGTTTTGTTTGTTGATGCTCTTTTGAATGTGTTTGCCGCCACATACCGGAATCATTTAAGTAGTTATTTCGCTGAATGTATTGATCTCCACTTGAGATACTTTGAGAGTCACATGCTAATCGCCTCACTCAAGTCATCAATCTAAAAAATACGTCAATCTTGCGTACACAAAACAGAGATTGTAGGCAAAGTGGGCGTCGGAATAAGCAAGACTCAAAAGTGTTTCATGTTTATACCTCAACTTTATTTGGGTGTTTATTTGGGTGTGCTATTTCCTGGGCCAGCCTCTTCGACATTAGGAGAAACTGGCCGTCGTTGTGCGGCGTGCATCTGCCTGCGCCAGGGCAGAAACACATGTAAAACTCTTCAGTTTCAGAGGCTAGAAACTCGAGAAATCCTTTGGGGTATGTTGGCAGCTCTTGGGTATTGCTCGGAGGTTCGGCATCAAGGTCATCCACCACCTCAGCAGCCCTAGATATGGCCGCCATTCTGAAAGCAAGCCATTGGATTTGGACCATCAGCCTCGTCTTGTCCAAGTCCTCCTCCTTGACCCTGATTAGGAGGATGTCTCCAGACACTAATGGTCTAAAGTTAGACGTCCGGGATAGAGACACGCCATGCGAGCTGATCTTGCTTGTGTTGGTGAGGTGATTATGGATGGCAGGCATCATTGGCCCAACAATATAGACCAACACTACGCGTGCGTTCGACAGTCTGGAAGGTCTATTATTGAGCGATAATGGCATGATATGGCATGCTTCAATCTCAGGGCAGCCTGTCGCAATGCAATATTGGTCGCGTCGTCGTGCCTCATCCGCCTCGGACCAATTTCTGTCGATTGGCTTGTCGCCTTTCTCGACTTTGACGCGTGGCTGGTACGAGGCATCCCCAGTATAATCGTCAGGGTCTTGTCCCCTACTCGGAAAGGGTAGGTCCGCAGGTTTGTCTCTCATCTTCTGAAAGACTTTTTTGTAATTGTGTCCAAAATGGAAGAAGAATTTTTGGCAAAACAGCTGACCTGACCCTGAATTAATGGCACCAAAGGAAAAGAGGATGTGTTTTGTTTCATCAGCTTGCTTATGGCTTCAAGAAAGGTCGGCTGGATGATTCAGTCCCCAACCTGTTAGTAGCATGGTTGATGACTTGTGCTCAACAAAACTTTACTAGGTAGTCTCACGGCCTAAAAGAAGCTCGGATTTTTTACTGTGATTTTTAGCAACTACGAGACGTTTCAAGGTGGTGCGCGCCGACGATTAGGGAGGTAAGCGACTGACATAAAACTTGGCAACCCAGAACCTCCGGCGTTGAATTTCGGCACAATATCAAAACAATCACCCTAGTGATAAACAGAATATCAAGGTAAATATCGTCGAATAATTTATTATTTTCTTGTATTGTGTTTGGGCTTTGGTGCCATGTTTTATTTCAGCCGCTTAAGACGGTACCATAGCATCAACCTGGAAAGGGCAACCAAATAATGCTTTACGTCGGGCATCGTAGATCGATTCACCACCCAATTTATCTTTTCCCCGAAGCGCTCGACGTCTTCAAAGGCATAATAAAAAGGTTCACCCTACTCGTAGTTGGCATTTTTGGCTCCTGTGTAGGGATGACATGCGACCGATTGGTATCAGAGCAAAAGCATCTCTAGGACCAGCGATATAATAAGTTATAAACAATCAGATAAACAATAAAATTGTTCTAGATAGACAATTTCGTTCTGATTAGATTGAATAATATGCAATTCAGTGGCTTAACACTTTTTCATAAGACGAGTCAAGAAAAATGTTTTCCTACGTGTGGTAATGGCTAGGCCGTAAATTTAAGTATCAAGCCCTCTGACATAGATATATTATTTGTTGATACTCTTGGCGAGCGCCATCCCACTTATATCCCCTTTCTGTTTACCCGAACCCCTATTTTACTACAGCATCTCTCTGAGCATTTATTATATAAAAGATATATAATCAATGGAAATCTGGCTAAAAGCACATGGACTCTTACTTATAGCTCAAGACGCTCAGTTACTTGGAGATAGCTTCTAAGCTAGTTACGCTCGACTTTGCTCCTTGTGAGCAGTTGTGAAAGAACCAGCTGGGCGTAAATAAATGGAGCTTCAGAAACGCAACTCCTAGGACTGGCTTATTTAATCGTCTTGTTCATTTGTTCTGGTCAACCATGGCAAAAAGGTTCTGCTTGTGGATGATGGCGTACTGTAATGACCAACTTGCGCACTATGTGGGCTCCATCCACAAGCTTACAGGTCTCATGTTGGATCATGAGAGCCTGGTAACGCCAGATTGTCAAGTTCAAGAATAAATACAACTGAAGGTTAACGAATATGATGCAGGCATTCAATTTCATGTACATCCTGTTATTCTAAAGGCCGTTGGTGAGTTGTTCGGCTCGGATAAATCAATCGAGACGTCAAAGAAGCTTGTTGATAGCCATACAGCAAAGTTAGATAATAAAGGCAAAGACCGAGTAGCTGGATTATGAAGAAAAACTACTAGGCTTTTTGGTGTTTGCATAGACGACATATGTGAATGATTTGACAAAGTCTAGTCTACGGGCCTCCAGGACATGACGTTTGCAAGTCCGCCTTTGCCTGTTCACCTGCCCATGCCCGTCTGAGCAATTCCTGGATTAATGGCTTCTCCACCTGCCGCGGGTTCCAATATGGATTAATACAAGCAATGTCTGCTGCTTTTGCAATATCGCCCTCCTGAAAGCCAAATGACTTGAGATCCCTCTTAATTTCCAGTCTCTCGAGCAGTTGGTTGAAGCCCTGAATTGCATCCCCATCATCGCTTGGTAGTAAGGCATCCAGTATGGCCATGACGCCCGTGATTTCAGGCGCGTTGTACGCGAGAGCATGGGGCAGGATGATAGCATGGGTCTCAGCGTGAGGTAAGTTGAAGCTCCCTCCTAGCGTGTGACATAGCTTGTGGTGAAGCGACATGCCAACACTGCCGAGGCACATACCACAAAGCCAGGCACCGTAGAGTGCTTTAGAGCGAGCGTCGTGATTGGACGGATCTTGGTGGATTATGGGCAGCGACTGAACAAGCGCTTTGATACCTTGTTGCGCCATCAGACTCACAATAGGGTTTCCATTGCGAGCCTGGAGAGCATCGACGGCGTGAGCAATGGCATTTATGCCGCTCACAGTACTCATAGAAGCAGGCAGAGTCATGGTTAAATCAACGTCGTAGATGATAGTCCCAGGAAGGATCTTGCTGTCCGACCGTGTCGTCTTGCGACCATGTTCTGTTTCACCTAGAATAGGCGTGGCCTCACTCCCTGCATACGTTGTTGGTATAGCTAAGTGGTAAAGCCCCGTGCGGAAGCTGATGGCCTTGCCTAGGCCAATGGTGCTGCCGCCTCCTATCGAAATAAGGGAATCGCAGCCTGATGCGCGAGCCGCCTTGATTGCCTCACCAGTCACCTCGACAGGCGTGTGCATCACTGCTCCGGCAAAAATGCCTGCCACCTGGCTTTTCAAGGCTGCTTTGATATGTTCCGCTTGAGAGACCTGTTGCGACGTCGAAAGAAGTAAAGGGCTGTGCAGTCCCAACCTCTTCAGCTCACTAGGCAGGCGATGGATTGTCCCTGAGCCAAATATGACGTTGGCTGCGTTGGCCTGGTATTGAAAGTTATGCATGTTGACGATTCTAGCCGACTGAGGAACAGGATGTCGGTTAAAGGAGGGCTGGGTGCATGTGGCTGGAATCTGGCATGTACTTACTAGCTGCCTCTAATTCACAATACAAACTCGCAAGCCGTTTGAACTTTGTCCGGCTGGGCATCCTTGTGTTCTAATGAAACCGATGCTTACCGAGTTGCGGTTATGGCCCGGCAAAGGATTTGGCCGATTGGACTAAGGAGACGTTAGTCCAAACCACGCTTTCATCTCATCACAAACATGCGGTCCATCCTTGGCGTTTAGTCTAATCAAAAGCTGGGCTAAACCAATTTAGCAAGTCAGGATTGAATAAAGTCGGATATGCGGACCGTTTCTGGTTCTCAGGGGCGCCCCGTTGAGGCTTCCGAAGATCAAACCACCGAGGACAAGTTAACCTGACTCACGTATCAACATGGATTTGCCGAGGCCAAAAGTTTATTAATCCAGCGGCAAGAGCTATTTATAGTTTATTCATATCCCTAGAGGCAAAGTAGCCCAATCATGAAAGTCTCCAATTGCCCAATCCTCAAGCATTTGGCAATTCCCCATGCCCAAATCATCCATGGCAAAGTTTTCATCCATGATCACATCTGAATCAGCATGACTAGAAAGAGCACCTTGCAAATGGATAGTTTCAACTATCCCGGAGCTCTCACCAGAGGGCAAGACAGTTGTGAGCCATTTTTCCGATGCAACTGGCTGATCTAGAGGTCCAGGCTCAATGGAATTTACAGAGTCACTGAGCGCCATCGGGCTGGAAGTAATATTACAAACGTGACTCAGCATCTTATCTGTGATGTAGAGCATTAGCATCTGAACCCTCAACCTGGACGTCCATGTTAGGGGCCACTTGCCTTGAAGTCCCCAGCACTTGCCAGAGTTCAAAAGACATTTGGTCAAAAGATCAGTGTCACGGCCTTTGTGATGGCCTTTTCGTCTAAAAAGCTCTGGCAACCGCATTCGGGCGGTGAGAAGCCAACAGTGAGGCAGCATGAAATTTCCAAGATGAGGCCGATCTTGAATGATGTGTGCTATGTCAAGTAATTCGTCTGTGTGGAAGGAAAGCCTTTCTCGATTCTTATGTTCACGCTCCATGTCTATCGGGACTTGTTGTGGTTGTGGTCCATGAAGTAATAGACACGCACTGTAGCTATGTAAGTCACCGCCCAGTGTGAGGAATTCCTTGTATGGAGATACCCACCAGTGAGCTATGCATAGTGTCGTGGAATCTAGCATGCATTCATCGCGGCGCGATATTTGTTGTTCCCAATCTAACGGGAACTCCTGTATGAATCTTTGCATGGCAGTATATAGTTCTGATCCTCGCTTGTGTTGTGTCTGAGGATCATGTGCTGGGTCGTGTTGAGACTGTTTAAATTCTTGGAGCTGGGCGACGAAGTCTTGAGCCTGGACGAATCGAGCAAAAGGGCCCGATGTACTGCAGCCATTAGCCTGGAGTATTAACTCCGTCCCAGGTCTGGTATTGCCCTTGTAATCGATTAGGAAAAACTCCCCAAGAACAGGGGCGCATTGACTAGAGCCACTCACAGCGGAAACCCAAGCATTATTGCTGACAGGCAGAAGTAGCTGGATGTCGGACCTCCTCAAGGCTTGGGGAGCTCGTGCCGAAACAACAGCCACCCATCGTGCTAAACTGATGATCATCCAGACAACTCGACGGCGGCCTTCTTCCACAACCCAATTCTTGGGCTTGGACAGCCACTGAGCGGATGTTGAGAAATTTGGATCGTCCATTCGAGTTAGCTGGAAAGCGCCAATGAGCGCCAAAGCTGAGCTGAGTGTCGTCATCACATTTGCTGCTGTGCTGGGCTGGCCGATTTCATATACAGCCAAGAGAGCCATTGCAATCACCGTGTTCATATTGGGAAGGCTTAGCGTGCTGTTGGTGGTTTGTGTTGCCAGTTTGTACAGCATTTCAGAGGAGTCAGCCAATGCTTCAACATGCCTACTGGCCAAGGCGAACATCGCTAGTCGCACGTGTAGGTTATCATTCATGAATCGGAATCCCGTTTCGTGGATGACCGGCACGAAAGGAGAACATTTCTCGAAGTAAACGGAATGACTGGTGGATAAGTTTGAGCACAAGGGCAAGATACCCGAGGGTATAGTACTCACAGTTTAGACTGTTCAGCCACTGATAGCTTGGTTGAGACAAAGTTTGCAGCTACTTCAAAGGGATTTTGCAACAGTAAATGGTATTCCAAGGGCATTTGAGGTCTTAACTGTGCCGGGTACAAGATGGGCGGCCCACTGCTTTGTATCGATTCATCTTGCGGCGGTGTGTTGGCGGTGAACTGTCGGATCTGGCGCTCTAGCCTTGTCTTGTCATACTGCAACTCGCCTATGTTCCACTTGAGATTTTCGTTCCTTTTTCCTTGGTCTGATGGTAGACTTACTGATTTTGCGCTCCAATTCTTTCACATACCCCCTCGGGAGCCCAGTCTTCTTTGCATCAACGTATCTGCAAGTGAGAGATGCTGCCAAACACTGGGTACAGGCTGGGCGTGTTGCGTCGCACTTGGTCTTCTTTCTTCTACATTCGGTACATGATTTGGATGGCATTCCGGACTTGCTGTTGTCAGGTAGTGAAGGGGAAACTGCTGAGCCTTGACCTCTGGTAGCCATTTCCATAGACGGAATTGGCTCGCTTGCGATGACGAGGAAAAGAGAGGCCCATAGAGCGAGGGTTGGGGGATCTCAAATCCGGGGATTGTGAAGCGTCTGGGGAAACATGGGGAAAATTGGCACTAGAACAAAAGTGGTAGAAGTGCCGAGTGGTTACGCTTTACCGCAAGTGGCAATGTAGAACGACCGGTGTCCACTCCTCGACTACAGCATGTGTGTGCTTGTCTAAGGTTTTATGGTGTTAAAGGCTCGGGGATGGACCGTAATTTGTGTTGAAAATAAAAGTGCGCAATAAAGTCACGTGTGGCCTGATCTTGGCACAACTTATGCAGCCCTGAGAGGGCTACAAATTAGGCATCAAGAGCTGGGAGTTGATCCCTAAGACTGCTGTAAGAAACCTACATAGTATCATTGATGTGTGATAAGATTGACTGTGTGGTTTGCACTATACCCAGGAGTTGTTTTTGGCCAGTTGTCGGGCACTCGGATAGGTGTGACCCTAGGATAACCCTTGTTTACGGCGATTGACTAACAAATCTCTCCCAAGAGGTTTCCATACGAGATACCATGCCATGTAATCTGTCGATCCCTGAAAGCTCTCACAAAGACACTGACTTAGCCCCTGACGTTAGTGTCTGCAATCATCACACTCGGTCACTTCAACTAGATGTCGGTTCCCCAACCTATGCAAGTAATGCTGATACTTGAACTATATTCGCTACTGGATGCAGCTTGCCGCATTTGGTACTTGTAAATTCACGACTACTGCTATCTGCTTGCATATGCACTCATGTACCCCATTGTAGCCCCCATCCCACCCACTCCAGAGGTCCTCACGGCCTTTCTCTATTCCATCAACCTCCTTGTAAATCAATCCTCAGTTGATTTCACGAGAGCTGCAATGCGGTCGTCGTCGTGAAATAGTTCGTCCGCCGCTTTATTTGCCTCGTATTTGCTTTTGACTTTCTGGAGAAGCTGCCGGACAGCTGGATCGGTGCTAAATCGATCCTGTTACACTCATCAGCAACTGAAATGATGTTATCTATACGGAATGGTATAATACCGGAAACTTTTTCCAAACAGAAGCGTCCGTTGCTTCTTGCTTGGAAGATGAAATCCCCCATTCCGTGAACAGCAACGATCGACTGCTCTCGAGCATAAAGGTGAGCGAGCCTTTGACATTGACTTAGTTTTTTTTTGTTTCACATCATGTAGGTGACTTGGAATTCTCACCCGAAGAAATAATTCTTGGTTCGTTCTTCATCCGCCTCATCTCGGTCAAGTATGGTTGCGAGAAGCCGCCGTGTGCAATGTGACCAGCCTCGTAACTTCCTCCGCCAGGTCGGAAGCCTGCTGAACGACCGGCGCCGGCAGACTCGGAGTAGATATTGGCTAAAAACTCGGAAGCCGCATTTCGGTGGAAGAAAGGCGGTCGAAAGGTATTCTGAGCAACATCCCAACGCGGTCCAAACCACAAGAAGTCCACAAGTGGTGTGTCCGGATCTCTTGATTTCGCCGTGAGGACAGTGAATACAGAAGGATCTGTGTGATCCACAGAAACAGAGGACACGCTGACGAACTTGGTCAAGTCGTACTAGATATCTCCTAGTCAGTGATAATCCTAGCACTCAACAGGGCAATTGCCTCTTCATACCTTGTAGGGAACACTGTTACCATGCCAGGCTGCAACATCAAAGGGACTATGGTCCTGACGATGGACTGAATACTTGCCGGTGATCTTTGTGAAGACCAACCACTCAGCGTCCAATTCGTCATCCACGAAAGCCACGGGCGAGAGGAAGTCGCGGGGATTGGCCAAGCCGCTGCAACCAATGGGACCAAGCGTCGGCAGCTCCCAGCATGAACCGAACAGCTCAATCATGTAGCCGCGGGCATGTTCATCCCCCTTGGCGAGAGAGATTCGGTGTTTGATGCCCCGTGGTATGACTGCGATCTCGCCGGGCTGAAGGTACAAACGGCCCATCTCAGTCTGTAAGATGATATGGCCAAGTTGAGCAACCAGCATATACTCACCATCTGCGTTGACAAGAGCTCGACGATTCATATCAGCATTTATGGCGTAGATGTGCAGGGCGATTCCATCACGCAAGCTAGCATCTCCATTACCCCCAACCGTGCGAATGCCATCGATGAAGTCCGTCTTCTCATTGGGAAGCTCAAAAGGTGCCCACTCTGCCTGCGAGGCAATGGAACTCACAGCTTTGTTGGTGGCTAGAAAGCAACTTTGCCAGGCGGACCTTGTTTCCACATCCACGTGGCCATCTGTGGGATAGCCAGTCAGCTTTTCTTTCGTATATGGTAGAAAACGCCGGTGAACTCACCAATTGCACAGCTTGGTCGACAACGGTACAAAACAGAGCTCTGATTCGCAGAACGGGGTGCAGCAAAGGCAGACGCGGTGAACACTTCCGTGTACAAATTGAAGCGGCAGATCTGGGGATGGTTCTGTCCCAGTGGCAAAGTGCCGGGGATAAGCTCGGACTGGAAGTGATTCCCAAAGCCGCTCTGGTATTCGAACGGATCATCTTTACGGACGGGCCTAGTAAGCCTCAAGTCGGTGAAGTGAAAAGGAGGAGCGTTATTCTTTGTTTGCTCGGCCATGCTTGCTATTCGGGTTACTTGCTTGGAGCTGGTGCTTGTTCTGTGGTCTTTTCGGGTCACTCTGCTGATAAATAGGAAAGCGACTGATGGCATAATTTCCTGGATTATCTAACTAGGAAGCAAATATCCGATTTAAAGTACCAAACAGGGATCAAGACTGTAGTCCGCCCTAAAACTATGCCGATTGGTGTTCGAGTAGCGGCGGGGAAGACCGGTCAAGAGTTAGAGCCCGGGCTAATCTCCCTTCAAATTGAAGGATAGCCTTGATCTGAAGCTCTCCAATGATTCCTCCGGTTGTAAAAACATGCCCCAAGGCAAGAGATGGTCTATTTTGCACAGATAAATGAATAAATGGGGTCAACAACTCCACCACTACCACCAGCAGACAAAGTCAATTCAAAGAGACAACAGACACCACAACCAACAGCAGCAGCAGCAACAGCAGCAAGCAACAATCACCATGTCAACCTCCACCGTTACACATACGACTGATGCCCGAACTACTCCTCAGTCATCGGATCTGTCAGAATTGGAAATCAAACCCGGAGAGAAGACCGTAAGCGTGGGGGAATTTCCTCGCGTACCACAATTTCCCGACCAATATGAGAAGAGAGAGTATCTCAAAGGGCGGCTAGCTCTAAGCTTCCGCATTTTTGGCAAATATGGCTTCGATGAAGGTGTTGCAGGCCACATTACCCTCCGAGATCCAGTTGATCCCAACACCTTTTGGGTCAATCCATTCGGAATGCCATTCAAGCTGATCAAGAAATCCGACTTGATTCATGTCGATCACGAGGGAAACATCATAGGGGGAGGACCAAATCGCCTTCTCAATCTTGCGGCGTATGCTATCCATGCCGAAATACACAAAGCAAGGCCCGAGGTCAACTGTGCTGCACATGCGCATAGCTTCTACGGCCGCACCTTTTCGGCGTGGAGAAGAGTCATCGATTACACAAGCCAAGATTCCTGTGCGTTCTGGAACGATCTAGTCGTTTATGACTCTTTCAAAGGGGTAGTTTTGGCGAGCGAAGAGGGCAGAGATATTGCCAATGCTCTGGGTTCGAAGAAAGCCTGCATTCTTCAGAATCATGGTCTGTTGACCGTTGGAACTACCGTGGAGGCAGCGACATTCTGGTTCATTTCTCTTGATAAATTATGTCACACGCAACTGCTCAACGACGCTGCTTGCGCCCGCGGGGGAGCCGTGAAAAGCATCGCTGCCCAAGACGCCGAGAACACCTATAAGAACGTTGGAAGCTCCAGGGCCGGTTGGTTCAATGGATTGCCATTATTTCAGCTCATGGCCCTAGAGTGTAGCGATGAATATTTGAAATAGACAGAGGGTATAGTCTAGCAAATTCAGTTAATTGAGAGCTTGGAAACTTCTGAACACAAATTCGCACGTCAACGTTTCTTTCGTCAAAACGATCAATCGATCCCGAATAGACTTTATCTATACCGTGTCGACTTTTATACATGAATAACGATACATTTTATTCATAGATTTCTACTTAAGTTCCTTAATGCTAACTTTCTCTCGATAGAAAGGAGGAGGAGGCGAGGGTCCTAAATATCCTTACGTGGTAGATTTTGATCTTTTTACATGTCTGCCATCGTGGATAGAGATTAGCCTGTAATGATCAACACATCAAGAAAATTGTTAACCCTGATAATATGACAGAGCCAGTACCTTATGCAATACTTGACTTCATACTTACCTATGTTAGATGATAGAAGAAATCCATACAAGTCACTTATCTTTTTCATCTCGTATCAGCTGATTTCAGGAAGAGGGGGAAGTAAATATCATGACGAGTTTGGTAAAGAACATATTCCCAGGCATATTGTTCGATCATGGAGTCTTGCTCCACCATAGAACTTTGTCCCGTCACCAACCTGACTGATCGGTCAAACACTTCTCCGCATCGAGCAATCCCCCGTCAGAGCTTCTCGCTCGGGAAAACGTTTTGATAAAATTCAAGGCTGACATCCACGATTCATGCCAGTTGCGCTCACTGCCATTCCAGGTACGCGGACAGATGGCCCAACTTCATATTTATCATTGAGCCCTCCGTCCGTTAACCAATGCGACATCATTATCACTGCCTTCATTTTCTTCAACCAACCCCAGTTCATAGGATAGCCACTCTGTGTCCAGCCAACATGATCAGCCACGAGATTTCTCTACCTCCCTTCCCAGATGACGTGCCCACCGTACCAATCGCGCGCATTTCATACGCAAAGCTCGCATCATCCGACAAAGATGAGATGGACAAGACATTGAAAGCAGTCCAAACAGATGGCTTTTTTTACCTAGACTTAATGGATCACTCTCTTGGGCGAGTGCTTCTTGAGGAGGCTGAAAATGTTGTGAATTTTTCCAAAGAAGCATTTGATTCGGAGCTTGACGAAAAAATGCAATTCCGTGCAGAGAAGGGCAAATCAATGTTTGGCTATAAACCAGCAGGGACGGTCAAGAAAACAGATAAAGATCTGCGTCCTGACACTACCGAGTTCTTTAACATAGCCAAGGACCATTTGTTGGGCAACTCGGAGTCCAGAACCTATCCTCCCCAGCTTATGCAGCACAAGGAAGAGCTCCAAACCTTCACGAGAGATTCGCATGCTCTGGGTATTCTTGTGCTTCAGGTCCTAGCTGAGCAGCTCGACCTTCCATCCGAGGTGTTTGCTGACAAGAACAAGATTGACTCTCTCTCTGGAGATCATATCCGCGTTACCAAAAAGCCTCCCCATGATCCATCACAGACCAATGTGATTGGTCTCCCCTCCCACACCGATTTTGGCAGTGTCACCGTCTTGTTCAACTGGCTCGGCGGCCTCCAGATTCAAAGCCACGATCCAGAGCGTCAAGGGGAGTGGGCTTACGTCAAGCCTCTACCAGGTCACGCCATCATCAATCTTGGTGATGCCATGGTCAAGTTCAGTAATGGGCACTTGAAATCAGCAAAGCACCGCGTCGTGCCAGCGCCTGGAGCCCAAGCTAAGGTGGACCGTTATAGCTTGGTTTATTTCCTTCGACCGGCTGATGACGTGCTGATGCAGCCTGTTGAAAAGTACCGCAACGAACCCGTCGTATCTGTTGGTGGCAAGGTTGGCGAGGAGAAGGTCTATACTGCTGGTGAATGGATGGTTCGCAGGATGCAGCACATGTCAAAGTGATGCTGCCTAGGTCATTGGATTGGCTGCTCTGAATTTGCCTCACTAACGAGCTAGTAGCAAGCTTTGAATAAAAAATCTTTTACTTTTGATTTGAGTTGTGACTTATTATTCATATATTGATTGAAGGTCGGTGGACTCACGTAATCCATGTAGTTATGGCACGAGCGCAACATTCACGCGGATGTCAATGTTTGTGAGTCTTGAACATTTTGAATTGGAATTCGATTATTGTTGAACCTAGGTAATTGGCGTTATTACTGCCATGGAATTGCTTGTTAACATCTTGTGATACCTATGTCCATGAACATAAGACAATGCATAGAGGTTGGCTTGACAAGTTGATACTACCGATAAATTCTCAGAAAACGCTTACCATGTCAATTGTGTTCCAATATACTACCTTTCTTGGTGATCCCATTCATGTATGAAACAGTCTATAAGAGAGACAAGTCTAAGAGGATTCGGCCAGATTCGTGGCAAGGTATCTGGAGCAGAATATCTTGAGTGCCATTCAGTTGTCAAACTGCTGTACAAAATATGTAGTAGAGCTGATGATATAAGTCCCAGTCTCCAGAAGCTATTCTCCACCTCTTCTATAGATGGTTTCGTTTCTAACCGCCCTGCTAGTCGATGTGCATTTATGAAACCAGTCCTTTCGCCCATTCAATGGCTGAAACTGCCTGTACTGGCCTTCTTCAAGGCTTTGTGACTTCACATGGTCCGGGCCGTAGTTCATGACAGCATTGGTTTCTGTGAAAGGTGCCCATGGCGAAACTCCATCAAGGAATTCGACGAAGTGTTTTCCCATCTCCTCCGCTGCTGCTGCATACTCCTTGGACAGGAGATGATTATACGTTTGGAAGAAAAACAGTAGATCCACACCGTGGTGGGCCCTACCGCTAAACATGCCATCAAAATGGTTGATAAAACGCATCCGGTAGAGGTAGGCGTCTCCTTGCTTCCAATTGTTGACCAACTCATATAGAGGCTGCCTAAACTCCACCCCGCCGCAGAAATCAGCAAGTTTGGGAACAAGCTCGCTATCCTGGCCGTCATCCGTGATCTCGTACTGTTGAAGGATGTCATAGGTCTCTCGAGGGTCGTAGTGGGTGGCCATTCTATCAATTATCCTGGGCACGGTCCATTGTTTCTGTCTGATGCGCCCGCCCCATAGGATTCCCTAGTAAGAAGATTAGTTTTTCTCGTTCGTCTGTCTTTCCTTAATCTAAGATGATTTCGGATCAAACCTCTTGTTCACAAAATCCAACCATGATTCGTTTAATTGACGGAGCATAGACTTGGTTAGCAAGTCCATCACATGTGGGCAACGCTTCAAGAACAACTCCGTCAACCGTTGCTTGCCAGTTAGGCAAAGGGCTTCCTAGGCAAATATAGGCGGACACAAGATCTTCCTGCTTGATCGAGCGGAGCCTTTCCAGCCTCTGATTTGATGGCAGGTTTGTCGAGATTCCGAGGTGTTCGAGGAATTTGTCGTAAATATGCTGCTGATGATCTAGCTCCCGACTCGCGATGACAGAATTTCCTGATATAACAATAGCCTGCTGTAACAACTGTTGAGATCGAAGCAGGGGGGACATCATTAGAATGTGAAGGTCGCCTACCAGCAATTAGTGTGTTGGTCCATAACGCCTGTGAGGGAACATCGATTGTGTCGATGGTTGAATGACTCACTGGCGCCAGAGCTTTGGCCAACTGCGGTGATTCTCTCCGCATCGCCACCAAAGCCGCGAATATATTTCTTAACCCAGAGCATTGCCATATACTGGTCATGCAGAGCGTAGTTACCAACACCTTTGTCTCCCGTGCTCTGGTTATCTCTTAAGATATCATCAGATGCCATGAACCCAAAAGCACCCAATCGAAAGCTGCAAGTTAATCTCGTGAGCAAGGTTATTGCTAATAACAGAATTTTGGATCTTGTCCTTACTTGACTGTCACAACAATCGTAGGGCGGCCAATTCGTAAAGAAAGTGCCACAAGTTTGCTGGCATTGTAACCCGGAACATTGCCTGAAGAGGTACAATTCATGCCGCTGAGCATCTGTCAGCGGGAAGAGGGAATGGGAAAGGACAGAGCTACAGCAACTTGCCCATGGAAGAAGATGGCAACAGGTAACGGAGACTCCTGTTTCTGAGTCGGTGCGGTGATGTCCAAATTAAGACATTTCAACTCGTCTGCAGGAGGTAGCACATCAGCCTGCGGCACAGCTAATTTTGCTCCTACCAGGTTGAAGGATGAAGCAGGGCTTGGACATGGGGGGCTGCTTGTTTGTTAGAAATAATATTGCTCTTTGAGTTCAAGTTTATGAAATTGTGTCCAACGTAACTGACCCGAATTTGCTGGCCTCGAATCGGCCATCTTCCCACACCTCGAGAAGTCTGGGCTGCTGGAATCTCTGTGGGACAACACCATACTGAATCCCTCGAAATTGTGCAACAGAGTCGTCGAAATAGGTAATTTCTGTGGAGATTTCACCTAGACCAGGGATTTGACGTAAGACAGGGGCCATGATGATGAGAAAACAGTGTGGAGGTGATGTGGTGGGAATTGACGTGGTGACAGGGTGACCAAGTCCATATTTCACCATGATATTTGGCTGTCTACTGGCACAAGTCATACTAATCCGTTTGCCGATTGGTCGGGGTAATATTGCAAGTTCACCGGATCTAGGCACTCAATACGGCAAATGGCTCTCCCGCGCATGTCCATCAGGGAAAGGTTCTGGCCAAAGTGAGCCTCCACCGTACCAGACAACATTAGTTAGAATTAAGCCTCAATGAGGTACCGGGACATCATGAAGTTCGTTCCTCAGAAGAAAGGCATGAGGAGCAACTACTATGTTCTCTATAGAGGCATCATCTTCATGACACGATTCTCATATAGTCATTCATTCATTGCTCACATGAAAAAGCAAGTCGTCGGAGAGAAGAGAGTTCTAGAAGATTGGTGGGAAATAAGCTAGAGCTTTACTCTTTCCATGCTACTTGACTAGCCATCCAACGGGAACCTAAGTCTATGACACCCTCAGGTTCAAATTTTCGAAAGAGCCAGTCCCTCAGATCTAATAGCCTTAACAGCTTCGTGTTCCGCGTCATAGCCATGCAATCCTGTGACCCAATCCCCCGCCGGGCTGCCGTCGGCCGCATCCCATGTCCACACATGGGCCCTGGTCTGCTGATCCGGATTCTTCAAGACAGCATCTCTCTCGCGCTGCTCAGGGCCATCTGGAAGATGGTTTCTGGCTCTTTGATCACGGGAAAACATCTGGATTTTGGTAGCTCGCGGCTTTCGATATCTGGAGTAAATGTCTGCAGCGATTTCCAATTGATCAGGTAAATGCTTCAAACATTCGGCCAGAAAGGCTGCGTCCTCCATTGCTGAGCAACTGCCCTGGGCAAGGTATGGTAACATTGGGTGACAAGCATCTAGACATGGTCAACCAGCACATTCGATTTGCACATTCAACGATGGGAAGCCTACCTCCCAGAAGGACACAGCGGCCGACGTTCCATTTCTCCAAAGGTGGCAGATCCATCAATTTCCATTTAATTAGTTGGCTCTCTTGCGCTTTTTCGATCAAACGCGTAACTCTGTTTCAATATCAGGACATATATCGCCACTGAGAAAAAGCATGATTAGACTTACTTGGGACACCATCCATCGTAAATCTCTTTTAGGTGATCACTCGTACCTGTTCCACGCGTGGCGTCTCCAAGAGACCCATCGTCAGGGAACAAGGTAATGACGTTGTACATTTGCTTTCCACGCAACATGTATCCGACAATGTGCTTTCCGGGACCCCACCAGCTGTGAGTATCGGGTGTTTCAGCCAGGGGCTTGAGGATTTCGTCGTCCAACATGTCAGCTGTAGCAACACGAAAGCGATAGGCAAGATCGCCGGTGGGACGGGGCTTCTCAAACCCAGGAAACAATGTGGTCCTGATTTTCGAGTGAATGCCATCGGCCCCAACGACAAATCTGCATTCCAACGTCTCACCCGATTCCAATATCACCCCTGGGCTTGTCTCGTCGTCACCCGTGCGGACCTTTGCAACAGGGGTGCTGGTCCGTAGCTCCACGCCCAGCTGTCTTGCTCTATCCAAAAGGCCTTGATGTAAATCAGCCCGGTGAATGTGCCAGTACGGGGCCCCAAACTTCTCCTCGGCAGCCGGGTTCATGATTCGCTCTGTTAGTATCTCTCCATCCTGCCACCGACAGACACGGCCACGATGCGGTGCAACAACGTTAGGCTCGAGATACTTGGCGCAGCCCCAACGTATCAAAAGTTTGGAGCAGTTCGATGACAGCTGAATGCCTGCGCCAATCTCTCCGAGCCTGGATGCTGCTTCAAGGACGAGCACGCGATAGTGTCCGGTTAATGCGATAGCAACAGCTGCTGAGAGGCCGCCAAGGCCTGCTCCCACAACGATCACGAGAGGGGCCTCCGAGGGAGAGTTTCCGTTAAGTGTAGCCATGGCTGGTGGTGAGATTTGACTGACTCCCTGCTGAGTAATAGCTAATCGCTTGCCAAGTAAATTATGTGAGAATTAAGGCGGAACGCAGAGATATAAAATGCAATAGCTTTCCACTGGGTGAAAGAAACTAACTTGCTTCATGCACATATAATAAACGGTACAAGTTTAGCTCCCTCGCCCTTCTGGACTAACCTTCCTTGTGAAAATCGTGACCTGGTTTCACATAACAATAACTTTCTCCGAGAATGTGGCCTAGACGAACCAACTACGGAATCTCCAGGGATAATGCGGTTTTGAGTGTTTACTATCCCCTTGTTTGTTATCCGGGGAAGTCTTCCGCACCGTGGCCGAAACAATATCAAACGAGTTAGTAACACAACACTGCAGACATCGGGGAACTAGAAGATCGGCGTAATATCCGGACAAATCTTCATTCTGGTCTTTCAATCTTGATCCCTCGCTTGAGGGTGTAGAGCAATATCCGCTTCACCAAAGAGCGTTACACCGCTTGAACCCGGATCGGCGGTTCCCTGCTAGTCATCAAGTAGGATACGTCTAAGAATCTCCATCTAGTCTAGAAGTAGTAGGACTTAGCCGACGGGGTCTAACCATGCTCGAATCGGAATGTGTTAACGAGGCGAGTCATGGCCCTCAACTACACCCAGCAGGGGAGTTCTAATTACGGGTCCCCCTTGCCACCGCGATGGCTCTTTACTGTAATCAATGTGACACATGGATAACTCGCGTTCTCATGGCGATGCTTGCCGTAGCCTTCTCTCCTTTTTTTAGTGGTGGGCGACGTGATGGCTTGCTCAATCAAAAACGCTATAGTAATCTTTGTACAATCGGCTCGGGGCAGTAAGAGCCTTGTAGTTGTAGCTATAACAGTATCTTAGACCTTAAGATTACATTTGGAGTTGTAGCTAAATGCTATTTGGTGGGAGGACATGTGCCTGAGTTAGTAAAGGGAAATGATTTGGATGTGATCTAGGAGAGGCATAATAGCATAGATAATTAAATAGTATTGATTCCTTTCTTTTATAGACCATTCTAAAGATTGATTGAGATGATTCGGACAAGTAGACCATGGAGAACTGTTGAAAAGTACCTTCGGTTGATTTGGTGCAAGCCATTAACCACTTGCTCCGAACAAAACCATGGCTTCAGCCAGATAATTACAAATCAATTTGGTGCCATTTATACTATTAAAAAGAGATCAGCCATGCTCAAACAGCGACTATAAGAACCACTTACTAGTTAATTTTGTCCAGCTTTTCTGTTGATGGGAACAATGAGTTAGTGAAACACGTTATACGGCATATAAGTTTCCATGAAACTTTCTTAAGTAACGTACCATTTATGGAGTGAGCACCGTCTCCTGCCCGCCCAATAGGAAGCAGGAGAACATTCTTCTTCAGAACCTGTTTCAAATCCAATGCAATAGGGATGCTAAAATTGTCGCGTCAACGGATTATAGCAACAGAAGCTCAAAAGAGAACCTACCTGCCCCCCTCACACGAAAGACCAGGCTCGTGGTCCCATACGTTGCGGGTCGCATTGATTGCGGCTTGGTAACTCCAGTGAGAACTGTCTTCGAAGAACCAATCGCTCTGGTGGACGCAGTTAATCTGCAGGCTATTCTTGCTGCCCAGGCTTCGGAACTGAGTGTTGATGTGTTGCTGTACCAACTTGTCCACTTCAGCAGAGTCCATGTCTGGGACAGTCCGGATGCTGAACTTTCCCCTGACCTTGGCCGGAATAGAAGTCGTCGCACCTGCCCCGGGAGCTGCGTTCTCCAGCCTATGAAGGCTCAGCGATGGCTTTCTCCATCTAAATCAATGTTAGCATCCAGCATGAGGGAACACAGTCTTCTTAATGTTAATGTTCAGGTCCTTGCTCACCGATGAACTAAGCCTTCGATGAGATCGCTATGTAAGCTCCGACCGTTGATAGAATCCACAAGATCCCCTTCTGAGAGCCCCAACTTCTCCCATTGATCCTTTTCTTCATCAGTTACTGGTCGCACCGTATCGTATATGCCTGGAATAAGGATTCTGCCTTTCGAGTCCACCATAGAAGACATGACGCTTGCCAAATCTGACATTGGCTCCGAGAGGACGCCCCCGAAGGAACCACTGTGGGCATCCTTTTCTGCACCAGTGACGTCGAGTACGTAGAACAAAACCCCCCTAAGACCTTGGGCGATGCTAGGATATGTGTTTCCTGCCCAGACGAGATCACTGATACAGATGGCATCCACGTCGGCGAGGAACTGGCTAGCCTCTTCCTCGAGGGCGGCTCGCAAACCGGTTGAGCCGTTTTCTTCCATGCCCTCAAACAAGAAGAGTAGGTTTACTGGCACATCCATCCCAGCTGCCTGGAACGCCTCAATGGCGTTGAGCCAGCATAACAAGGGACCTTTGTCATCTGATGTTCCCCTCCCACACAAGCGGCCGTCGTCCTCGGTCGTCATCTCCCAGGGATCCGTCGACCAACCATCAGACTTCTCGGCGGGCTGGACGTCGTAATGGCAGTACACGAGAATGGTAGGCTTCTTGGGGTCTTGCCCGTAACGTCCTAAAACAATTGGAGGCAGCTTTAGCCCTGTGTGCTTCTCATAGCCTATATCCTTGAGCTGAACTTGAATTCCCAGAAGAGTCATCTCCTCCTGGAGCATCTGGGCCATCTAAGAGACGTGTCTAAGTGAGTCACCGTCCGATGTGGTCATCCTTTTGGAAATCTAGACTTACCTCAAAACATTTTTCACGTGACTCCGAATATGCTGATATAGATGGGATCCGAATAGCCCTGCGCAAGCCTGGAGAGAAGGTTCAGTTGCGAATACACTGGCAGCCACACAAACAGACTCACGGTTGATAAAGTGGCTCTCAAGTTCGTCCACCCTGAGTGACCGTGGCCAGTCAGCGCATCATATATCATCGTCAATCAATAGGAATTGGTGCAAGTCCGCTGTGGCACCTACTTTGCAAAGAGATGCTGGAAACCGTCAGGCGCGGAAGTTGTCATTTTGGGCAGATCAATCAAGCTTTTCTAGCCAACGGTGGTCTAGAGCCAATGTTCTCGACCGATGGTCTCCTCTGTTATAAGGAGCATATTGAATTATAAGTGACAATTGAAGCAAGATAACAACTAACACAACACATTACTCCGGCAAATGTATAATCCAAGGCCGGAGTCGCTGCCAGTGCCCCGTGTAACATGTGGGACAGTGTGGCTCGTCGCTTGATTTACCCCTTTTGTAGTATTTTTACGACGATGTCCCCACACTCGCACTCGAGATCACGTCAACAACACCGCCAGCATCGCTTAAGAGGGCATGATGATGATGATGAAACTTTGTAGCATCAGCCCGCTGTTTATCAACGGAAAATTACACTGCTTTCTCACCTCTCCTCGCTCGTGCAATGGAATCACAACCTAAAATTCTTGTCATTGGCTCACCGGAGGGTCTTGTTGACGAGGCTCTTTGGAAGTCTTTCCAGTGTCAATATCGTGTTCGTATGTACGATTTCCCCACTCTTGACAAATTCCACAATTCTTTGAAGAATGGAGAATGCAGTGATGTTGCTGGAATCGTACGGCTGGGACTCAATATTCCGCAGGGCATCGAAAAGGTCGGCCAAGGATGGACACAACGAGGCCTTCCTTTTTTCCCCGATTCTCTACGACTAATCGTCAATTTTGGACATGGCTTCGACGAGGAGGACATTAAAGGCCTTCAAAAGAAGGGTATACAATTCTTCAACACTCCCGGAGGGGACGAGGCCACTGCCGTCGTAGGCATTTACCTCGTCATCTCCGTCTTCCGCCAACTGGGCCGATACGAGAAGATGCTGCGTCAAGGGGATTTCCTCCCTGCCCTGCGAGACTCGGCTAAGACAGCTGTCGATACCTTGGGCAAGCACATTGGAATCGTTGGCATGGGCGCCATCGGCAAGGCAGTGGCGCGTCACGCGGCCGGGCTAGGTATGCATATTCACAGCCTCGACCGACCGAATTTGCGAGCAGCCCTATCTCTACAGGGTGGCAATACAGCTTCGCCTTCACTTCCCCCCATAACTCTTGAGCAGAGCCTAGACGAGCTGGTTGGCAAGGTGGACTGCCTTGTGCTGGCGTGTTCCTACTCGCCCCAGACCCATCACCTCTTATCCAAAGAGGTCTTCGCCCGGATGAAACACGGAATGCGCATAGTCAACATTGCTCGAGGGAAATGCATTGATGAAGATGCACTCTGTGGAGCGCTTGCGACGGGGCAAGTCGCAGCAGCAGGACTAGATGTACATTATGATGAGTCTGTCACCCTCCCCTCGTATACCAAACAGGCGAGATGACCAAGGGCCCTCCCTCTTATCGGCTTCCCCCCTCTCTACACTTCTACTGATTAACAAGGCACGATTTGCTGACCTGTACCCTAGGCCTCATGTCAACCCAGCGCTGCTCGAGTTTCCCTCTGTCACGCTTCTCCCTCACGTTGGAGGTCTCACGTCAGGATCTATGAAGGTACGTCTCGATAATTTGCCCTTTCCTATCTGCACAGTCCGGGTCACTTTTCTGCCAAGTGTGGGTGCTGACTGCTGGGCCTTCAAGAATCATGCCGAAATCGCATTGAAAAGGGCAGATGAGTTTTTTCGTCGAGAGAATGGTAGTATTTAGGGATGGTTGAGATAGTCAAATAAGATATTACGTTCAATCAAGTGAAAGGTATGCGGAGAATCTTGATTAAACCAATAGGAGCTAGGGTTATTCTGTGTTTATCGGTGCAATCAGGCCGTTTTACTCGTACACTAGAATCAACGATGTTATACAAGATCATGTCGCATCGAATAAGAAGCGTCAGTTGATGATCATTACCCTGCGTATGGGATCTAAACATTGCAGTTTGGAGGATGGCTACTAACAGCTTGATATAAATCCAGATGTCTATTTGGTCCGGCATCACTGGAAATTCTATAGGGCATCTCTAAGCTTCACTCATACATTTCTTTTACCATCGTACCTTTAGAATTCTCGTTGATTTGTGGCTATTTGATATGTTCATGGTTTCCCTTTTATTTTCCTAACAGATGATTTAGGGGCTAAGCAAGAGCGGTCAACCATGGTATATACTAATTCTCATCAATCACGTATGCCCACTCGTGCTCTACCTTGCCAAACATAATGTCCGAGAGCCACGTCTTAATAGTGTAGGAATACTTGGCAACCGGCAATTTTGTACCGTCCTCACCGACTGTCCTTGGTAAAGTAACGTTGATGCCATCGTACAAGATTTCAGAAATAGGCATGACGAACATCTACGATAGTATTAGTTTGCACTCCAAATATGCCAAGAGGGAAAAAGAAGAAGACTTGGCCCAAAGTTAGACTTACAGCGGTACCTGAAACAAACGCCTCGATAAGTCTGCCTTCCTTTTGCGCCTCGACAATCTCATCCATATTGAATGTTCGTTCAACCACCTGGACAGGCTGAAAACCTTCGGGCAGGTCGGCCGAGTCTTTAGTGAGCCGCTGGCGTGCAAGATCGAGGACGCTGCGCCTCGTAATTCCATCGAGGATGACCTCCGTGTCGAGCGACGCTGTGACCAACTCGAGGACGTCCGAGTCTTTGCGTTTCCACACAACAAAGAAGTTGCTGGCACCGGCTTCTGTCACCTGCCTGTCCTCGCCAAACAGCCACAGTGTCTGGCCGCAGCTGTTCTCCCGGGCTTTGGCCTGGGCTACCATGGCGGGTCCATAGTTGGCACCAACCTTGGAACCACCAAAGCCGCCAGGCCACGCACGAATCACGTCCGAGTCACTCGCTAGGAGGCGCATCCCTGGCGACGGCTCGTGGGACGACTGTGGAAAGAGGGCGGCAAAGAGGAAGAACAGAGCCTCGGGGGGCCTCTGGATACCGAGGGCGGATCCGCTGCCGATCGTGGCGGGGCGGAGGTAAAGGTGAGACCCTGGCTCTGGGAGCCATCGCCGGCACTCAATGGCCAGGAACTTGGAAATCACGGCCAAGAGCTGATCAGAGTCGATGGCAGGGAGGCATACTCGAGCGTTGGATTTGTTCATTCGTTCGCAGTTGAGCCAAGGACGAAAGAGGCGGACTTTACCATCGTAGCCACGATAAACCTTCATCCCTTCCTACATGCCACCAATGAATAAGAAAGAAAAGGACGCTTGGCAAGACAGGGCGTGCTTGAACTTACAAACGATTCGGTAGCATAGTGGAGGACACTGGCCGTGGGCTCCAAGGCGATCTTACCGTACGGTCCCATGTGAGGCGGGCCCCAGCCCTCTCCAGCCACCCATGGTGCCTGAACCATGTGCGCGGTAGTGAGCTTCTGTGTCAAGCGCCCCGGATCCTGCAATCCAGGAACAGGTAGCTGCTCAGCCTCAGGCACAAGGCTGGTAGTCATTGTAGACGCATCCATCTCTCGGTATGTCTTGGTGGGCTCTTGTCCATTGGTACCGACTGGCTGGGCGGCGGCAGGAGAAGAAGCGCTTGGACTCATGGCGGCTTTGGATCACTCGAATATGAGAGGTGAGCTTGAAGAACGGCGCAATGGAATACGATGAGGGGAATGAGATGAAACAGCAAGGTATCAAAGACGATGACGGGTGACTGTAAAAGTCAGACAGGCTAAGTGATGGAGAACCCCAGCTTATCTATGGTAGCTAAGTGTATCGTCGTCGATCAATCATGAATGCTTCAATCCAAGCGGCAGAAGCCCGACCCCATGAAGCTCTTGATTCCCCTTTTGGGTAAGAAAGAACGACGGCACAGGGGAGTGGGTCGATGACGATGGAGCCGGCATAAACCTAGACCAAACCGATAATTGGGCGGGCGGGATTATTCACTAGGGAATCATGACAAAGTCGATGCTCCAGCCCCTGGCATGCCTCGCGTATATCTCCACAAAGAACTTGTCCGGGGCCGCACTTATTTCTGGGTCTAGACCTTGGTAGAGGTTCCCCCGTACCGACTCTGCATCGTCCGTTGGAGGGTCAGTGTCATCCATGTCTACCATGCGGACCTTGATGATGGTCCAACCAGCACGAGGCCCTGTTGGGCCGTATTCCGCATCCACATAGGCGATGAGCCGCTGAGCCTGCTTGACGTTCCAGATTCCCTCGCGGGCTGCCGGAAAAGCCGCCACCCACTCTCGAATCCACGCTTTGCATTGCTGGTTGTCCGTGAGATAGTAAGCGTTCATTAGCCCTGGCAGCATGCCGTGCCCGTAAGCGTGCACTCTGACGCAAGAGGACAAGGGCACGCCAGCGGCCAATCGGCAGATCATTGTCACCGTCTCCTCGGCGTTATCAGGTAGGACCTTTGTGTAGCTCAAGTAGCGTGTCTGCAACCGCACGAGAGATCCAAGGTAATGAATCATGTCAGTCGCCGCCCTTGTTGGCTGGCGGGAGCCAGTGAAGTGGATAGGTGTTATGCCCATGTGCCCAGTGTTTCCAAGGGGTATGCTGTCCACATCGGATGTGTCTGGAAGCTCACTGGATGGTAGGCTGGCATACCATGCGTGGAGCTGCTCAACGAGGTCGTCCGCCATGATACGCCAGTGTGACTCGCGCCCGGGATCACTCCGCCAATCCTCCTCGAGCTTCACTACCAAGGGCAGAACTGCGAGCAGGCGGTCCGACGGGTTCGGCGAGCTTCGTAGCGCTTCTGAGAGCACAAGAGACATACCAGGCTCCGGCAGCGCTGGACGCACCGAGTACGTTCGATCGTAAATATCCAGCAGGGCCGCGACACGAGAGAAGGACCGGATGAGGCTTGGTCCAGCTACATTCTCACGAACGGCGTTGATATGATGTGACAGAAACGTCGCGGCGGCTCGACTGTGTACGTACCAGGGTCTCATCTGGCCCCTCTGAAGCTCAAAGAGGGCGAGGAACAGGATTGTGGCGAGTCGGCATGTGATGAGTTTGAGGTCAGTAGGGAGGAGCATAGAGGGCGTTCCAACATCCGTGCCGTCATCGACGCTGCCACTAACACTGGCACTGGCATCGACGGGATCATCGACGGTGCGAACACATCGTAAGGCGCAGACAAAGTGGTCGAGGGCGTGCAGGTCCGCGTTGGCGGCAAGTCGCTGCTCAGCTGCGGTGGCTTGGCCCTGACCGTGGCTGAGTGACACGCTGAGCGCCGAAAGTGCCAGGGCAGCACTGAAGAAGCCACGATCGAGGTGGTCTGCCTTGAATATTTCCTCTAGGCCAAGGATAGAGAGGAGGCCAGTGCTTGCATCATCTCGCAGATGGTGGTAGTAAATCATGTCTTGGGGAAATCTAGCGCTCTCTATCAGACCTTTAGGTGCAATCTGGGATGTTACTCCACGAGACAAAGCTTGAGGACTTGCCGGCGTGTTGATACCGACCACGGTGTCCTGTGAGCGTGTGTTATTGTAGACTATATGATGTAGCTGGCTGTGATCCGATACATGATCTTCGATTGGCTGAGCTGCCTGAATCTGTACAGCATCTGCTCCATTTTCAGGTCCATTTTCAAGCTCAGGTCGGGGTTCTAGTTCTCGTCCTGGTTGTGGTTCAGGTGGAGGCTCGGCCATACTCAAACCGGCGCTGATACTCCTCCTGCTGTATCTAGCACTAGATGCTTCCACATCAAGATCAGGATCTTCGTAGTCATCGTGGTCATCAAAGGCATCGTCTTCATGGCCGTGATTTGCATTGTAACGGCGATTGCTGCCACCCCCTCCCTCACTTTCCATGCCCTCCTCCATCTCCACATCGGGCACCGACCGTTGATGTTCAGGGAGAACAGAGGAGGAGATCAAGGCGAGAGACGTCGCAGCTTCGTAAGTAACTGAGTTCCGGCGGTTTTCAACTGCCTCGGTGGGTAGATGGCCGGTGGTACTCGTATCTTCGGCAATGCCCGAACAATTGGAAGCCTGCAAGCTGCTAGTTTGCCAGTTCGCTACCAACGCGGTGAACCAGCTGGTCGCCGGTGAGGCTCGAGAGCCCTGAGGCTGAGGAGCACCAGACACCTCGCTCGAATCGGGCTGGCTTGCTCTGGGCTGAATGGCTGCCACCTTCTCCGGCCCGGGGGAGGATCCCCCATGTTTCTGTCGAAGAGATGCCGTTTGATCGCGAAAAACAATACGAGAGGGATAGCCGCCACATTGGAGGTCGAGGCGGGTGCACTGGCCTAGTCAGTCGGGGTGTACTCACACACAATATATAATACCCAGGCAATGGGAGCTTGACTTGACATACGTTCTGGCAAGAGGGCCGTCCCTCATCGCATTTGATGTGCCTCGCGCGACATGTCACGCATCCAGTCTTTTCTCGAGATGTCACATTTCGCTTGCGTCCAATCTTGACCATTGTACAGATCCATTCGGCGCTCTCAAATCAGCTCAGCCAGGTGCATCCGCGTCGTGTCCTGGCTCCTCTACAGTTCAAAGTGGTGGGATGCAGGGTGGCCGCAGGCACGCAGGCACGCTTATCGACGGTGAGCTATGCGATATGGGAGTGCGTGGCTAGCCCCAAAGCGTACATGAGAGTGAGGCTCTGCGGTAGATGAAGCAGGAAAATCATTATGCTTGCAGCAAGGCGGGAAACGGCACGATCGACTCGAGATAGCTTATCAGGGGAGGTTGCCGACGCTTGCCACGGGGACAATCACGTGACTCATGTGTCTCCGCAATTTGCAGAGAGCATCAAGTACAAGGTACACATCAGTATGTAGCTTAGTTGCCTACCCTATAACTAAGCACCTAGAGACCTCCTACCTACATGAGATATCTAGTAAACGATTTAATTGACTTCACCAACATCCTGCTGCGGTTTCCAGTTGGAAATTTTAGATGGAATTATAAAGTCTATCTCACTAGCTGCTGGGAGAAACTACATTGGCTCTGCTAAGGTAGTGATTGGGTGGATAGACGATTAAACAAATAGGTGGTACATAAGAAATGACTCTCCAAAATAAGCAACACGAGCAGGAAGCTGGCGAAAACACATTGAATAACGGTACAAATCGAATCGTGTTCTTGGGTCCCAATGTTTCACAAAATTTAGCACCCATCACACGAAACGTATTCGCTTTCTAGCACATGCCAGCAGGACATCCCACTGTCGTCCCAGCCGATACCCCAGCGATGGCAAGGATGGCATTGAAAATGCCACCGACTCCCTCACCTGAGATCATTCCTGCAATGACAGCAAATAGATAGTCATTGTGACTGCGGGGCCTGAACTTCTCCCAAACCTTGGACAGGATGGCACCGATAAGGACAGCCAGCCCAATGCATGGCTGGGGGACGACCATCATGACGCCGAAACCCATCCAGTTGGGAAGGTAATTGCGGTATTTCTGACGAGGGCCGACAAAGTAGAAATATTTGACCACTGTCGTCAAACTGCCCAGTACGGCGAGGCAGATGGCGAAGATGCCCGAGGACCTGGGGATAGGCAGCGTGGGGCTGGTGGCGGCAATCGTGGCGGCCCTCCACGCTGTCGCAGAAGGCGCGCTGTATGCGCACGACTCACTGGACACGTCCAGAATACACGGGTAAGCCTGTGCGAAGAGGAGGAAGATGGCGGGCGCTAGGAAGATGGCAGCCAAGCTCCCAATGCCTTGGGCAATCCACTGTGCCCGAGGGGGAGTCCGGAGCAGGAAGCTAGTTCGTGTCAGTCACGGCGAAACTCAAGAGAAGGAAAAAGAACAAAACGTGGCTCACCCTATGCGAAAGTCGGCCGTAAGATCCGTGGCTTGGTTGGCAACACCGGCGGCCACAAGACCTCCAATCGAGTTTAATGTTTCTGCGCTCGCCTTGTCATATTGGCCATTGCGGGTCATGCCACCCAGGACTAGTTGTGACGACTTGGAGACGGCAGTTAGCGGCGTCATGTCTGTCATTCCTGTGCTGAGAATAGCAAGGAGGGTGAACAGGACGGCAATGATGATGGAGACGATGGTCATGCCGATGGGCATCCCCCATTGTGCTCGAGCGCTCGCACAAGTCACCACAATGGAGGCGAATAAACCAACCATCCACATCCAAGGTTTGATTTCGTGCGAATGGTCATCGAACTCGTCGACGTCGTCCATGTCGTTCCTCGCAAACCGCTCCAGGGCTTTAGGCGGAGTGCGGCCTAGTTTCTTGAACACAGCATGGGCCGCAACGCCAACACCCCGTACGGCTATGGATGCACTGTGTCGAAAGATCTCACGCTGGCAGAGAACTTCCACGACGGAGACTGCCACCATCAGCAAAACCCCACTATTGCAAACTATCAGTAAAAACCACAAGGGAGCGAGGTGGGCAAAAGAGAGACGTACGGCCAAAGGAGCCAGTATCGAGGACTGGGGTTGCCCACTGGGTCCTTGAGGTTCATACTGGCAAACGTCATCAGTGGCTTCCACTTCTCACTGTCATCACCAATGGCTAGACCAGAGGCTGAGCCTGTACGGGTGAGGATTGGGCCAATGACGCCCCAGCTGAAGAGAGAGCCTGCAAATATCGACAGCGCCGTGTTCATTCCGACCATCATCCCGGTGCCCATGACGGCAGGTGTCCATTGTATATACCACCCCTAGCTCTCCGCCCAGATGGCCAGGTTGTTGTAGTTGCCCCAGATGTAAATCCAGGTAAAGACATGCCAGTCCCAGAGGATCCCAGGCGCGAAATTCGACACGACGCGAAGGATGAAAGCCCCAAGGAAGGCATATAATAGAACTCGAATCTTCTTTCGTGCACTCTGCTGCCCGCCCGAAGCGATGTGAAGGGACTGTATCGTGGTGGCGGTGGCGGTCGAGGTTGGGAAAATAAGTCCCATCTGTCTCGCCATCTGGACGATGAATATCTTGCGCACTGTGAACCATCTTGTTAGCCTCTCTGTGTTTTCATGTAGGGCCATGGGCACGTCGGAACCCACGCGGTGTTGCGAAGAAGAAGCCGACATAGGCCACGCCGAGCGTGACAATAGCAATGCGGGGGTAGTCTGCCTTGGGGTCTTGGAGGAGGCCCATTTGGTACATGGCCGGGACGGCGCTGACGAAAATGTTACTCAGGCCGCCAGCAGCGGTGGCACTCGTTTGCACGATGGCATTCTCCTTGGGTCCAAAGTGGCCGCCGAGAATAGGAAAGTTCTCCGGAACAGCCTTGCTCACAGTCTTAAGCACAGCAAAACCAAGCAGGGATCCGAAGAGGGATGCAACAAACGTGAGACCGGTTTTTAATCCTGTGTATCAAGTTGTGAGTTAGTTTTTTTCTTGGCCCGAGCAAAGAGTATGTATATGCAGACTGATCGTTGCCATACAGGCCAGACTCATTCAGAAAAAGGGGTAAGGAACTTACCGAGATAAAGGTTAGCGGCGTTCACAACACCTCCCAAGACCATTCCGAGAAGAATGCTCCTGACGCGAAGGATGTTATTCTCATCCTCGATCGCAGCAACCTCGGCGTCAATGGGGAAAGGGGTATAAGGATCTTGCTCAATGGTGCTGGCTCCTTCTGCGTTGAAACTGACCACCTGGTGGTTAGGACTGCCCTCAGAGATGATAGTTTGATCTGCATCTCCGATACTCTCAAGCTCGTGAGGATCCAGCTTCAAGGCCTCAGGTTTGATGATTGAATCGGTTTGGCCAAGGGCGGATGAGGAAGGTTGAGACATTGTGTTTGCAAAGTGTTGGGCCACAACTGTTGCTAGATGCTTTGGTTTCGCCTAAGAAGAGGGCGGATCTATATAGCAATCAGGCACCGTAGTTTCAAAGTACGTGTACTGCCATGGGTTCCTTATCAGTAGTCAGAACGATGGGCGCCATGCTGCCAAGCCAAAACATCAGAATGGCTGGCTTGGTCAGGCCATTAGACTGATTCCTGATTGAGCTCGCGGATCTATTCTCTGCCGTTCTGCGGTGGCGGCTTCTGGAGGAAGAAGGGCTTATCAGCACTTTTTCATGGAATATCGTTCAGCCGGTTAGCACATTTCTTCACTAATATTGATCTCCCTGTGTGCAGAGTTCCACCCTTATCTCGTCGTAAAGCACTTCAGTTTTGAGTAAGGCGTCGGTGGAATGCACCCCATAACTTAGCTTTTACGCTAATTCATCCTGCTCATGATTAGGCCCGTAATAGAGGAGACATCTAAAGACGAATGTCTTCGTTACGTACTAGGTCCTTCCCCAGACTGGGTTTATTACACTACGGTAACCACCCTGCCACCCAGCCATCCTCGCCCGGGAAACAATCTAGAATCTACCCAACGAACCTGAACACACTCATATACCTAGCCTCATATACCTAGCCTAAACGTTCACAATCTAACGGTGAGAATAATAAGGGATGACCAGCCTCCGGTGCTTGCCAAATCCAATGCAGGCTGCAGACCTGCTCCTGCAGATACCACTACACACGCCGTAAGGCCTCTATTTTTCTCGCATAAACAGTAGACGGAATCAAGCAGATAGATGTAGTTCTATTGTATATAGCGTACAGGACAATATTAATTCGAATCCACATTACGCGCTTTATGTCTTAGCTACCTCGGTAAGCACCTAGGCAAATAACAGTGTCCCGAAACAACAACACTCATCGTGGCAGACGGAAAATGAGCAAATGCTGCCTACAAGCCCATCATTTAGCACGATGCCCGAGACCAGGTTCCCTTTTCTCGTATAGCTTTGCCAAAGTAATAAAAAATCCACGGGATAGGTACCATACTAAGGGCAACAAAGCCCAGCATATTCGTTGCCCAGACCACGCCGACCCGGCTATAGATTCGAGAGACGATCGGAGGGAATATGCTTGCAAGCATGCTCCTTAAAAAAGTATTTGCTGCCACGGCACTAGCCGCGTGCTGCGGGAAGGTGTCTACAAGATAGCTCAATGCCGACTGGAAGATTGTGAAAAAGGAGAATCCCATCATGACTGCGGCGATGGCCGGGGCAATCCAGGGGTAATGCGTACTCGATGTGTTGCCCATGATGAAGAGTCCGGCTGTAAGCAGGACAGAGCCGGCCATCATGGGTAAAAGGCGACTCTCTGGGACAGCACGGCCACCGTTGGCGGCCAATTTTCCAAGGTAAAACTTCTGAGCCTGCAAATTGAAAACACCACCAAAGGTAATTCCGACCATGAGAGCCAGGAACGGTAGGCTGCTTACAACTTGGCTCCATCCTCTCACATCGTGGAACATGATCGGAAATAGGCCCAGATTAATATAGACAATAGCGTAGACTGCGTTGCTGATCAGCAAAACGCGCCCAGATGCTCAGAACTGTACGAATATGGAATCCCATAGTCAAATGATTGACCTGGAAGGTTTCAATGACTTACCGAAACTAGAGTGGAGAACAAATGCGAAACAAATTGGCGTTGCCAATAGTTGAAAAGGCTTTTTGAGAAACTTATCCGCCATCTCTTTCACATCAGGACATCGTTCCTCGTGTTTTGAATGTAGCGCCCAGTCATTAGTTTCAAATCGCCTTTTCCGAGCCTTTTCGATTAGTATTGTGGATGAGAATGTCTCATGGAGGAAAAGCCCATCCAACGTGAGCACGACGGCCATGTAGATGGCCGTCACATACTGCGTCCACCGCCAATTAAGTCCAGATTGCATCATGGCACTGCCTGCTATGGGAGCTGGTAAGCCGAATCGATTAGTCTTATTTTGCTAGTCAACTGAGCAAAGAGGAGGAGCGGCCTCGTCGGAGTATCCTCCAACCAACTTACCGAATACGGGCCCGCCAACAACAGCCGCAGCATAGGTAACTAGCGCTGGTCCTCTATACTGAGCCTCGAATAGGTCGGCAAGAATGCCCCCAGTCACGGAGATTGGCGAGCTCCCAAAGAATCCGGCTAGAAATCTTGCCACTAGAACGGCAGGAAAATCAGCACTCGGTGGTGCCCACGGTGAAGCAGAGGCCTAGAAGGTACGGTAGCAGCATCGGCAATCTTCGACCGTACACCTCACTCAGCGGAGACCAGAGCAAAGGGCCAACTCCGAAGCCCATCAAAAACAAACTGGTACCTAAATTAGCCACGTCGCGCTCAACGCGGAACTCCAATGCCACTTCCTTCACCGCGGTCGAGTATATGGCGCTTGACCAAGTCGCCCCCATAGTTGTAAGGCCGCATAGTATCGTGTATAGGAGCTTCCTTGAGGTGGGCCAATTCCGAGGGTTGTGTAGATCGTCAGGGCCTTCGAATCTGACAATGCTCAATTCAGAATCTTCCACTCCGGCGATGTGTTGTCGCGAATCGGCCATTTGGGTCACGTGTTGGTCTTTCTGGAACGCCTTCTTGTGCATAGGTAGGAAATGATGCACCGGAATTCACTGGATGGTGGCGCGTATTGGTGATGGGTTGCCCGTGGTCATCTATTCTATCCTCGACAAGGTACCTGGCCATTTCTGGTAATAATGAACGACTAAAAAGGATACGAAATGATCTGTGTCATAACCACGATAGACGTAAGGTGGATCTCCAGCTTATCACTCATTACCGATTTCGCCTTGCTCTGACTATCAGGGCTCTTCTCTGTAACCGGTCCACTAGTGGACTGCGGTGGCTTGGTTTATTCAACAGAATCTCCTCCTGCAAACAGGTTTCGAGCTATGAGTGAAGATAAGTTCATGCTGGAAGGATTGGGAAAGCCTTCTTGCTCTGACGAGAGGACCGGTTCTGTGAAATATTTGTCTCAACATAATCAATATTGACAAGACAAGAGTAAGACTGAATAACTACTTCCCATGAAATGGCCTCGTTTTCCCGTTGACCTATATTTTGCCGATCTTCGATTCATTACATTGAAAGGCCACATTTCAGCTCTTGACACCATCTTCGCCAGCATCTGATCTTTCAGATTACTCATGTTTTGTAGAAATGCAATACTGTACTTGGAATACTGCCCACGGTTTTCATCTTTTGCCAATACGTACATGTTCATGCGGATCCTTTCTCTCCCTTTGTTCTTTATGTTCAGGTTTATTCTTTCATTCTATCTCATGGATTATTCTATCTAATCCTTATAGTGGTATGGACCTTATAATGGGAAAGAAAATCATTCCTGCACGGGTTTTACGAGACCCCCCTTTTCCAAAACGCCTTGGATTAACCTAATGCATGTTGGATGATAAAAGTCCAGTAAGTCGTTGAAGACCTTGACAGCCCTGTCAGGGTCTGCCTCAATCAGGGATTCAAAGCTAAAAGAAGAAGTTCGTCAGTATTCTATTTCAATTGGGCAATGCAAAGAAGGGGAGCACAAAAGGAAAGGAATCAATACCCAGCCGAGGTATTCACACGGATATTTGGTATAGCAGAGTGCTGGGCCGGGGAATGAGGCACTTACAGAGGCCTGACAAACTTCATTCGTCCGGTTTGACCTAGAACATGCTGCGTCTGCTCTACGGCTTTAGGGTCTTTTGCCCTAAGAGCCACGCGCAAGTATCGACTGAGGACCTCTAGATTGGTGGAAGAGGAGAATTTATAAATAGCCCCGAGTTGCGAAGCTGCTTGGGCAGGCAAAGGAGCAGACGCCGAGATAAGAGTCTCGAGCAAGACAAGTTGCTGACCCACCGTCCATCCCTCAACGTCCGATGACGACGGGGAGAAGAACTTATTGGTCTCGTCACCACATAGTGAAATCCACTGATTGGCCAACTCCAGGCATTGATCATGGAGCACGGAGCGTATGTTGGGGCGGGGAGGCAGCCCGGGCGCGTGAAGCCACGTGTCCCAGTCCACAGCCTTCAGTTGAGCCTTGGCTTCTTCATCGCCGGAGAAGAAATCTTGCACGCACTTCTTGAACTCTTCGGAATCCACTGCTTTCTTTGAGAAGGTTTTGAAGTACTAAATATTCTATTAGCTTCGGGTTTGGGTTGTGGATGCAGTAGAAACTGAAAAAAACCTACATGAGGAACAAACTTGTGCCACTTGTTCTCTCCGACAATTTGCTCCAGGTAAGATAAGAAGATGAAGCCTTTCTCGTACTGGACTACTGACATGATGTCATCAGGGCGCTTTCCTTGAAACTCAAGAACGAGTTTCGTGAAGGGACTGTCACTGCCCCCGTAGGCTTCCACGGCATGGACAAGATCCTCCCAACCCACCAGCGCTGCGAAATCCTTGTATTCTTGCCCCTTTAGCTGTTTGAGAATGTAGCGCTCGATGTAGACGGCCCATCCTTCGTTGAGCCAGAAGTGTTCCCACGAGGCATTCGTCACCAAGTTGCCGCTGTAGGTGTGCGCAAACTCGTGAGCGACGACGTTGATGTTTTCTCGGTCTCCCGATATGACGGTCGCGCTGTAGAAATTGAACACTGGGTTTTCCATTCCGCCGAGGTGGAAGGACTTGGGCAATATGACGAGGTTGTACAGAGGCCACGGGTACTCATGGATGAGATTCTACACAGTAATTAGCCCAGGCACTACTCTCACAATTCTCTGTACGAGTTTCACGTACCTCGGCTGCAGAAATTATGGTCCCAAGATCGGGCCTGAGTTCGTTTGTGCATGCCTCGAGGTCGCCTGGTGAGCAGTACACATAGCTTCTGTCCCCAATCTTCTCCCCGGTGAGGTTCCTGGGGCCCTTGTTAATTTCATTTCTCAGAATTTAGTCTGCTGATTCATCAAACTAACCCACTAGCGACCGAGAAGAGATAATTCGAAATGGGTATGGGTTGGTTGAAAGTGTAGGTCTTTGGCGTATTCGTCTGGGCAACGGGGCTGAAGAGGAGATCATGGCGAGGGATACCGCTGGCTACCACGGGGAGTATAGAGCGAATTGTAATGTCGAACGTGGTCTTAATAGCAGGAGTGTCCTGACACGGGAAGATGGTTCGCGCGTGAACTGGTTCGCACTGAGAAACTATGAAATGGTCATACGCGGGTCAATGTCTAGAAAAGAGTACGGGGGGACTCACACATGAAGGGGTGAGTCTTGTCATCGGTTTGGCTCGGTTGGAACCACTGCAGGCCCGTGGCTCCCGCTTCTGTTTCAAAGGTAACCTATGTAAATGCAACATCAACAAATGTGTGATTCAAGACTTGCTAATGAGCAGAGATGTTGCCGTACAGTTAATGTGAAAGTAGATGCGTTCGGTTGCTCGTCCGCCAGCCTAATGTGTAACGCCCGGCCATTCGGCTCACTCCATGGTTGCAACTCCCACTCGAGAGGTTTCTCCCCCAGCAGGACGGAGCCAATCTTGAGATAGGCGGTGTCGAGCACAACATGTTTGATTGCGGTGTCATCGACGACAGACAGTGTCAAGGAAGTCTTGCCACTGACGACTTGTCGCTCGAAATCAATGTCCAGATGGATGTCGGTGTGTGTCGTCGTCACACTCGTGGGATCAGCATACGAATTGATGTCTCGTTGGCGCTGCAGTGTTGCAGACATTTTATTGGTTGTCACGTTGAAGAACGGATTGGCTCGGAATAGGATTAATGACCGGAAATCCCTGTTTCATAGGAGAGGACAGGGTATCTGTAATATCTTGTAATGTGGCATGTGTCGCTTGTAGGTTTTATGTTTGGCTGTCGTTAAGCATTTTTCATTGTGTTGAGATGTCGGGTCTGGTATCGTCCAATGCTGTTTTTCACTTCGTACTCGAACTCTCTTATCCGTCGTTTAGCATTACCACAAGTAGTAAAGTCGTTTCCAATGGCCTCATGGGGTTATTTTACTTGCAGCTGCCTCGGCATAATGGTGACCCGCAGCGATACGAGATAACGATCAAATAACACCCACTTTATGTACATACATTCCACTGAACTCCGAGTCTATCACAAGTTCCACATCCAATAACATAATAGAGGTACCAAGTGGAGAGGCGGGAGAATGAATCACTCACCTGATGAATGACATTCCAAGCGATTTCCATCATTGGTGTTGGGAGGTGCCTTGTTCCGAAATGCGACATGCTTCCCCGCCACGGAGTAACCACATCTAGTCTTTGGGCTACTGTCTACCACCATTGGCCATAGAAGTCTTGGGTCTGTGGTGCCTAGGTAGCTCGTTTGAGGGCAAAGCCATGTCCAGAGTCGGACGTAGAGGGGCAATGTTCCCCCTACAGGATCACGTATTAAACCAAGTTCACTCCATGCCTGGCGACTGATATCTCATATCCCTCCCAGTTCGAGACGACAATAATGTTGAAGCCATGGACTTTATTGCGTGCCACGCCACGGCTGCAATTGGGTCTAATCGCGAAACACGGGCACGCTCCTCAATCAAGGCGTTTTTCCGCTTCCTACGCGAATAAACAGCAGCGACCTTTTACCTACATCGTCGTGGGAACTATCATGGGTGGTATAGTTACCGCCTCGGCTGTGTCGCTCGGGTTGGTGTGGGAAAAGACCCCAGACCCTGTTCCACGGTGGAGAGGAAATGGTGGCCACCGATCTATAAAATATGCAGATCAAGCCACAATGTCGAAGGTGCGTGTGAGCAATTTTACTTGCGCAATTACGTTTAGTCTGATGAAAAACAGGCTGTCGATGAGATTAGAAAGATTCTGGGCCAGGATGCTGTCAGTGTCGACGAGCATGATATCGACGAGCATGGCTACTCAGAGTGGTCTACATCCAACACCGACGTTCGTCCGGCAGCAATTGTCAGGCCGAAATCCACCAAACAGGTCTCAGATGTTGCTCGGATATGCTCTCGTTATAGAGTTCCGATAGTTCCATATGGCGCTGGGTCAAGTGTCGAAGGTAACTTCAGCTCTCCCTTCTCGGGCGTTTGTCTCGATTTATCTGAGATGAATGACATTGTTGCCTTCCACCCTGATGACATGGATATTGTGGTTCAGGCTGGCGTGAACTGGACAGTCATGAATGAAGAGATCAAGGGCTCCGGACTCTTCCTGCCTCTGGACCCCAGCCCAACTGCTATGGTTGGCGGTATGATTGCGACCAACTGTAGTGGAACAAACGCCATGAGATACGGAACCATGAAGGACTACGTGGTCAATGTCACCGTCGTGCTGGCGGATGGGTCAATTATCAAAACGCGGCACAGGCCTCGGAAGACGTCAGCTGGGTACAATCTGACGGGTTTGTTCGTGGGTTCTGAGGGCACTCTAGGTATCATCACTGAAGCAACCCTCAAGTTGGCCATTATTCCGGATAGCTTCAGTGTGGCGACGGCTACATTCCCCACTATCAAGCAGGCAGCCGAGGCCGCTTTCAAGATGATGCGCCATGGTGTTCCCCTCGCTGCACTTGAATTGATGGATGATGTACAGATGAAAGTGATCAATAGCAGCGGGGGGGCCGGAGGACGGACTTGGGAGGAAAGCCCGACCTTGTTTCTCAAGTGCGTGATAAATCCCATGTTGCGGTAGCGCACCCCAAGAGCTAACCATGCTAGGTTTTCTGGCTCAGAGACAAATGTCAAAGACAGCCTGCAATTAGCTAAAGACATTGCAAAGTCCAACAGCTGCCATGCATTTGAGTCAGCCAGCACTGAAGAGCAGATGCAGTCTCTGTGGTCTGCAAGGAAGCAAGCTCTTTGGGCAAATCTCGCCGTTCGGCCGGAAGGGACTCAGATATGGTCTACTGACGTTGCAGTTCCCCTCTCGCGCATGGCGGAGCTGATCGGTATGGAATTTCCTTATAGGCTCCATCGGGGTGGGTGGCACTGCTGACTAGACCGCAGAGATCTCCAAAGACAATGCTAGCAAACTTGGTTTATATAGCAGCGTGCTAGGCCATGTGGGAGATGGGAACTTTCACCAAATGGTCATGTATGAACCAGATGATCCACAGCAGCGGAATGCCGTTTCCGACTGCGTTGATTCGATGATGATGCGGGCTCTAGAGATGGAGGGGACTGTATCAGGAGAGCATGGAATTGGACTTGGGAAGAAGGTAAGTCATACAACTTTGGTAATCTTCCTGATGATGCGTTTCTAAGAGTGGACAGATTTCTCTTTATAAGGAACTCGGTCCTGAAACGATCGGAGTCATGAAAGCACTCAAGGAGACTTTAGATCCTCAGTAAGTCTTCGTAAAAAATTATAGGCTAATATTTAATCTCACATCTTGCCAGTTGGATTCTAAACCCTGGTAAGGTATTCGATAATTAAACGGGGTAGTGATAGAAAACGCATCGGCGCCCCTATTCCATCCCTCAGGAAACATCAAGTGGCCTACCCTAGGTTTGCTACCTCCACAGTGTACAATTTCGGGAGTGAACGAGAAACTGGTAGCCAATTGTAAAAACTAAGGGATCTTGATTATGAGAAGACTTAGATATGCTTCGCTATCGCTTTGTATATTTTGCCATTTGTCTCCTTTTTGTTTTCCTCTTCTTTAGTTTTCTTTCTTTCTTCCCTGCTCTCCGTTTAGCCTTGGCTGAGGTCTTGATGTGAGCTGGCGTAGATAATCTCTGAAAGGGTCGTTCTACTAGACTCCTTAGGCTTCCTAGTGTACATATTAGGAGGAATTTTATATATGAATGCAATATATTTTGGGATTTTAATTCCCTTCATTCGTTATTTGGGCCTCCATCCATTCTGTAATTGAGATGCAGAAATGCGTGCTTGTAATCTCGCAGCATTTTGCCGCTCGGTCTTACCCCTTTTCGAACTGGTCTAGGCGCGTGAATGCAACATGGCCCACCTGGATGGAGTCTTTGGGTTGCATTTCAACAGACGGGTAGCCAACAGCTTAAACATTTGTGCCGACCAACAAGCCAAGGCCGGTCTGCATACACGATTGGCTAGAGGGAAAAGGGGGCCAGGGGGCCTAGACCTAATTGAGAGCGTTGACGAAATGGAAGCCTTTGAATTGATTTGATCTTTACATATCTTGGGCATTTCCTTTCCACCTGTCTTAGGGACCTGGCCTCCTCAATATTTAGACCGCGACCGGTTCTTATTTTTAGACCCGGAACGGCGGCTGTGATACGATCGTAGCGCGCCAGCCCTACTTGGTTGCACGTGTTGTTGTAACCGCTGAGCGCAAAACTCTTGCATTGTAAGCGCCAACATGGACCAATCGCTTCGTGTTGCCCAGCCCGCTCTATTCGTGGTAACATAAATCTTGCTACCAACAACCAACAACCAACATGGCCAACAGGCAGGACCCGCCCCAAGATGAGCTGAAGAGGTACTTATGTTGGCCCTGAATTTCCTGTCTCTCTCTCCCCTCATTCTAGATTCTTACCTTCCTTTCCGCTACTTTCACTTTCGTTTGTGTGCTGCTTCCACCTCCGTGCCCCTGCACTGACTGACATATTTGAATTGATGCCATGACGAACATTTTCCTTGCCTTGTTTCTTCTCATTTTCTTGAGGCCATGTTCTGCAGCCAGTACCTGCTATTTCCCCAACGGAAACGTCGCTGCTGATAACTTCCCCTGTGATCCCGACGCAGAGGAGAGCGCGTGTTGCGGCGGTGGTCTGGGCAGCGTCTGCCGCTCCAACAGGCTATGCCAGAATTCAAATGGAAACCTGGTCCGAGGCACATGCACAGATAAGAACTGGGAGTCGCCTGAATGTCTTAAATACTGCATAGGTAAGCCTTCTCTCTCATTGTGGTGGGTTCGGTCGCGACGAAAAAGCGAATTCTTTCGCCAACTTCGGCTGACATTTTGCTCCCTCCAGGTACGGGTGCTGGAGGAAGCGACTTGATATCGTGCTCCAACGTCACCAAAACAGACACCTCTTTCTGCTGTGACCACACTGTCGACTGCTGCGACACTGGCGTTGCCAGGTTCGAGGTCTTGCCGTCGAACGCCGGCATTTTGGCATCGTTCAATGTGGCCTCGAGTAGATATATCACCGTCAGTACATCCTCGACACGTGCGTCCTCGTCTACAGCCACAGCCACCTCAACCTCCACAAGCGCATCTTCCGCTTCTGCATCCTCGACCGCGATATCATCCGAAGACTCGCAGAATGTTACATCGCCAGGCCTATCGGTTGGTGCGCAGGTGGGAATTGGCGTTGGTGCCGGCGTTGGCGCACTTCTCGTTGCCGTGATCGCATTTCTCCTCTGGAAAAACCACAAAAAGAACCAGATAATCAAGGACAACCAAGTGAGAGAAGTTGCACCATCTTCCTCCTCGCCGTGGGATCCTTCGAGTCAGAGCTACGCGTCGTCAACGCATCCCCATAGCCACGCAGGACCGTGGCCAACGTACTACCACGAGCAGCAACTGCTTTATGATAACGGCCCCAAGGAATTACAGGACCGGCGTTGGCAGGGTCCGGGAGTAAGGGCCGAGCTCCCTGCTCAGGTATAGCACATATGGATGTCCAATTAACCTTGTTCTTTTCTTTTAGCGGTCGAATTATATGATTGTCTTCTGCATCTTGTTATCTAGATAAGACCTTTTAGGCTACCCTCACAAAAGAACCTTAATCGCTATCAGCCGGGGGACCTCCATGTTCCAATCATGTGATGTCTACGACGCTTTTGTATGTTCCATTGTGGCTGTGCTTGTTTGATGACATTTTAGACGTGCTATGCCCCGCAACTGAATGGAATGGTCCCTCGTCCAACTAATGAACGAACAGTCAGGCCAGGGGCGATCCGCTTATTGCAACAAGAAAAAAAAAGCGAAACCGAAAGCGAGAGGGAAAAAGGGGGCTGTTATGCGACATAAATCTTCTCCCCGTACATACTATGCATTGCGCGTCATCCAGACCGCGCTCACTCACCTAGATCTAGGAAGGAAAAAAAGGAGAAGTGTAAGGTATGCGTATCAACCTGCGTAATTTCTCCGTACCCCCCCGCGGGTGCTTCGCAATATTGCGGCCTTCGCTGGTGTCTTCATCGTCATTTTGACAAGTATACTCCTCCTCGTCCAATGGCGTAGCCCAAGCCCAGCTGCCCACGTGCCGCCATCGGTAGCGGAAGAGTCAAAAAACACCACAGAGGCAGTTGAGAAGCCTGATCTTTATCCTCCCATTGGGCAGATTCCCTGGTGGACATCGGAACAATTGCGGCCCAAGTTTGCCTACGCCCAGTATGCCACCAACTTGGACTATCTCTGCAACTCGGTGGGTCTTGGATTTTCTTTCGTTCATTCTCTGACTTTACTGTCCTGCAATTGGTATTCTCCTTTTCAATCAACTTACTCGACACAAGGTCATCAATTTTAGGAAGTTGCGCAGATATGGGGCCAAGTATGACTTGGTCCTCATCTACCCGACGGGGTGGTCGGAAGGCACTTCAAGGGAAGCAAAGGCCATTTCCAAGATCCGAGAACATCTTCCAGAGGTTCATCTCCGACCCTTCGATATTGTTTCCGCCTCCAAGGGCGATTCCACATGGCGTGACAGCCTGACTAAATTTCATTCGTTTGCTCTGACCGAATGGACCCGAGTCTTGGCTTTTGATTCGGATTCTCTCGTTCTCAACTCGATGGACCATTACTTCCTCAGCCCGCTAGCCCCGATCGCCGTGCCCCGTGCCTACTGGCTGACTGAGAAGGGCAAGGACGTGGACATCGCCAAGCAAGTACTTGGGTCGCATGTCATGCTCCTGGAGCCCAATGAGGGTCGTTATCAAAAGATCATTGAAGAAGCTAAGCGATCTGGAGATTTTGATATGGAAGTTGTCAATCACTTGTTTCAAGACTCGGCCATGATTCTCCCTCACCGCAGGCTTGCCCTCTTAACCGGAGAGTTTCGAAACAAGGATCATTCCAAGTATTTGGCACCGGATGTGGATGAGGAGTGGAACGCTATGGGTGAGGTTTCGCGGTCTGTCTTGGTCCATTTTAGTGACTGGCCTCTGCCGAAGCCGTGGAAACATAGGACCAAGCAGGAATTCGAGAGTATTATGCCGGAGTGTCCAGACGATGACATGGGAGCTCCGGACAGACCTAGATGTGCCGATCGAATGATGTGGACGGGGTTTTATGAAGACTATGACTCAGCGAAAGAGGCGTATTGTTCGATCTTGCACGAGTAGGCGAGTACGGAGGAGTCATTGATATTCACAATTTAGGCAGGTGATAGTTTCAAAAACAGAGCGTATCATGAAAATACTTAGGAAGAAAGATTAAGAGAACCTCTTAGATTCTGGAGATATTACATTATTAAGAAGTCCCATTTTTCATTCTATTTCTTTTTCAATATCGAATAGCTGCAAGTCAGTCCTTAGCGACCTAAACGTGAAGGCCGTCTAATTAAATACACCAGGCGCTTTGGAAATGCCCCTATTCCTAATCTGTCTATTATGCTGTGTCAAAGCCGATTTCTGCGGAGAGAGGGACGGGAATGGGAAACTCATTGTTCATTCTTGGACTTCTAGATGCCAAGATCCTACTGTGTGCTCTAACATTAGAAGTCTGTATATAATGATTAATGACAACGAATGAGGTATTCATTTTCGTTGTAGCAATCATCTGACGGTCGAAGAACTAGCCGATATCTTTGTCGGTGAAAAAAATGGGTTGAAGAAGTTGTAGATGGGGCATCCCTTTCCTTGGAAGTGTCCCAGATGGAGAACTAGCAGCGCTGGATGATGTTCCATGACACCGGCTTGCCCTTGGTGATACTAAACCCTAGCATGCCTAACTTGGAAATAGCAATGCTGTATCTAGGAACTCATATGTTTGAAGCCGTCGTCTAAATGGCACCGCTACGAACATGTCGGCTGCAACCTAGTTATGCAGGAGAAGGGCGGGCAATCCCCAAAACAAACAACTAGCACCATCACGGAAAAGTATCAATTTCTATGGAAAGTCTACTAGATGAAGTGAGAAAAACGACATGGCAATGAATCTTAAATACAGTTCAGTAACCGTTCCCTGCGCTTGACCTCAACTTATAAGGCAAGCTCATACTATTTATAGAAAGAGACTGCTTTAATGACACATTAGTTGGCTTTGCAGAGAGACGCTCTCAGCGAAGGCGTTTATATAGAAAGAGACAAAAATGGGCGACACTTGAACTAGATTACTTTGCTGCGGTGCGGACCGGCAGGCGATATAGCTGTTTCTGATCGCTGTCCATATCATTATAGGGCAGGCTTTTAAACAGTGAAAGATGAAAAGAATTCTGCTTTACCGGTGCTCTGGAAGGAGAGCATGTATTATCGCAGTGTTCTACAAGGGGGTTTGGTCTTAGCCACCCTCCGTCTTTGTAGCGAATAAGTAATACAATTAAGCCAATGGAAAACACTGTGAGATGTTCTTTAGCTTGAGCCTTATGACTGCCCTACAGTAGGACATACATTAACTTTAGGCATGTCTAAAAACGGCACCATTGGCCGTTGTCTTGTCTCGTGAGACTAGAGACTCGAGGGTGGTTTCCTTCTTCTCAGATGTCTTAACACATACCTAGGCTCTATTTCTAGGTCAATCATAGTTGTATAGAAAGCACAGGGAGTGAGTGACTTTGGCTAAAACTTGGATCGTAATTCGTACCAACCCGATCGTTGAGTTTCACGTACACCTGAGCGTCTTTTTATTAAAACACCATCTAGATTTTGCTAATAAGTTCATCTACTTCTAACTTAGTAATCTCCAGAGTGACGTATTTATCTCTTGGCTACGACCGTGACTTATTGCTAGTTTACGGCCATGATTCATACCTAATTACCACCCTGATTCATACCAAATATACCACCATGATTCATAGCTTTTTCAAACATTCCTGTTAGAAATGTGGAACCAGAGAGGCAACAAAAAAAAGCTGGTCGGCTTCCGCTCTGGGGAAACATGAAATGGTGATAATAGCTGCTGTGTGGAAGTTGTTCACAATTCATTATATTGAGATGTCGGGTCTGGCATCTTCATTGCTTTTTTTTACTTTGTACTCGAACTCTCACATCCATCCGAGGAAGTTGTCTATATGGTGAAATAATATTTTCGCGTCTGGCCAATAACAAAAAAATAAAAATAAACAAGAATTAAAAACGACAGGAACTACCGCTGCGTTAAGTCTAAATTACTCGCCATTTGGCTTTTAAACCTAAATTAAATTTATGTAGAACTGCCTTACGCAAGGTTAAAATCTAGTTTACATCATAATAGTAAACAACGCGCTGAAGATAGTTTCAAACCCTAATATATCACAAGGAGACTGATGCTTCGCGACAAAAGGTTCAGTAGCGTGTCAACCGACAGAAGCTGGCCAGGCAACCAACAACGTCGTCATCGCGCGTGGATGTCAATATTGTTTGGATGTAAGCAACAATCCCGCCTCATATCTCATACCGCGCGTCTCTCGCTTCATTCACCAGCATTTTTTCTCTTTTCAAGTAGAACTTGCAGTAACTTTTATTTTGGAGAAAGGCTTTGTTCGACATTCAATATGCACGCGTTGGCGGAACTACCCACGGAGGTCATCACTGAGATTCTCCGGAACCTCCCTGACAGGCGATCCCTCACGGCAGTCAGCTTGACATGTCTGAGACTGCATTCCTGCATTGAAAGCTACCAGCCCATCACAGCCGATGTTTTTGAAGCAGAAGTAGGGGATTCCTTGCTTCCCTACTTGACTGTTGCCCGTCTTGGCACATCTTTGCCTCGCCCGTTTGAGAAAGCATCGCTCTTTATTGGTCATCTCTACGAGAATCCCGAGATAATCAGACCTGAATACCGGAATATGTCTTTGAATGACATCCGCCGTATGGGCCGCTTTCATGACTACGTTTGCTCGCTCGTCCAGGAGTGGGCTTCCGATTCTTGGACTCACCTGAACGTACATGACGAGGAGATGCAAGTACTATTCAACTTCAGAGGCAATCGAAGACCAGCCGCAGTGGGTGCCGAAATCGAGTTATCCTAGGGCGAGAAATTCCGATGGGTTCGTGCAGTATATCGGTTCGAGATTTTCGTTCACTTCTTTCCGCTTAAGGAAATAGTCGAGCCCACCTTTGTTGAACAGCGACGTTCGTTTTTGGCTAGGCACCCTCCATGGGAGCTTGAACAGATCTCAGCTGTCCACGACTTCCTAAAGCATAGGCTCGGACATGGTTTGTGGCAAAAAGATCTTCAATGGCTAATTTGTGGTCGTTGGCTGACTCAAGTATTTTAGCAACCAGCGAAACCATGGCGAAATATCCTCATCTTGCGGGGGAACTCGATTACGCCCCCCGTATCGGCGCATTCATCCCGAATCGGGAAACCTGGGTCAGTCTATTTACGTAATTCCCAATACGAACGTCCCCAGCTAACGTTCTTGATAAGCTATCCCAGGGACTGGACTTTCTTCGTAGGGTTGAGCATGCCAAGTCAAATGAAGACCAGAGAGACATCTTGGCCACGGGCCTGGAAAATGGCACATCCCAACCCTGGAACTCCATCCACGATTACCAGAGGACGATAGAAAGTGCCATGGAGAATTCACCTCTTCCGTACTTTTCTGAGGCTCAAATAGAGGCCATGGTACCTGCTGCGTCAAAGAAGGATGACGATGACGAAGGCCCATATACAGCCTGGAGGCGAGCCTACACTGGCATTCATTTCTATCGCTGGTTTTTGAACCCCGAGAAAGAAACTCTCCGTATGATTGGATATGTATTTTGGGACCTAGACAGAATCGAGATTTGGGATCTGAAGGCTCTTTGTGCCTGGTTGAAGGACGTTAGTCCTGTATCTCGTCACTTTCGGGAGTTACAGGAGATGACTTCACTTTCGTTGCCGAAAATGGTGCCGAGATGGGCACGAGTATTGAAGGTACGAAGATCAAAATGAGGGCCGGTAAAATTGAGCCATGGAGGATCTATGGTACAAGAAGAAGCGGCTAAAAGAGCCTGGGTCTCCGAAAACGTCTTATCTTGGGTCGGTTACAAGATGATTGGTAGCAAATTCTCTGCTGTAGGGCTAGACTTGGAGTGGGTTCGATAGTCACAGTATTCAATTAGAAAAAGACATGCAAGTTTCTTTAACCATCGTTGTGGGGTGAACAGTGAGAGCGCAGCTAGTATCACCGAACTCGAATAGCGGTGCAAACATTAGATTATGGTCGGCTTGACTAAATTGTGATTCACATCATTGGTTACTGAGATGGAAATGGCCATAGTCTAGTTCTGGACCTTGGGACCATCCTTGAATTATGTTGCCTCTTTGACATTGATGAGCTGGAAACTGTACATGCCTGTCTGGTCGTTACAGCGGGCGGTCATGTGACTGCATGTTGACATACTTATTCCCGTTGATATTGTTGCTGGCTCCACAGACTCGTGTCATCTCTGCATGACCTCTGTAATTGTCACAACGCAGGCCTACTATGGAGAACAGGTTATCCAAACCATGCTGGACATGCCGGAATCGCCACGTCCAGTGTGATCAAACGCGAATGCCCTGTGCAAAATGCATCAAGGCTGGTCTTGAATGCAGTGAAAAGCGGCCTGTCCGCTGGGTCCAAGGAGTGGCCGTCCGCGGTAAGATGCAGGGCCACATGTACGTGTGTCCAGCAGACAAGCCAGTAGCTGCGTCGCCAAAAAAGACGGGCAAGATTGTGTTCAAGACTCATGCGACGCGGGCATCGATCCGTGGAAATGCTGCGCCAAAAGGCAATCGCTCCTTGTTGAAATCGTCAATTAGAAAGCGGCGAAACACAGACAACGATGGTAGGCCTCTACTCTAGCACTGACAGCACGAGTTTGCTCTTTCATACTTCAATGAAAAAGACACCTGTGCTAACCTTTTGGTTCACTGGGCACAGTGTTGACAGATTCTACAGTCCTGGATCCAGACCAAGGGTCCAAGTACTACCTAAACTATTGTAAGCATTCCGCCATAAAAGCCCAAGGCACAAGGTTGATGTGGAAGTTAGATCTTGAACATATGTGCAAAGATTTTGTCTTTTCGCAAACAGATAGAAATATGCTTAAAGATCTGGTCCCATTCTCCCTGAATGATTCCGCGCTGCAAAAGAGTCTGGTCGCTCTTGCTGCCCGTCATCTCGCCAATAGAGGGCAGTCTTTCCATCAAGTTGACCCAATTGCATCCCAAGATAGCACTCAAGCCAATCGAAAAGCCCTCGTATTCAAACAGCAAGCAATGCAGGCATTGATAAAGACTCTAAGCGACCCAATAGAGCTCAACAACGACAGAACTAGAGCCAGTATCTTCCTCTTTATTCTACTAGACCTCATGGAGTCTGGGAGCTCTGGGTGGGATTTCCACCTTGAAGGTGCGAAAAGGTTACTCTATCTCAACCAACCCACGAGTAAAGTGGCAGATCAAGCTCCAGCGGAACAAAATCTGCCGGGAGTAGCCAAGGACCTTCAAGGCTTCTTGATGCGGCAACTCTATTTGTACGTCTAAAGCAATTCTCTACGTGATATAACGCGTTAATCCTGAGATACCTTAGAGTCGAGAGCCTGGGATCATTGTTTGCCCGTCCTGGCCGTGCTACATCTCTGCCGCAAGCTATCACCTTTGACGAACATTCAATCACACATGGGTCTATCGATGACTCATTCCTGGGGTGCCCGGCGTTCTTGTTGAGAGCCATTCGATTTATCTCCACGGAGAGAGATCTGCTTAAATCAAAGCTGCAATATATGGAACTTGGCGCACATGAGGCTCACAGGCGATCCCTGGAAGAAATGCTTTCCCTTATTGAAGCATTTGATTGCGATAGGTCACCCTTCGACATCCCAAAAGATTTATCGTCATCTTTCCACAATCAAGACGAAGCACACCGTCGGGGTGTCTTGTCCAAAGCATATAGAATTGGTATCTTGATCTACGGAAAGCGAGTGCTTGAAGCACTCACTGAAGGGCGCACCTTCAACCTTGATGAGCTCGTATTAGAATTACTGAACTTGCTCGATACCCTGCGAGATGACCAAAACCTTCTCAAATGTGTTCTCTGGCCCCTATTTGTCGCAGGTCTAGAATGCAAGTCCCCACAACAAAGAAAACATTTCGTCACGCACTTGGAGAAGTTTTGGATGGCTACTAAATGCTTGAACGTGATACACGCGGCTAAAATCTTGGAGGATTACTGGAAAGAAGGGGCCGGTAATTCAGTATCATGGCCTTTCGATAGCGGCCGTTTTGGCCGTGTTTGGCTTTTCATGTAATATTTACCTCAGTTGGACAGCGAGTCGAGAAAGGGTCTTGGCAACGGTTTATTTTCAGGGCATTTGTTTTTGGAATGCATGCATCACTGTAAACTCGAGCCAGTCTAGGGAATACAAAGGTTTAGCAGGCGCTTATCTTTGATTTCGAGAGGACTACATATTATGAAAGTTCGAAAGCAAGAATCTTCACTCCCACTCCTTCATCAGTGTGTTCGCGCTGATTTCCTTGGAAAAGTCGACTAAATGAGTCGAATGGCACCAAGGCTTGATGTTTTCCTCCTTCTCAATGATTTTCGAGAACAAGGAGCACCACTTCAAGCGCGGGAAGGCCTCATTGATCTCCTTGCGCGTAACATCGTGGATCAGCTTCCCAAAATCTTTCACATGAGGATGGACCCCAGTGTTATCATAGATGGTAGCTAATTGAATAAGCTGGCCGATGAATGTAATGTTCCCATCCACACCCATGTCCTGGTGTCGAATAATGGCTTCGGAAACAGCCTCGGCCTGGTCGGTCGTCGCTCCCAAGTCCTTGAGCACCTGCAAGGCTTTGATTCCGCCGTAAAGATCGAAGGACATGCGGGTTGCTGTGAGGTTTTCCTCGGCAGTGCCGATATCGTGCAGCAAGCAAGCCAAAGCCCAAGTTGCTGGGTTGAGAACGGAGGCTTTGTCAGGGAACTGCTGTCTTGTAATGGCCATTCCTTGATCCTTGTTAATATACAGTAACGCAATGTCTAATCCAAGATAATTCCAGCGACTTACCGTAATGGTACACTCTCATCGAGTGATTGAAAGTCTCGGCATGCAGGGCTGCTTTTGCGTAGTCAGAGGTTTTTTTGACGACAGGGTCGGCATGAGGAAATTCGATCTCTTCAAAGGACAAAGGCGCGGGCTCATTGATGAACGGTCGATCACCAAAAATGACACCGGCATTCGCGGGTGTGCTTGTCCAACCATTCTGATCAACTTCGTCGTGCTGGCACATACTTGCTACAGCTCGGTCTCGAGGAGCTTAAAAAAAGAATATATGTATTTGGTATGAGAGATGATGATGTTTTTTCTTGATACGGAAGAAAAAAGGAACAGCAAGAAACGGCCACCTTTATATAGTTCCTAAAGCGCCACCAGTCGCATTTGATATGTAATCCCAAGGTCAGTAATGCCTCGAATTCCGTCCACTCAACGTATTGACTGTTAAATCTGTACGCTGAATGAATCATTGCAATAACAGGATCCGGCGCTATACGGATACGTCGGGAAGCTTGATCTGCTGCGTTGTACCAACAGCCTAATTAATTACTGCATTGGGAAGTTGTTTTGGGTGGATTAGTCTAAAGAGAGGGTGAGAATCAGTCTCTAGGTAACATTCGCTAGTTCCATCTTTGTCTCTAGCATCATTTCCTATTTTGGAATATAAACGTCAAAAAACTCCATTCTTCTAGACTCAGTCAGCCACCGTGAGCGATATACTGAGGTAGATGCATTGAAGCCGCGTTGTCAGTTATTCAGACAATCCATAGCTCGATGAGTATCCGTCGAGATTAGGCGTATTACAAATCATTTTAGGCAGAGAGCGAGATCATCCCACATTGTCCGCAACTGTTTGCCGCCCGCAAATGAGAAGCACGATCTATGTACACGTAAACAGTTGCCCTTTCGAGCCAGCACTCTGACTTGGTAAAATACGGATGCTCTTATTGGAACGAATACGTTGAGAAACTTGGATGTATTAGAAGCAAACTTCATACTATCGCCAATACTTCTGAATCGGCCAAGTCTCGACGGTCGAAGTATTCACCGTGCATTACTCCCTCCACGTAACATTCCCCAATAAGTTGAAACTCCTCCCCTTTTCCTACATTTGGACCTGCGACTTGTCGTAACAAGTATGGTACTTTGCCTCCATCGAGAAGAGCAATGAAATCTCCTTCTTTTGCCATCCAAGGACAGAGACCAAACATGCCATCTTCTGTCACGAAAAATGATTTCTCCATGCACGTTGGGAGGCTATCTGTCTCATAGCTACAGAAACCTCCGTCCTCGGTCGGACAAAAGCTGGGCAGCATCGGCCGAGAACAATAATCCCAATGTGCGTTCGTGTGGTCTGCATATTCGACCCTGGCCCTCCTTATCCTGTCGTTTTCGTCATGTACTATGATCTCAATCCCCCAGAAACCAGTAAATCCACAAGGATCAAATATCTTTCCAACTATCGACGAAGCTTCGGACCGGTTCTCTGGGTCTTCTCCGTAGGGGTACATGGACTCTATCGGAATGTACCCCATAGAGGATATTCTAGATATCCGCCGCCCCCGGAGTAGAAGCTTTAGAGGGTCACCAGTTTCGAGCAAACTGATATCGGGTTCTCTCTTTCCGGTGGAACAAAAGTCAAACTGCGCGCACAGCGACGCTTTGGACCACCTGGAGCGGCCGGTAGGACCTAATGCCCAGCTGGGACGCGGCAGTTGGTCATCGTCACCGGATTCGCACAATGTCTGTCGCCAAGTGCGTCCCTGTTGGCTATGAACAGCGGATAAGATATCAAGTGATCGCTTCTCCCTGATCCACCATCTGGAAAAGTCGGCAAAGACCTGTTCGATGGACTTATCATAGTCCGGCTGAATCAGTTTGTCTAGGTTTTGGACATCATGTGTTTCATTCCCAAAGACCAGAAGTGCGAAGATTTTATCCCTGGGATCACTTGCCCGGAGATCATGACCATCAAAGAAGACATCAAGGATATCCGGGAGCTCGTTGTTGGCTCGGAGACGCTTCCAAATCGCTGGTATTGCCGTTTGGGACTTGATATGGTAATCGAAATGCCAATGGGTGAAGTCCGGATCCTCAAGCCATTCGCTCGTTTGTCTTAGCTCAACCCAGGGGATCATTTCGTTTGAGCTGTGCACAAACGCTTCTTGGCTAAGCAAGACTTCTTGCACAACCCAGACCCGTGAGAACCATGGGTTTGAGATGAGAGCGACCATAAGAGTCGACAAATTTGTTTTCTTTGATCCACCAGCCCATTCCGCAATATCGTCGGAAAAGCTGGGCTCGAAGAGTTTGAAAATCTCAGCCATGTGATGGAAGGTATTCTGACGGCCTTGAGCTCGTTCCGATGCAGCCAGCGTATCCACGTCTTTGATTGCCAATGAGTGGCGTGTCCCTGGACATTTGCAGTCCCTCCCTCCAGGACAGTCTTTCAGGCTGTAGTTGTAAACATTCCGAGCAATTCTTAAGCAAGCATCGGCCCCATCATTCCCTTCACCCAGCCAGATATGAACTCTCTCCGCACGTGAAAATATATCTCGCATCAACCCGACTTGTCGTGACCTCTCTTCGTAGTTCTCCTGGTTGATGCAGATAGAATCAATCCATATATGCAAGAGTTGGTCGCTTCTTCTTAAACGGCGCAGTGCCAAGTCAACCGTCGGGTTGATGTCGAATGTTCTTTTGCCCGGTTCAAGGTCCGATGAAACCATCATTTCAACTGTATCCAGCGGCGCTCCCCAGCAGTATGAAAGAGCACTATATTTGATCTCCTTATCATCGAGGTTGGCGATGCTCCATGAAACATCCAACTTGTCTGTAATGTTCTCCGCGGGCTGAACCGTCAAGAGGCGTATCTCCTTTGTTGTAAGGGAGAGTGCATAAGTATAGCTCTCTGCGCTAGGGAAAGGCTTCGGGCGCCGTTTTCTCTGCTCTTCGCTGGCTGGTTCATACTCGATTTCAATGCGGCATTCTTTTATGATATTGACCCAGCATCGGTATCTAGCCTTTGGTATGAGCTGTATTACATCGCCTTGCTGAAGGGCTTGAACCCATGAGCGTTGGAGAAGGCCACTCTCAGCTGACCAGCGGCTCGTGTGTTGATGGAACTCAGGATCTGCAAGCCGGTTATGCATAACGTTCATGCTCCGCAAGTTGGAGCGACCGGCCGGGCGTCGGACTGATGCTTCAAACCAGGTAAATGAAACTTCATTCTCGGAGCTCGCCCAGCCTATTCAATGTGGTTGGTTATTTAAGACTGTTCCCCTCATGGATCATTTCCAACATACCTTGATCGTGCGAAATAGCCGTGAACGTCACAGCCCCGACGCTCCTAGCATCAGAGGGGACGCGAAGCTCAACGTATGGTCGATCAGGACAGTGTTCATGGACCTGGATGTCGTGGGCGCGACTCGCGCTGCATGTTTTAGTGTCGGGCATCACGGTTCACTGACTGGTACCTTGAGCTGTGAAAGGAGGGTGAGCAGGGAGATAGATAATCTAGAGCTGAACGTTTTTGCACCCACGGGATTAGGCATTAATTATGTGATCCGACCTGCTGTTGTGCTACCGTCAGCATTTGCGTTCCTTCAAATGCCTCACATGGTAAATATTGGTGCGTCCGTCTGTGGTGGAACGCACATTTGTCCAAATCAGAACCAACAACCTACGCGACCCCGCCCGCAGGTGCATCCATGAACACCATAACCTGCATCAGGCTGACTGTGGGAGAGGGTTTAGACAGAAGACTGACTGGTCGAGCACGCGCTGTGCCCCATATCTTTTGCAGGTTGGGGCCTCGTGCCGGGCCGTTGACGAAAGGCTTACCGCAGCCCAATAATCGCACGGGGACGGTGCCAACACACCTCGCCATGGCGCCATCCTGGTACAATTATTGGGTAGTACTCAGTGACATCCGTTTGGCTGTCGACCTGGATGGTGGCTGGCATGTCCCGGGCATAGGGTAATTGTATCGACCAACAGGCTTTAATTTCCCCTGTCGCGAATACCTACAGAGCGATGTGGCTATCAGCCTAAATGTGGCTGAGTGACTGCGTGGCTGGATGGCCGGATGGCCTTGTGGCTGTGTATGTCGCTAAGCAGATGTGGTTGGAGGCCGCCGTGATGGCTTCAACCTTGGCTTCCACTTTCTATATTTAGATCCATCAAGTCGAAAGCGACAAATCTATTTGGTAAGCCCTCAAATCAGTTAAAAAATGAACGAATAGAATATTAGATTATTTTTGACAGTGAGAGACACCAAAACTTGAAGTCATGAGCGAACCAATGTGAGGCGGCTAAGGCTGATATGCGCAACGGCTGCCTAATAAGGAGCAAGGGCAACGTCACTGATATGCATTGTAAGCATTGCTGACATGATCTCGACCTCCTCTATTCATCAACACTCAAACTTATCAACGAAATGATTTTGTCGTGTCAAGAAATTTACAGCAAACCAGACATATTCAATCACTGATGGATGCAATAAACGCCGGCATCGCGGGTCTGGTAGATTCGTCTGGCAAGATCCTCCTCGCTTCATACCGACTCCGCGATCGGGTTACACAATCTAAAGATGACATCGATGCCCTCATTCTCGAAGTTGAATTGCTCTCTATCGTTTCTGAGGATGTTAGAGACTCCCTCGCTCAGGTCTCCCGAGAAAACAAATCCGTTGCTCACATCGAAGTGCCAAGCGAAGATGGACTACAAGATCAACTGGCGCTGACAGCTTGTCAGGCCGCATTGAGTGAGGTCGACGGTATTTTCGAACAGCTACTCGATGTGATTGGCCCCTTCAGCAAGCCAGGATACAAAGGCGAGCCCACATGGGTATTTGATTCGGCTACCTTGACAAAGAAGCTTGATACACTTCGTAAGGCGAAGTCGACGCTGAATCTGACAGCATTCGCTCTTCAAAGCGCATTGTCTGCTGGTGATGAGTCGTCGCAGGATGGGAAAAGCTCCTCATCTGTAAAACATGACGACGAGTTCCAGATTGTTCCATCGCAACGGGAAAAGACCGAAATGCTAGGATGGTATAAAACCAGCGATCCTGAGCGTAAACACATATTTTGCCAACAGATCCGTGAACAAGGAACTGGTTCCTGGATCTTTGCAAATCCTGAATTTCGACGGTGGAAAAATGCCAGAGAGCAGTTGCTCTGGCTTCATGCCATACCCGGAGCAGGAAAGACAATCTTGGCCTCAACAATCATCGACCACATGCAAAACTACGTTCGCTCCAAAGTGGGCAATGTTGGTCCTTCGGATCGTGTGCTGTACTTTTATTTCGACTTCGCTGATACCAACAAACAAACCCTTGCAAGTCTCCTAGAGGCCATCGTTTATCAATTGCTCTCGAAGAATCCAGAGCCTTCGGAATCGGTGATGGAGTTACATACCAGCCTCAAAAGCAGGGGTCGAAACTCAGCCAACGTCGAAGAGCTCCTCGACGTATGCTTTGCTGAGGCTGCTGGTAGTGGTAGGACCTTCTTGATTATCGATGCTCTGGATGAATCGCAAAAAGGAGAACGTAGAGAATTCTTTCAAAAGTGCCTACACAAGCTTCTTGCAAATAATTTCAGCGCCCTCATTACAAGCCGCAAAGAGCCTGATATTGAGAATTATTTTGGAGACTTCTCCCCCCAAGTCATCAATCTCGAAGCGGCGGAGGTTGACGAAGATGTCAGAAAACATGTCAACAGCGTCATACATAGTGATTCGACCTTGAGTGCAATGCCGCAGGAAATACAGGAAGAGATATGCCACGAGATTGTGGCCGGTGCAGGTGGCATGTGAGTGTCCTCTTGCTGATGCGATGCAACTGATAAGCTGACCATGCTATAAAAATAGGTTCCGTTGGGCAACGTGCCAACTTGACAGAATTAAACATTGTTTGTCTCCGGCCATGATCCGTGCAGAGCTTCGATCGATGCCCGGAACTCTGGATGAGACATACGAGCGGATTCTGGGCTCGGTGCCGGGTGTCCACCGGGAGCTCGTGCAATCGGCTTTGAAATGGTTGGCCTTCTCATCTCGCCCGATACTGCTAGAGGAGCTGGCAGAAGCTGTCGTCCTGAGGCCCGAACTCGGGGATTTCAGCCCCGCGTCCTCTCGACTTTTTACGGCAAAGGCTGTTGTGGACCTTTGCGGTGTTCTAGTCGCGCAGACCACAATCGATCCTCACAAAGTGGACTTACAATGGCTCAGGAAGAAGGGGGAGGTTGAGGCTCGTGGAAGACAGAATTTCTATGACAAGACGGCAACTGTTGTCTCTTTGAGTCATTATTCTGTCAAAGAGTATCTTGTATCCTCCAGGCTCCAAGAGAGTGCTTTCTCTGGTTACTATGCTTCTGAACAGGAGAGCAACTCTTTCATCGCCCGCAGCTGCCTCTTCTATCTGACGCAGTTCAATCAGGGCAAGGCTGCTTCGGATCTGGATTTTGAAGAGTGGCCGCTTCTGGAATATGCTGCGGTAGAATGGATAAAGCACTGGGACAAGGCAGGTGTTGGTAAAACCGACGTCATTCTCCGCCAAATCTACGAGAAGCTCTTTCAGCCGGAAGGTGTTGGGGCCTACATTAACTGGCTTAATATCTATTCCCCGGATCTTGAATTCGAAGATCGGTTTGGCTACCGTCGCTTCGATTCAACCAAGCAATCGGCAGACTTGTTTCCCCAGCCAATATACTGGGCGGCTCTTCTCGGAGACCCGCTTCTCATGTGGGAGCTGATCAGTCGAGGAGCTGACATCCAAGTGCGAGGAGGCTACTTTGGTTCCGCTCTGGGCGTTGCTGTCTTCCATGGGCACACTGACGTTGTGGAGAATCTTCTTGATGCTGGAGTGAGCCCCAACACGGAATGCAATAGGTTTGGGAGTGTTCTTCAAATCGCAGCCGTGGGAGGCTCCAAGTACATGGTAGAGCGCCTGCTACGGGCTGGCGCTGACGTCAACGCACCAGGTGGCCAGAAATGGGGTTCTCCTCTAATCGCCGCGGCTGCTAACCAGCATCATGATATTGTGTCGCTTCTGATTGATAGCGGTGCGGATCTCAACGGTGGCGTTCAACAGACGGGATCGGCGTTATACGGGGCAGCAGTGGCTGGTGATGTGAAGCTCGCAAGAGTGCTGCTGGCTGCCGGCGCTGATGTGAACGGCTCTCCTTCTAGCCATGATCCCTCTCCCCTCTACGGGGCTACAAAAGCTGGATCCTTGCCACTTGTGAAGTTACTCATTTCCCATGGTGCCGATGCCAACAAAGCAGGTCCGGGCGACTTTGCAACTACACAATACCCGCTTCACATTGCGGCCAACAATGGTCTCAGTGAAATCGTTCGCATGCTTCTTTCGGCGGGCGCAGACGTCAGCAAGAAGGACAAATATGGAGCCACAGCCCTTGAGGAAGCGATTTCCCATAGCGAAGAAGCGATGGCCATCTGCAAGATGCTGCTGGATGCTGGGGCAGATATCAAAGCCAAATCTGGCTCCACGTTCTATGACTCGATATTCCAAAAAGCCGTGTCCTATCGCCGTTTTGATCTGGCGAGAATGCTGATAGATCATGGTGCTGAGCTGAGTCCGCGTGGAGTGGTAAGTGCTGTGGTTGCATACAAAGCCGCCCCGTGGGTATTTGAAGCCTTCATGGATAGAGATATTGATGTGAATGTTGCCGCAACATACTCTGGCACTCCGTTGAGCACGCCATTGCATGTGGCCGTGATGAAACGTGACTGTGGTGACGAGTATGTCGTGCGAAAGCTCTTGGAGAGAGGTGCGAATGTCAACGCTATTGACGAAAGCCACTACACCACACCTCTGGTTTTGGCTGCGCAAGACGGTTCAGCCAATATTGTCCGGTTGTTGATCGAATTCGGGGCGGACATTCAACGCACTATCAATTACTCTGCGTTTGAAATGGCAATAAATCATGCCTGCAACGATGATGGATCACTTGAAGTCGCGGAGATTCTCTTAGAGAATGGTTTTAACATGGCCAAGAATACGGAGATGGCGTAAGTCTGGGGTGATTGTAGAACTGGTCTCTGAAAGAGCTAGATTGCTAACCTTTTCTTTTTATATTACACAGACCGTTCTGGCCGACACAGACGCCCAAGCCAGAGATATTGCGCTGGTTAGTGCACAAAGGACTCAACTTGAATATGATTCTTGGCCCAAAAGGGCGGCCAAGAGGCGGCTTTGTCTATGGTGATTTTGGCCGTGGTAATGGCTATACCCCGATCCAGCTTGCAGCTAAAGACGGCAGCGTTGATATGCTCCGGCTGCTTCTTGAGCTAGGGGCCGACGTCAATGGGCTAGAGGGCCAAGACGGGACAACCCTGCATTATGGATTCAAGTCGGGTGATAAAGAGGTGGTCCAGTTTCTCCTGGACAATGGAGCTCTTATCACAAGTGATTCAACTCTAATCTGGCACGCGATCAAACATGATTTGGACGAATATATCCCCATTCTTGTTGAGAAGGGGGCCGGTTTGGATCAGGATTATCAGGGTCAAAGCCCTCTAGCGTTGGCTTTTTCATCTGGGAAGCACAGTCTTGTCCAGTATCTTATAAGCCAAGGTGCTACATTTTCAACCGGGAGTGCTGAACTTGCAAGAGAGCTAGCCACGAAGGGGTCACTCGACGACTTGAAGTTTCTGCTTGATCATGGCCTTGATCCAAACAGCAAGCGGAAGTATTATGGGTCTTTACTCGAGGCCGCTTGTGCGAATGCCGATACAGCCGCTCTGAAGCTTTTGCTAGGTGCAAGATTGCGACTAAGTAGAGAGGCGTGTCAACACGCATTTGAGAGCGCCTGCAAAACTGGTCACATTGAGATGATCAAATTCCTCACAGAGCAGGGTGCCGATGTTGACATTTCAGCAGCACTACAAGCGGCTTTCAGCGAGCCTAACAATCTTGTAATCGTTGAGCTTCTTATGGAACGAGAGACCAATGTTCAAGCAGATCTAGGGAAATGCTTCCAGGCAGCAGCGAGAGCAGATTGCCAAAAGTCTATGTCTTATCTTCTCGAACTGTCGAAAAGTCCATCTGAAACGGCAAACTATCTTGGTCAGGCCCTCCAGGTAGCGGCAAGTAATTCCAATCTAGCTCTTTGCAAATGGTTAATCGACGAACACGACGCAAACGTCAATCATTTTGGCCTCCCTCATGGAAGCCCCCTTCAGGCGAGCCTCGGCCATGTTTACAGTCAGGAGGGTAATCAAATGCTCGTTTTCCGCCTGCTTCTCGAGCGAGGTGCCAACGTCAATCCCCCCAGGATGGAGAAGAAGCCGATAAAGACCGCGTCCATCAGAAAACGCCAGATCATGGGGCTCCCCGTCGACACCTCCACCACTTTCGCATCGCCTCTTTCGCTTTCTATCGCAGGCGGGCGTTGGGGGAGCGCTCAAAAACCATTTGTGGCTCAGCTTTTGGATCTTGGGGTAGATGTAAATGGATTTGGCGGCCAGTATCATTCTCCTCTTCAAGCCGCTGCATTCCGCTGCCCAGAGATAGTCGGCCGGCTGCTTGACGTAGGCGCCGATGTAAATGCAACCGATGATGAGAGCGTGTTTGGTACGGCACTTCACGCTGCTGCATACAACAGAGATCTGGCCACCGCTAAGATTTTGCTCGACCACGGAGCGGATGTGAATATCGTTGCGGGCGACCACGGAACGGTGTTGCGAGCAGCAACCTTTGACGACTCGCGCGGCGGCCGTGAAAAGAAAACAATTAAAATGATGAATCTGTTATTTGAGGCAGGTGCAGATGTCCACGCGACGGATAATGAAAATAACTCAGCGGTACAAGCAGCTGCCAAACAGGGGAACATTGCAGCTTTGGAATGGCTGAGAGATCACGGGGCGGATATCTGTGCCGAAGGTGGGAGTAAGGGCAATGCGTATCAGGCCGCGCTCGAAAACTTGAATAACAACTACTGTGTTAGATGGGATGCCGTTACGTGGTTGGAGAAGCATTACGGTAGGGACTGTTGGGGAACAGACATTCTTCCGTAGACGAGAGGATGACTCTCAACTACAGGACTTCTATCCCAGACGTATTATGGCAATATCTATAATCAATCAGGGCTAGATTTCAGAGTAGTTAGGATTGACTTCAATACTTCGGGTGTGGTCCAAAATCCGAGTATGAAGTCAATAGTGATAGTGAACAGATCTATTTCACCTGTGAACGTGGAGATTGTCCGTTTGTGTTGAGCAGCAGAGCCACATGGGGAGGAGCTTTAGAATACTACACTAAGTATCTCCAAAATAAGTCCCAAACCTTGAAACAATGAACGTAACAAGAAGGAAGAAGGCGGAGTATGGTCTTGGCAAAGTCCAAATGGGGTAAAGTAAGAGGCACCAAATAATTAGGCGTGGTGAGCCTCGGTGCTTACAGTAGTATAATTTTTGCGAGCAGGTCTCACCCCATCCGCTACGCAAAATAAGACCCGTTGAGGCTGATGATAATCACCAAGTAGATGGGAAGGGTGATGGACCGGAGGATCCCAAGTGTCTGGGTTTTCTCTATTCACTTGATGAGCAAATAGGGCATAACAAAGAGTTTTTGTCCAGCCGAAAACAGAAACATATCTCGTCCTCTGCCGTAGCCCTGGCTGCCAGATATCAATGATCCGATAATCAAGTTAGATGGTCCGGGTGCCTCCCGCCTGCGGATCCCGATGTGATCAAGCCTGTTGCCCTATGCCAAGGCTATGTGTTGTTGACACCCAGCCAAGCAGTGGCTCAGCAGGGAATCTCACCTACCGCTGTGTCTTGCCAAATGCGGTAATATCGTCACGCACCAAATCTCCACGCGGTTGAGCTGATCAATCTGGGCTGTATTATACTTCCATAGGGCTGTAGTCTCGATTTTGTATTTAACAAAGGCATAACCCAAGGTTTCCTAAATACTTACAAGCTAAGTCAGAGTCGACTTTGCATAGATTCAGCTATTCAATTCTTGCATTTATACCTACCCAATTGTTGATAAAACTCCCTCCTCAAAACCATTATGCCCGGTATCCCCAGATCCAAAGGGTGTCGTTCATGCAAATCCCGGAAAATAAAGGTATGCGATCATAGGACTTTCTATGATAGTTTACTTACATCTCCTTCAAAGTGCGACGAGAACTGGCCCGCCTGTTCTCCCTGCGTCCTGAGAGGGTACGACTGCTCGGGACCAACCTCCTTGCTCAAGTTTATCAGAGACGGAAACCACAAGAACTCCCGATCAGAATTATATGTGGAAGCAGAAAATGTTTCAACAGCGTGGGTGTCTGAAGTATGCACTCGACCTAAACGATCCACACGGTCTCCTGAGCCTAAAGGCTCAGAGAAAAGAAAACGACCAGCCAACATAGCGGCCATTCCTTCTGCTCATCTGACCTGTTTCCGGCTCCCTTCCAAGCTACGGCCTCTGCCTACCACAGTCATAGATCGTCTTGCTGCTCAGCTGGTGAGCCATCTAAACCGGGCGGCTGATCGCGGCATGATTCTGTCGAAGACCTATCTACAGTACATACCCAGCCGGCTCGCATACTTCCCATGCCTTCGGGATACGATCGCCCTCTTTTGTACCGTCTGGTCCAATTTCTGCCGCAAAAGGCAGTCTCTCGACTTTATTAATTTACCCGCCTATGGGAAAGCAATCCGGAGCTTACGCCGTGCCTTGGGAACTGAGCAGGCATTCGCTGTGGAGACACTGGCAGCCGTCACGATTTTACAAAGAACCGAAGAGCTATTCAATCCTGGTGGACAAAGAATGATACACGACCAGGGGATGACAACTTTATTAGAGAATATAGGGCCACCTGAGTCGGGAGATGAGTTTCATATTAGTGTATTATGCGAGGATTATAGCATTCTGGTACGGTAGGCCCCTTATTTCCCATTCCATTGTGCCAGGCTTGAAGAGAACTGCGTTGTTCTGAGCGTAATAATGGCTAATAATTTCTCAGGTTCCTTACTGGATAATGACAGGATGGAAGAATATCATGAACGAGTTCCCATTCAGAACCCCAATTATCGAAGGATTTGCGAAATACACAGAAAATATACGATTGTCCCCTCTCGTTCACGGAGCATTCCACAGGTTTGACGCCGTCACGAAAGCACTGCCCGTCTTGATACGTGCCTGCGAATCCCTTTGGAAGCCTTCCAATGGCGAGTTCCAGGACAGTTCTAGCATATACATAACGAACTGTTTCAAGGAGACACATGAGGTGGCAGAAGACATCATGACCAAGTTCCTAGAGGGAGCTCTGGGCACAGGCGACATCGAGGAGAGAGTAGATCCAGCTTCTCTCTGTGAAACAACTTATTACTTTTCGACCATCTACTTGGCACAGATCTTCCTTGGTTTAACCAGTGTCTATATATGTATCGTTCGGATGCGATATGACTGGAGCGCTGCTCATGGGCTCCCAGAAACGAGGAATATTTATGCGAAGCTGAGGGAGCTTGCAGAGCATGTTTGGAAATATGCGAGATTTCTACGTAGCGTCGAATCTTTCATTGGGGTCACATCTCAGCGTTCTCTATATCTTACTCTTGAAGTTGCAGGAGTGGACGAAAAAGAGTATCTCTTGGACTTGATTTCCGATATGGACAGCTTTCGAAGACGGCTTCCTGTGCAGAGAGATGATTTGGAGGCGCAGATTCTTATATATGCTAGACTCTTGACAGGTCGAAAGCCATGATACCTCGGATCATGACGATGTTGGATTCTCGATGAGAAATAGAGATTACAGGTCATTCAACTTTGAGCAGAATTCTTTAGATAGGTTTCATATAATTCATATATGATCAATGACCTTCGTCAAAATATAATATCGACAGAATTTCTAAGGAGGATTATCTTGAACAGATCCTCCATAGCCGAAAGAAAGTTAGATTTTCTTCAAAACCTTATCCTTTGTGACTAATCCAAAGTTTGGGATTCCGAAGCCTTTACATTAGACTTCAGGAGATGGCTGTGTCTGCTTTCCCTCGTTTTCGATTCTCTTCTCCCTGTCTGCTCTTCCTTCACTATTCGGGTCATAAAATGCTACAGCCAGGGGTTAAATCAGCACACCATCTTACTACGTTGAAGATTGAGAGGTTGAATCTGCTTACGCTTCTCGCTGAAAACGGTTGTGCGTATTCCGCGCCGCGGACTTTTGTAAGAACCTGGGATAACGCGGTGGATCACACACCGATTGTCCCACATTGCTACTGCGCCAACTGTCCATTTCCATCGAACGAGGTGGTCATCCGCGGAATGAATATGGTGACTGAAGAAGTCGAGTAGTTTATCTGCATAGTGAAAACAAATAATTAGTAATGCACGTATCAGGTTCTTTGTTGTAAAGCATCTTACCTGACTCGGCTTTCTTCAACTCGGCGAAGCCTGACACGAATCCCAAGTTCACATTCAAGGCCTTCAGGCCAGTCACTGGATGAGTTCTAACAGCGGGATGATGCGTATCAATAGGCGGACGGTTGGGTCCCACTTCCCAGAGATCCAGGATTGTTTCGTATTGTAGCTGGACATCATCAGCCACTCATCCCGGGTTGTAGCGGTGCGCGTGGAATAACTTACTCTTGACGTATGCACTGCATGAAGCCCTTCCAAAAGTCGCTTATAGGGTTCACTAAGGGCGTCATAAAGCCCGTACCCTGAAATCCATGCCGTGTCTCCTCCCACCTCGGGGTGTTCCTCCATCCGGAGCAAGGAGTAGGACGGAGGATTGAGCTCGAATGATGTATCCGCATGCCATTCGTCTGAGCGCCAAGGGGTATACTTGGAAATCTCCCTATGGTCCTTGGTGCTTCCCCGAATGACGATATGCTTGACATCCTTCTGCGCAGGGTGCTTATCTAGGACACCGTAGTGCTCAAACAGTTTCTCCTGCTTCTCAGTTGTGAGGTCTTGGTCTCGGAAAAATACAACACCTCTCTCCGACACAAGCAGGGCCAGTTCATCTAGCTGAGTTGGAGTCAGTTGCGACAGCTGTACATTCTCGAGCAGGGTTCCAATCGATTCGGTCAGATCTGATCTTTTAGCCACAGAGAGAAGATCTCGCTTTTCCGGATCTGCAAAGCTAGCCCTGTCAGGTGAGGGAGTCAGCTCATCTCTGATCGGGTCCGGGGGTGTGTGGCTCTTGATTTTGTCGTTGAAAAGAGGATGCAGGGTGATCGGATGGCCAGACTCGGGAGATATATGCTTGTAGGATTCGAGATGCGACATATTTACGTTAGGAGACGTGATTTGAGCTTTTCGCGATGTTCAAGTAGTTAACCGGTTATTTTCCACTCGAACTTCTGAGTTATTTGAGTAATGTACTTATCATAGAGGATATCAAATTCCGCCCAATACTACTGGAATTGATGCGACATTTATCAGATGGTCTGCATACTGGATATGATGATGCCTTATCCTGTTGGCATGACGATATGGCCGGATTAGTAATTGTATTGAAGGCAACCTAACATGACTTCCAAGTCTTGGTTCGAGAAATCTTCACATTCTATTCGCTATTGAGTGCTAAGAGGTGCTATTATCGTGCATCCGGGTCCAGATGGCTCATACGGTTCACTGATTGCGTGATCATTCTGAGTTGGAATCGGACTCCTTCTGCAAGGCCCAGACACCCTCTCTTTTCCTGTCGACCAGGAAAGGTTTTAATCTTCCCGATCACGCATATTAAGTAATTCACCACTCCATCTTATCTATTGCCTAATACCAAACACAAAAGAGCGTGATGGCAGGAGCACGATAATCACAAAAAGATGAACGATACGAGCTCCACAATAGCTGTCTTTCTACGCTTCTCAGGACAGTGGGACACTTTCCCCCCGTTTCTAATATTGTCTGGTCATGCAGCTGGTTGTTGGCTCTTTGGTGTATAGCCATCCCAAAGGTTCCCTTCCATTGGCACATCGAAGCCAAGAAGAGGCGGGCCTATCTGCCTCTGAATATCGCCTAGTCTTGCGTCTTCTATGCATTTCCAAATCCTCCGTCGGTTGCGAAGACCTAGAGGAAGACGCAGAGTCTCATCTTCAGGACGAGAAATATCAGTCAGGGACAGCTTCTTGACCAAAAGCTCCCAATTCCAATCACCTGTATGTTGCTTCTCGCTGACCACATCTTCGTCTAAGTCCCACATCCAAGGAAGTTCCTTCTTGGTGATGAATTTATTGAACCACCAATCTTGATCTTTCACATCATTTGAAGTTTCCTCGCTGCGAGGTCTCGAAGCATCTGCTTCCAGGTTATCCAGGATGCACTCAGTCAAATTTGGCACCTCGATTGGGTCTGCTTCTACACACTAATGTTATCATTAGAACGGTTCCCTAGAAAAGAAAATTGAGTCTTGCATACTTCACCAACCAGCGGGTTATTATCTGGCTCCCACTCTGTCAAATGAAGAGAAGCAATACCGCAATATCGGGTCGGGTGCTCTATGTTAGAGGCAACCCCACGCCCAGATGCCGATAGCCGAGTAAAAACAACTTGCCACAGTTGTTTGACGGAACAGATCTCATCTTTGTCGCTGGTCTGGAACACGTCGTGGGCCTCGCGTCTGCTGCTGATGAAGCGCTGGACGAGCTGGGAACATTGGCTGTGAACTGCGAGGTATATGGCACTCTCATTGTCAACAACGTGAAAGGCGGGGACCTTCTTGCCTGATTCTGAGATCAAAAACACATTATGCTGCTGGTATGTGGCCTCCTGCTCCAACACTCGTCTTTGGGAATCACCAATCAGATTGACAAGGTCATAGGTATACATCCCTAGTTGGCATTTGTATGTGTCTAACTCGACGCCATCTTTCGTATCATGGACAGTAGTCCAAAGTGCTGGATAGCATAGCCAATCGCCGGGCTCATCTTCACTACAGCGCCATTAGGAGAATGACATACTTGGTGATGCGCGATGATTTGGCTCACCGAGTGCCAGGTTCTAGAAACGGGCCTCCGCAGATACAGCAGTAGGCCTGGTTACGACCCATATCGCCTGACGGTCAATAAGAATGGCGAGATGGCCGAAACACAAACCCGAATCTCGGGAGATGTCAAGCATGAATGTGTGGAAAATACAGCAAGTCTAATAATACTACCAGGCAGTTGACGGATAAAGAGTAAAGTAGAGCACTAGCGAGATTTAAGCCCCAACAAGTGCGATGCGTTGAGCAGTTGTTAGGCTTGCTGAGTTGCGGCGTCTAGGGTGGGAAAATAGAAGACAAGCGGCAACATTTCAAGTACAAAAGAGCGTGTGCTGATCTTATCCTCTCTCAACACTCTGCAGATGCGGGATTGTCGGGCTCCAATTTTGGTTCATCTACTGACCGACCAAGCATTTCCATTTCCATTGTCCAGGCTTCTTCCTTCTTCCTCTCGCCATGAGCAATTGATGCAACAGCGCAATTAGCAGATGGAATTCCGATTGATTTTCTGGGAGAGACAGTCTCATCACTTGACGGGAAGCCTAGAATGAGCGATTCTGGTGGGAATGGAATTAGGTAAGCCGCATTGGAGCTAAATAGATTCAGGAAGATGGCCTGATCATTGACGCTGAAGTGTTGTAGCGCCACGCCGGATGACACATTTGTGCATGTGAACCACGGCCAGTGGCGAGTGAGTCAACTTCCAAGTCTATGAGTGATCAAGTGAGGAATACTGAACAGATGGACAATTGGATTAAATATCAACAACTAAATCATGGCTCTCCGTTATCCATGGCTCGTTATCCACATGCCAGTGTTGACCCCCACCATCTGCTGCCAAAACAGCTAAAACAATGGAGGGGAAACATCTGATGCCCGCCTGAGTTACATCTGATTGAACTAGGTTCGCGCCCGAAAAAATTAACAGCAAAACGCACAAGCGAGTGGCGCTGGGCTGAGCTGAGTTGAGCCGGGGCAAAGCAAAGCAAAGCAAATCGAATCACGAGACCGCCATTCGTGCTTATTTAATTTGTGCGTTTCACCGTCGCCTAAAAGCCGCAACTGCTCATTTTCTACGTCATATCATACATATCAGCAAGATATTACAGCACCCAACACACACACACACACACCCAGCACAACACTGTGACGATCCCAATGGCCGTCACCAACCACACCCAAGCCATCGACCCTGGTGCCATTCGCCGGCTGGATGGACTCACTGATACAGACACTGAGGATATTCTCGACGACATCTACGCCCGCATCCATGTCGATGTCGATGGATTCCTGGACAAGTACTTCCTGAGCCCCTCGTCAGCATCAGCCCCTCCTCCCACCGCCAACGCATTTCTGGAATGGCTGGCCACACACCTCGCCGACGACGCCAATGGCGGCAGGTGGAAGCTGTCTCTAGCCCCCAAGGCCACTGCCGCCAATGCTGCCGGTGCAGATCTTGTATTGCTGCGCCCAACGGAACCCGACGCCGCCGCGCAGCCGCAATGGGCTCGGGTGGGCGTCATTGGCCAGTTCAGCCGGGACAGTGGCCCTGCAGAGTACGAGGAGGGATTCCTGCGCTTCTGCAACCAGGCCCGCGACGTCTTCGCCCACCAGCCCACGCGGTTCTTCATCCATGGATTCTACATCTGCGGCCAGACGATGGAACTGTGGGTCTTTGATCGATCTGGCATGTACAGCAGCTCGGCTATCGACATCCAATCTGAGTTTAACCAGTTCCTGTCCGTCATCGACCATTACGCCCTGCTGGACGACGAGGAGCTGGGCATCGCCCAGGTCCTCCAAGCGGACAAGATTGGTCAGTTTGTCGAGACCCATGGAAGCCACGCGGAAGGACTGGAGAGGCTGTATCTGGAGCACAAGCCGATTGCCAGGTCGGAAAATCTCTTCGGCCCCGGCACGACGGCATATCGGGCAAAGCTCCCCAAGTCGGATCGATGGAGTCACGTTGTCAAGTTCAAGTGGCGGACCAAGAACGATGGCAAGGAGGAGGATATCCTGCAGGTGATCAAGGAGAAGAATGTCTGGGGTGTGACGTCAATCGACTACTACGAATACATTACGCGGACGTCGTACCTGCGCGGAGGCCTGCAGTATTCTTCGTACCGGAGATTTGTTCCTGACCTGGGGAAGAAGGAGGAACTGCTCAAGACGTGGGACTCGTCCGAGCAGGATATTTACGACTACACCGAGGAGTCCGGGAAGCCTTTTGAGGATCTCATCCTCACTTGCGTCGTCACATCCCCCGTCGCAAGGAGTTTACGCTCGTTCAGGAGTCGGACAGAGCTACTCGAAGCCCTACGAGATGCCATCAAAGCCCATAGGTCGTTATTAACGGATGCTCGGATCATTCACCAGGACATTTCCACGGGAAATATCCTCATCACAGATGCACCGAGAGATGACGAACCGAGAGGGATACTCATCGATCTCGATGTAGCAGTACAGCTCGATTCGGGACGAAGCAACGCGAGGGAGATCACGGGCACGCCGCCGTTCATGGCGATTGACGTGTTGAAGGGTAGACGGCACTCATACAGACACGATTTGGAATCATTCTTCTACGTCTTTGTGTGGCTTCTAATTTCAAATGGAGATGACGATCCTCCCGATTCCAGCAGGCTACAGAAATGGGTTGGAGAGTCATTTGACGACCTGGCGGAGCAGAAGCTGAAGGACATGAGGGAGGAGGACTTTGCCGGCATCATCGCAGAGTTCCCACCCGAGTTTGAGTCACTAAGAGGGTCGGCTGAGGAGATACGGCAGATCCTGTTCACATCTAGGGATGGGTCCTCCTTGTGGACCGGCACGGATAGTAGTTCTGAAGCGATGCAGGACATGTACAGGAGAATCATTGATGTTTTTGATAGAGCGATTGCGTCCAAATAGACTGTAGAGGTCACTTTAGAAATCAGATGAGGTAATTTTCGGGGAGGGGGGCTTAGATTTGCATACAAGTTGACATAAATCAGGAACAAAAATTCCATGAAATTATACCTGTGAGAGTTTCGAGTACGGAGTAAAAGCCAACAATGGAATATGCCAGACCCGACATCTCAACACAATGAATACGCCGTGAGATAATACATTGTCGCCAAAACATCTAAAACGATCAAGATTTCCCGTTTTGGTCTTCCGTGAATGTGGATTATCATATATCGCTCAACCATGATCTCTTCTTCTGTCTTGCCTTGGGGGCCTACGACACAAAAACTGGGATGCAGGTAGAGGCTGATGCAGCATGAAATCCAGCTGCCGAGATTAGTCAGTAAGGTGGCACTGAAATTCTGAGCCGCGCATGTTCAGCTTTGCTATCGCTAATAATAGGAACTGTTGGTTGTGATTGCGGAATTTCTGGACAATTCACGGTCTGCTGACGTCGACCAAATCCCAACACTTGCCGAGATGCTCAAGAGAACTGCGTTAATGCGATAATCTAGTCCAATAAACCGCAGCCCATTGATCTGGTCTGGAGTTGCTTCGTCATGGCTGCGATTCAGCTCACCGTTGACCCTCGTTGGGAGTATTACTCGACCTCCTCATCACATCCAGCACAGGCCTCCGCTCTCTGCCCGGAAGCTGCTTACGTCTCATTGAGGCTTCCTACCCCGGGTTCAGACAATGGACGTAGTCCCTCAGATTCTCTTATTATCCATCGCGTTGTATTTACCACCGAGTCTCACGACCAAGGCTTCAGCGACAACGAAGGCGACATCGGCACCTACCGCGGCTCCAACTCCTTCTTCGAGGCTCATGTATCAGACCCATCTACTGGGGCTCTCCGTGTGCCACAGCGCCGCATACAGTATAATTATCACGCAAGCGACGTGTTCCGCACCCACACAAACGTCTGGGACAGGCGCGACGAGGCCTTGGCTGAGGCCGGCCCCGGTGCTGCCGCCTGGGTTCATAGGGTAGAAAGCAAGGGCCTGTCACTGGCTGAGTGGCTGGGGGAACTCCGTGGAGGTGATGTTATCATGATCGTCCCCAAGGCGTGGTATCCCGGATGGACCAACGTCGTGCGGTTCGCTCGGATCGAGGTCTGGGGCGACTTCGTCTCAACCCGACCGTCTGTACACCAACCTCTATTCGGGACGACTGACAAAAGTCAAGACTTCTATCGGCCATTGAGTTTCGACAAAAAGGAGATTCGGCTGGTCGTAGTTGAGCCCGATGACCGTGGCGCAAGCGAGGATGCCACTCTCCGGTTGTCACTCCAATATTCATCACTGGAGGATCTAGACCATGTCCCATATGACGCACTTTCGTACTGCTGGGGAGACTCTGCAGAAAGAGAGGCAGTTCTACTCAGTGATGGTGAGTTAGGGCTGAAGAACACCGAGATTTACGTTCGGAGGAACCTTGCATCAGCCCTTCGGCACCTCAGGTCTTTGGGCAACCGAGCAGTGCTTTGGGTCGACCTTCTCTCCATCAACCAAGCCGATCCCGCGGAACGTTCTCATCAAGTCGCATTGATGGGGGAGATATTCGCATCCGCCCGGTCGGTCCGGGTGTGGCTTGGAGAGGCGGATGACTTGGTGACCGAGGATTTTGGTGTCGTTCGATCAGTTGCCCAGCGATATCACGAAAGGCTGAGGACCAACCCTGAGCTCGGACTCCCAACTTCGCGGCAAGCGCATGAGGTCATCGCCCACGAAACCTTCATCTATGTAGACGCCGACTCCATCTTCATTCGGCCCTGGTTCCGACGTGTCTGGGTGTTGCAAGAGGTCTGGAACCCGCCGTCCGGAACGAAGAAATCGCAGCGTCAAGTGACAGTACACTGCGGGCAAGAACAGCTACCGTGGGAGGACATTGCGCAGGCGAATCGCTGTGTTTACGATCAGCTCAAGTACCTCAACAATTATACTATGCCGCGGCTGCTTACGGGCTTGTTCGACATTACTCGAGATCGAGAATCGTCCGTCCTGACTTGTGTTCCCGCCGACCGCCGCGACATTCTGAACATCGTCCTGGAAGGGCTTGATCTCCAGGCCACCGATCCCAGAGACAAGATATTCGCGCTGCTCATCTTTGGCCATGAGACTCACCAGATTGCCACGCTGCCAACCTTGATCAGGCCGGACTACACCATCAGCGCCGGGCGAGTGTACGCTGACTTCACACGCTGGTGGATACTCCAGCATCGGTCGTTGCGCATTCTATCAGCCGTCCACGCTCTCGAGGGCAGGCAATGGCTCCATCTCCAGTCGCACGACAGGAATCTACCCCAACAGCGTAGCCCTTCCTGGGCTCTCTGGTCAGCGGGCCACAGCTCCTGGGTAAGGGGTACACTCGCCCTTCAGGACGAAGTCTGCGTATATCGGGCCTGCGGTGACCGCAAGGCCATCGATGATGAACTCCTGACGCTACCCGCGGCAGCCAGCAGGGATGAAGTCGACGGTTTTGCCATGAAGCTCAAGCTCAGGGGCGTGCGGCTTGGTTCGATCGCGGCCGAGCCAGCCCACTATCCATACTTTCAGCAGCCACCCTTGTCGGCAGGTCTCCAGGAGGCGTACATGCGAATCTTCGACCCCCCGGGTACCCTTGGGACGTGGCAGAATGCACGCAGCGCCAGGGGAGAGCTAGGAAATCACGATATTCACTACAACGCCCTGCTTCGGCACTATATAGCACATTGGGAGACATACCCGCCTGACCCGCTCAGTGACAGCGATTCTCAGAGTGATGCCCAGAGTGGTTCCGACGACTCTTCCCGATGTGATTCAAGCAATGAGGAGCAGCCGGCCTGGCTCCCTTGTCATGGAAAATGTATGTTCACGACTGAGGATGGCGGACTTGGACTCTGTCCCGCGGCGGCCATGGCAGGAGATGTGATAGTAGTCTTGTATGGCGGAGACGTGCCCTACTTGTTGCGACCATCCGGACAACCGGGAACGTATCGCTTTATTGGGGAGTGTTATGTTGATGGCGCCATGAGTGGTGAGGCATTTGTCCCTGATAGAAATTTGGTCGAGGAAATATTTGTGTTAGAATAAAGAGCCTGGCATATATTCCTTCCAGAAGCAACCGCTTGTGGCTGATTAACGAGTTGTATCCCCGGGCCTCGGGGCTCCTTTTCACATGGCCTTTCGGGAATGTAACTCGTGATTCTGCCATGTGTCTATACTTGCAAGCTGGATAATGATTGAAATCGAGGATGAGTCCCAAGATTAGGCCTGGGCTGACAACGGGCGGTTCGTTAGCCGAGCAACCATCTCTAAGTGATGAAAGCGCCCATCCGAAGAATAATGAGAAGGGGCAGGTCGGAGTATTTTGAGACTTTTAGGCAGAAATTTACGGGTAAAATCGAGCCAAAGACAAACAGAGGGCGAGACGACTTTCAGAGCAGAGTATATGGACCAACACAAATGACACCGAGTGAGGGGGAGACCACGACAGGTGGGGGCTGTCGACATCATATGGCCGCTTCGGGAGATATCCAGCGCGGTATGAAAGTGCTCAGTCACTCCAGGGATCATTGCGAGTTGGTTGAATAGGGGTGGAAGTACCACGTTAAAATCTCGACCCAGTTTTAGTATTTTTGTTGCGAGCCTTAACTTTATCAAGGAAGAGAATCTCACCAATAAGCAGCCCTGCCAAGTGCTGAGTGCTGACGGAACTAATAAATAAAAGCTGGTCTGACACTCTTCTCCGCATCTGCTTATTCTCCTCCTCTTTGTTGTTCATTCACCTTACATTCCTCACGTTTACTCTGCTAAGATTCGTAGCTCCATCATCACGCATCATCAATTGTAAAAATGGCCACCAAAACAACGGTTCCTCTCTACTATGATATTTATTTCCGCTGGATAGATCCCATAACATCCATCGCGACAGCCCTCCTCGTCTTCTTCAATCGCGACCTTATCCTCGCCCAGGCCGGTCCAGTTGCTGAACGTTCTCAGCAAGACCCCGTTCTGGACCCGCTCATGTGGCAACTTGCCGGCCTTTACTCACTCATCGCCATCTTACAAGGCGGCCTTCTGCGCTACACCGATGATTTGGGGGTGTGGAAGTTCACCAATTTCGGCGTCATGGTGGTGGATGTGTTGATCGTCTGCAGCTTGGTGGAGCTGAAGGCTCGCACCCCTGAGGGATTGTCTGTGTCTGGCATGAGACCAGAGGACTGGGTGAACTGGATATTGACGATTCTCGCGGTAGTTAACCGGCTTGCTTTCATTTTTGATGTTGGCCTCAAGCCATCCAAGCAGGTCATCGCTAAGAAGAGGGTCTAAGTTATCTTCTGTTGGGCAGGCTAAAGACATGCAATACAAACTGGTGAAGTTTCTAAACCGAAAACGTTGCGGTTTGGAGATTCTCGAAAGGTTGGGTGGGGGAAATTGGAGAACATGTGGTTTCAGTGGTGTGTACATTGTTGGCAGAAGGACCAGTGAGGTGGTTTATCATTATCATGAAAGAGCAAGGTGCCCTCAGGATTATGACCATGAGATACGCAACAAATTTATGGGCAGAGCATCGAGCTCTTGTGGCTATCAATAGACTTATTGCTTTGTGTCGTGAATTTCACGGTCGAGGGAGAAATGAATAACCGACTTCGTAAACCTATCTGCCTCCTGCCTATGATAAGTGTTAATATCTCCTGTTAAGGTACAAACTACAGACTTCATGCCTAGCTAATGCAGGCATTAAAATCTCAACTCTGAAAACCTAGTTCCATTTCAAACTTGCATCCCCCCATTGTCGTGGCCAGACCGTCATCACAAATCTTTTCAGCCCTGATGTGATTTTGCTCATCTTAGAGAAAGTCCAGAAAACATGCCACCAAAAATTCCACTACTCCGGGTTTCATGTTTCCGGTGGCCGTCTTTAGGATTCACCCTAGGCGGAGGCCTTTTTTGTACTGTCACGATACGGGCCGGCGCCTGTCGAGGGTTGGCACGTCGAGCTCCAAATCCCGCTCCTGCTCTTCCACCAATACGATAAGGCCGCTCTCTGTACGTGGACTTATGGGCGGACGTGATTGTATTTTTCACTGCTTTCAAATTCTGGCCAAAGTGCGGGAGGCCGTAGAGCCTGGCAACAAGCTGCTCGACACCCTTTTCATCAAGTAGCTGCTCTTTCGCATTGCGCGGAGCACGCATATGCTTGGTAAGTGTATTGACAAGCTCCACGTGCGCTTGCTTGTCTTCTTTAAGACCCTGAAGACGTTTCTTGTTGATGTCCACATTGTGTCCTAGCTGCCTCCCAGCTTCGATTTTGGACTCTTCATCTTGAATGAGCATGTTGATGTAATCCTCGGTTGCATCGTTGATTGGTGTCAAAGCCCACGCCTTGAGGAATAGCCCGAATCGAGCTGCTGCTTCTTGGATTTGCATGTGCTCCGATTTGTAGTCTCCAATAAGCTTTGACGCTTCCGCGATACCAGTCTGACGCAGCGTAACATCTCCAGCGTTGGCTTGAAGCTGTCTCTGGATCTCCGTGTCGGTCACTTGAACAGTGACTTGCTCAAGCTCATACAAGACATGCATGTGCTCCTGCCAGTGATGTGTGCACCTCTTACAGTGGTCACTACCACTGAAAGCGGCGCAGCGGATCAGATTTGGGTGCGCAACCACGTCTTGCTTGACATCAGTGAGATAGCATACCGGGTGGCAGTGGGACTTGTAGATGGTGACGGTCTCGCCGTCTCCCTTTCCACTGTCCTTGAAGTCACAACATGTCGTGTTTTTGCAAACCGTTCGAGGTTTATCGAGCTTGTGACTTTGGAACTGAATTTTGTCAAGTTGAAGCCTTTTACGGAGGTTATCACCGGTCAGTCTCGTGTCCAGCAGTTGCTGTTTCTTGTCTTCCATCGCGGTGATGTTCTCTCTGATAAGCTTGGAGATTTCAGCCATGGGCTTGGTGAGCTCCATGATCAGTTGGCGAGCGCCGTTCAGGCTAAGAGTGCTCACGACACTGTGAGGCTTTCTGGTCTTGAAATAGTCGACAAGCCGCACTGATTCCAGTCTCGAGTGCTCCCAGCTGCGACGGAAATCCTCCTCGTTAGGGAGAGGGCAGGCATTCTTGTAAGCTGCCAAATATCGAAAGCTTTCTGAGTCAAAGCAGTATGTTGTTGAATTCGACAGCGTCAACCCCATGTCTGAGTGTTCCTTCAAAAGTGACATGAGGGGCTGGAATGTATCTCCAGGGGTGTAATTCGATATTCGTGTGTTGGTGAATCCGAAAACAATGTTCTCAACGGCGCTTCGATGGAGATGCGCCAGTAATTCTTTGACGCAAAAGCGGAATGTGATTGTGAGACGGGCGTTGTTTGACTTGAGAAGAATCAATATTCCGTGTAGATTCTCGTAGCTGCTAAGCGTGCTGAGGATATCCGCCATGTTCTTTTTGTCATATTGGATTCCCCTTGTATCGCCAATGCCTGGAGTATCAATCAACCTATATGTCGCTGAGCCAATATTGACTGAGTACACGTTCGTCTGTTGAGTTGCGGATGCACCTCTGGATCCATCTGCTTCATCTTCACGTCCGCCAACTTTGATAACCTTCTCCTCAATTGGTTGATTTGGATCATTTCTATTCATGACCTGAATAGAGAAGGAGCATGGGATCACCGATTCCAATTGGTCAGACGCTTTGGCGAGATCGAGAGTTTCGTAGGACAAGTAATTGATGAAGGCGTTGATAAAGGTGGATTTCCCTACCCCAGTCTCACCCAGAATCAGGATGTTGATGTAGTCCGACTGGTCCAGGTTGCCTAGGAGCCCACCGAGAGTCTTGGTAGAGTAGGAAACGTAATCAGTTCCATGACGGTCTCCATTACATTTGAATTGATAACTTCTATACGGGGCCCGTCCGCATTCACAATATATGAATTCGTCCGTGAAGCCATATTCGATAGGAGCAAGGCAGAAAGAACATGACCACTCGCATATTCTAGTCGGGTCGCATTTGCCACACGGACATGGTACCTTGACGAACCGGCGTTTGACGGGCTTGTTGTTTAGACTGGTATCCAAAGCGTTTGTCTGGTACTGAGCGAGTGATTTTTCGGCCATGAATTTCTGATGATCGAGCAGATCGGAGATACTCTCCTCGCCATTCTGGAAGCGACAGATGCGAGGGGCATCCGAATCCAAGGACTTGGACGTCGCATCACAGTCTACAACGTAGACAGGAGCTGTTTGGCGGGCGCGTGTGAGCAGCCCCATCAGTAACGCACAATTGTCATTCCAGACGTCTTGGCTTTTCATCGCATTTCGGTTAAAGAGAAATGCATAGCAGCCACTGTCGTCATGGGAATCAATGGCGTCCTCAAAAGAGAGTCCATTATGGCCGATATAGATAGCTCCATTGGAGACTACATGATTTATGAAATCAAGCTTGGCACTCTCTTGACCCGCGATGGCGGATAGCTTCCTCGGAGAGAAATCCCCGTTGTTGTACTGGTTGAATAAGTCCCAAAGAGTTGTTGACGCTGTTTGGCCTCGTCGCACGCTCACCAACCCCTGTTTGAACTCCGCCTGGGCAAGTTTTTTCGCCTTCTCAAGCTGATCAATGGACCGACGCAGTTCTTCGATATGGCTCTCTGATGTGTGGAGGCTATGCCGACTAAGGTCAGCGTAGTATGCTTGTAGCTTGGCTCCAGCAATTTCGTAGTTATCAAACAGGTTGGTGAACTTGGCGAGATACTCAGGGCTTATGGGGGATGAAGTGACTTGGAGCTCATGGGGCAACTGGATGAAGTGATGCAACATGGTCAGCGGAAGCAAGGCATATGACAATGGCCACCCCTTGCCGTTGCTGCTCTGGCTGATATGATCGGGGATCAGGCGGATGAACTGCAGGGCCTCATCCGCTGTCTGCAAAACCAGCCCTTCCTCTTCAAAAGCGTCGCTGTATAATGTATAATCATACTCAGGGTTCATCCGACATGAAGCAGTGCTCGGGTTGCCCTTGCTCTCAGCATCGAAGCAATTGCGAAGCTTGGTCAGATCGGCTTCGAATGCATCTTTGGAATCCTTGTAGTTGTCATCTTGGGATATGTGCTGCTTCACCTCCAAGACAGTATGCAAGCCCCAGTTGATTCCCAAAACCACATGGGTGCTATCGCGATTTTGAAGCAAGTCTAGATCAAGATGGTTGTGGAGTTCTAGGGCCATGAAGTTCAGTTTCTCCTGTACGGTAGAAACATGATGATGAATCGCTCCGCAAAGTATCAATTTGTCGCTCGAGACATTGCGAAGATAAACACCTGATCCCTGTGGTTTAATCAAACCAGCGAGAATGCTGGCGGCGGTGTCACATTGGATATCAAGCGCATTGTGGCGCTCACGATACGTTCCCCCAATTGTGACGGAGGTGTTGGTCTTCTCAGCAGGCCGTTCAGTCACAGCATCGACTGGAGGCACGCCAGTTAGAATAGAGCCTGGGTGAAAGATGTCTAATTTTGCATCATAAAGAGCCCCAAGAGCGACTTTCTGGCCGAGAGCCGGTCGGTCTGAGTTACTCATGTCTAGAGCAATCCAATGGAATCCGCATTCGCATAAGGGTGAAATTTTAGGCTGAGAATCTCAAGAGAGTCTTGCTTTAGGGTCTGAAATCAAAGAGGATGTAGGAATGATGTTGGCATGGCGGGAACGTTCATATGCCTGCCGCAATACTGTGGTTTCTTATCACGGCCTCAATGTGCTCTGCACATGTTATTAATCTCTTTTGCACTTTATATTGTGAAATCAATAATGAAATGGCCATCTTGTACCGGTACTTGCACAACCGATGCACCTCGTATTGTCATCGGCGTGCCATTACCCCTAAGCAGTAAGACTTCCCTCAGCTCCCACGCCACATGGACGCGCTACCGCCTAAGCTGACACCAAACTGCATCTTCCATTGGACACTGGCGAGCCACGACGCACTTTTCTAGACTCGTCACATCTGACCCCTCATTCCTGCGGACGCCTTTCAGGCAGAGCGGTAGGCGAAGCGATAGCGCTGTGGCCTACAACACACGCTACCACCATGCAGCGTGCAGATTTCGCACAAAGGTGCAGACTTTGATTCTCTGACGTCTACAAGGAATCTCTGCTCAGAAATGGCCGCAATACAGGCCACGCACGGGTATTCATCGTTACGGTGTTTCCAAAGCTGGCATGGAGCTTCATGAACGCACTACGCTTGATGTTCAAGTGGTCTACGATGATAACTCATGGAGGACATTTCGGCTCGACAAACAGAAGGCGTTCTCGGCGTCACCCTACCTATCACGACTCGGGCGAGCTCCAAATCATCTAATCACGTTACACGATGTTCACCCAATCGTCTTCGGTCTGTTTGATTTCTGGTTAAGCAGAAACCGGTCAGGTAGATGGTCCATCGATCCCAATCTGGGGACATATCTGGAGGAACCATGGCTATCCAATACCGCGCCAGCTTATGTTCTTGGGCAGAAACTGGAGGCCGGGGAGTTTTCTCGTTTCTGTTTTGAGAAGTTTATCCAGAACTGTGCACTTGCGCCTTTCGGTCCGTGGCATTACATTGAGAACCAGCTCCAGCCAGAAACACCACTTCGCAGGTTCAGCAATCACTGGGTTGTCTGGAACGCGAGTATTTTACGGGAGAGTAATCATGAATACGTAGGACTGAAAGCGCTGGAAAGCCTGAGCATAGTGGATGAGTACACTGGGGACCCGCGAAACATTGACCCTGAGCATTGGTATACCGCAGGTTGTGGAGATTCTGTAGCTCCAAGGTGTTTCCATAACCCCAGACATCGCCAAGTCAGCACAGAGGCACGAGCACGACTGGAGAGGCCTCTTCCAGAGGAATGGGGTCACTCAGAAGAACAAGCACATCACTACCTCGGCGGTATACCGAGACCACCATCGCCATCACTGCCACTGCCACCATCACTACCACAACTGCCACACCTGCCACCATTGCCACCATTACCTCCATTACCTCCATTGCCATCATTTCCGAGGCCTATGCCTCCTCGTTCTCTATCACCTTCACTTGGGCCTTCTCAGCGGTACAGAAGCAACACAGCACTAAGAGGAGGGGGCCTGCTACTCAGAATGATTCGGGCATTTTTGACCGTAAGTAAAAGTCCGTCGTTGCTTATTTTAGAGGCCGATACTCACTAAAGTGCGCACGTAGCTTTGCTCTCTTGGATGTTTCGCCATCTGTTTCTCGTTGTGTGTTGTGCTGCTGATGAAGGACGACCATGGCGTAAACTGGAAAACAATAACATACACCATGTTCTGTATCGTATTTGGCATTCTATTCAGCATCTTCCCATGGGTTCCAGAGATACTTCCACTATATTTCTGGTTTGCAATTGGCGACGGGATAGCTCTGGCGGTTGGCTCATCAAGATGCAACCAAGGTTCCAGTGCCGACATCTGTCACATGGTAAAGGCTTTGACTGTGTTCGTCTGGTTCACTGTCCCGATTTCAACTCTCCTCTTTGCGGAAAATCTATATAGAAAAGGTTCAATATGAAACAATGAGATGTGTTTGACCTAATGTGTCTATTCAAATACAACTAACACCAAACACACATCAGTTATCGTCTGTGGCCACATCGAAATCCTTCAAGTCTTAATTGTCCTTCCAGCCCTCGCAATGATTTCGCCGGCATGGAAATCAATAAAGAAATCACGCATCTCCCCAGTCTCCTTTATTTCTTCGTCTTCATCAAGGTAGGCATCTAGGATCACCTGCTCGACCTTTTTCGCGCCGGCTTTCAGGCTACGCGCGCCCAGCTTTTTGTGGTAATGTTCCTGGGCCAGGGCCAGGCAGACAGTGGCGTCTTTCCGGATCGACAGTCTTATGTTCCCAACAAGCTGTTCTTCGCGTCCCTTTGCAAGGCTGACTGGTCGTCGAAGGTCTTCAGCCAGTTCTAATAGACATTTATGCGTGATTACAGCCTGTTCTCCAGGCGTAAATGGCAAGAAGGGGACGAATTCTGACACGCGCCCGGTCACTGGTGCCTGAAAAAATGGTAAGATTGAGACGTGACCCGGAAGTCAAGGTTCAAAAGCACTTACATCGAAATATTGGAGAAAACCCTCTTGAAGTTGGCGAGAGAGCTTCTTCGAGAGCCGTGCTTGCTCTGACTGATCATGTCCAAAAATCGCTTCATTCTTCAGACAAAAGTCAAGAATGGTCTCATCCAGGGCATTTGTGGCCATGATCCAGATTGTGTTGGAGCAATCAACCCGGTTATTATTGCGCCTATCACGATATTCGCCTTTTTCAAATCTGTTAGCAGAGCAGAAAACGACCCGGTTGTTCACTGGGCTATCAGCTTACCGTTATCCCAAGGAAGCAAAAGCGATTGATGAATCTCCCTCGTGGTTTTTTCAAATTCGTCCAAGAAGACGATACATCTTCTTCCAGAGTGATTTGCCAAAAAATTGTTCAAAGGGGATCCATTTTCCGAGCCAGAGTAGGGCGCCCTCGGGCCCCAAAGTTCGATCTCCCGGTTCATCACTGTACAATCCACAACCTCTAGGCTCAAAGAGAGGAGCATGCCCAGCTGACGAGCAAGTTCAGTCTTGCCATGCCCACTGGGACCGGCGAAGCAAAGAACGAGAGGCTTCTTTGATGGCAACGTCAGATAAGCCACCAGTCTACGAATCAAGAAATCAGTCGCAATAGGCTGACCGATGATGAAGTACGGAATTCCAAGGAGCCTTTCGGAGTTCCGCAGACGAGCCACTTGCCGTCTTTTCTCAGATGGCGGTTTCGTCTTGGCTGCTCTGTCTAAGTAATACCTCTGGGTAATGTTGGCTTTGCTTAATTTCTTGGTTGCCGCGTCTGTGCACCAGTCTGTCAGTTTGTTGTCCTCCTCCCCTGAAGCCTCGGTCGGTGGATTTCCCGGCTGATCTCTGTCATAGGGTGAATAAATCCACGTCGGTATAACCTTAGGCGAAGCGCCGTAGCTCAGAAGTATGGCTACTATCTTAGACGTATCCCTTTGGGAGATCTCCCCATGGATAATAGAAAACGCAAGCAACGGAACGCTCGATGAGCCATGAAGGGCGGAAGGGTCTGCCCCATAGTCCAGTAAAAGCCGCACCATGCTATCATTATGGGAGGATACTGCGTAAAAGATGGGCGGTATATCGTCCACCTCGTCGTTTATCTGACTTTTCACGGACTCTAGCCCGTATGAATCGAGATAGTTTCGAACCTGTTGAGGTGCTACATTATGTTGGACCGCGGCCGCAAGAACACTGGGGCTGAAAGTATCATTTTCTTCTGTCACCACTTGTGAGAGGTCCCCAGGATGTGGGAGTAGAGGCAAACTAAAATCCCACTCCGCTGGCTCAGTTGACACAGAATCCCCCATCTCGGAAGGCTCTGGGCTCGCGTTCTTGGTATCCAATGCTGGCTGTGGTTGCAACAGATTTAAAGGGATGCCTGCTTGACTCATATTACTGGGCATACCATATACGGGCGAATTCAACCCTTCACCGGGATGTAGGGAGGCTCCAGCGCCACCTTCGATGGGCGACTGAGGGGTCTTAATCGGCGCTGGAGGTTGCGAGTTTCTTGACTCGGGTCTGGCCCGGGGTTCCTCTCCTCGAGAAGCATTAGACCCCAAGCTGTGGCTCGAGCTTCTATTCGACTGTTGGTCTTGGTCTCGGCCAGGTGTCATGGATTCTGACGAGGGTGTCGAGGGGGTTGGGGGAGTCGCAGATTGAAGGAACCGTGTATACAAGTAATGGTGCCTTTTAGCCCGGGCAACATCATTATTTGCACGCTGTCAAAAGCATTTGTCAGATGGCTTGTATTCAGCGGTAGATAACGAAATAGCGATGCCACAAGCCCAAGCCTGTAATGTCCATCGATTACTTACTCCAAGGAGGTACACGGCCTTCTCTTCTGTGCAATCACATCCGTCCATGACATCTTGTATCTGATCCGGGCTCGGCATTTGTTCTTCCATCCTGAATATTCGATATCGAAAAACTTAGGATAAAAGGCGTTGAAGAAGCAAGTACACTGGTGCGGACACTCCTAGAGTTAGTCTAGCAGCCTGGCGAGAATATGCAGTTAGCGATACAAGCCCATCTGCCAGGCATCTCTAACCCGGCATTAATTTTCTCTCTAAGCGCTCATCCGTTGCATCATGAAGCTCTGGGGCTAAATGAGACATTGTCAGCATTGCACATTTGTGCGTGATTGTACCGGTACTTGTTAGCCTGCAGCCGGATAACAAAACATTGTGGCACTCCGACGGCCTCTCAATTGGTTGGATCCTGCGTACACCCATGTTGGGCACCTCTGCAGCTCTTCAGCTCCCTACGTGGTGACTCTGGGACAATGTGAGGCTGACCAGCTGATTGGAAAGCATTGCATTTATTGTTGTTGCTATCAAGTGAAGCTACCTGGAATGGTCACTACCTGCCCCTGTCTCCTCATCGTGGCCAGTAGGGCCTCCTGTCCCTGAATCCTCTTATCCTGGTCCGCAATCAGCCCTCGAAGCTTCCTGTTCTCCTCGCTAGTCTGTTTCGTGTTCCTCGACGCCTGCTCCCCAATAGTCTGGTGCCACGTCAATAGCCTCCGGAGCTCTGCCACATCCTTAGCCTGTGAGTCCTGAACGAGGGAAGTAGTCTGCAGGCTATTCAATTGCGCCTCGGCGGCCTCCCGTCGCTGTTGATCGCTAGTACACTGTTTTCGTAGCATCTCAAGCTGGGTGGCCATCTCCTGTAGCTGGCTCTCTTTGGTCTTGAGCTTCGCCTCCCAATCTTTCTGGCTTTGCTGTGTTGCTGCCGTAGATGCTCCATTTCTGGACATGCTTTCGAACCGATGTTGTAGAGTTCGGGTCTCCGAGATTTGCCTGCTGAGGGCTTTCTCCTGACCCTCGTTCAATCGACGTAGATTCACCAATTTGTCGTCTTTTGTCTTGATCTCTCCCAGCAGTCGCATATTCTCTTCGTTCAATTTGATGATTTCTTCATCTTTCCCAGCAGAAAGCCGCTGCTCTTCATGCAGTTTATCTTCGATCACAATGATGTCGTCAAAAACTTTATGAATACCATTAAGTGCTTCATCTCTCTCTCGCGTGATGGCCTGCAGGTCCCGCTCAAGCTGCTTGACCCTGATCTGTGTATCTTGAGGAACCATGCTTTCTCGCTCTTTTGTTTTCACCATTGCGGTGCTCAGCAAATGGGTGGGTTTGTTGGGAATTGGCGGCTCGTTTTGCCGCTCGCTTCTATTTCGCACTGGACTCCTGCCAAAAATCTTCTCCTGGTCCATGATGCTCGCTAACACGCACCTTTGTCGATGAGTAAAATCGCACACGAATATTGAGGTGGGGTTTGTGAACGAGAATCAAGCAGTCAAGTTCGCGTCTTTTCCGCTGGGGAGAAATTGCCGCCTAAAATTAGCCGTAAAGAGAAATGCCGGTGAGACTGAGACAAGAAATGCAAAGATTAAAATATATATGCTGTCAGCCTCACCGGTGCGTTATGCACGTGATACCTGACAGCTCGCTGGCATGGCGCCCAAGGCAGACTTACAATCAACCTATCGTCAACCGTTGCCACTAAATTAGGCAACAAGTCAACAAGCTGGCATTTCCATGTTCTGCCCTTGCTTCTTCCGTTTCTTTCCACGTGTATGTCTCCCCTCTGCCGTCTCATGGTCACCAGCTCATGCAACACTAGCCCACATCGTAGACAAGGAACAGAAAGCACATATGCCAAGGGCTATAAAATATATGAAGAATTAAAACCAGAAGTTATAGTATATAGAGGTTTAACTTCATAGGTTCAATGTTAGATTCAATAGTCCATGTCGTTTGATAGCTTGAATCAATGCTAATTTTTCATGTTTCGGCCTCTGAAACTTCGATCTCAGTGTGTATAGATCTAGAACATGGACGAGAGTTCGAGGTATTCTCGACAGCTCTTCTAATAAAGTTTATTACTGGTACTGCGGGAAGAAGCAGCACATCCACAGCCCCTCGGCATGAGAAATGCTGGGCAGTGATGGAACTCGACCGCAGCCCATCCAGGTTAGGTTATACATCATACCAGACACCCTGACCAGAATTCATGTTACAGGAGATGATATATATCAAGTATGTGTTAAGTAATTTCAATATGAAGGATTGACAGTATTTGGCACTTCAAAAAAAAATCAACCTAAAACTCCCCTGTGCACAGTCCGGGACCGGATCTTCTCAGAGACTCAGCCCGCCTAAGAATTGCACAAGAGAGAGAACCTATATTCTGAACAAGATACACAAAACGAAGTGCTATCCACTGGTATTATTTTTGGTTGGAGGTTATTTCATTGCAAAGAATATCGACACGAGATATGATCCCACGTTGAGATTTCCAACAAGGTGGGAAACGTGAGCTTGATTTTGTAGGTATGGTCTATCGCGGCCACACCACATCTGCCTCAACCGGAGCAAGGAGGCACACTCGGCACTCTATATCGACGTATGCATACGCCACTTACGAAGTTTGAAACTCGGCATATAGAAATCTATCAACGTTATTTTAGAGTTTGGGCGCAACCACCGCGTAACCCCATTTATCCCCGTCGAATGAGTACTCCTGCTCATGGATGCTTCTGAAACACACACCACCAAGGTAGCCCTATCAGCTATGTCCATCCGGCTGGCCATGATCTGATAATCTCACTTCTCAGCCTCAGCGTCGGAGAGAATTTAGCGCTGGCTGGGGCAGATTCACGCCCCCTGCCACCGCCGCCCTACTCGAATGTCTAGCATATGAGTCAGCTAACACGAGGAAGACAAAGAGTAACAAGAGACAGCCGTTGCCATTCCAATGAAATGGAAAATGAATAGCAGCCCTCTTGCCTGGATTTGCCGACTGTGAGCTGTGAGGATCGCGGAATGACGTTGTTCACAGTCATTCTAGGAGGAATGACGTAGTTCTGGTGGAGTGACATAGCTAAAGGGCCTAAGCGTGCAACCATGATCCATCGGGGCAACTGTACGAATGGGGAATTGTTGGAAGCTATTTGCTCGCTCTGTAAGATGCACGGCAGATGCAAAGCACTCGCCCTGTAGTACCAGAATATGCCCAGGTACACTTCACACGGGCAGTCACTTCTGTGGGCAAGGACGGAGGCCTGGAAATACGCGCCCAGCTGGGATCAGGTTATTATATTCAAGTTGGTATGCATATCGGCGCCAGTACAATCACCAAAGGTCTGCTGTGCCTCATCCCTGTGCTTTCAATGAAACTCCACTGACTAGACGGAGTGGCATTATTATTGGTGCCACGAAACACGCCAGCAGACACGAAACGGGGGCGATCTGCTCAAGGCCAGAGAGCCACTCACTTTAAAGGAAAGGTAAAGGAGGATCAAGCCAGGGGGCGACTCCTGTAATCAATCACGCCGTCATATCGCCGTTGGGGCGCATTCGTCTCGTCCCGCTAACTTCCACAACGCTTGCTCCATGTCTTTAACAGCAGCTGCAGTAGTCGCGGGCCAAGCCAGCTAGCTCTTCGGCAGAGGCTGGGTTCGTCGTTTCCAAGAGTTGCAAGCGCTGGCTAATTACCCGCCATGTGTTGAGGAGCCGTTGTGGATCAGCGACTAGACAGGGATCGCGGTGTTGTTTTACCGCGTATGGGGGGGCCGAAAATGAGGCCCTCCAGAAGTTCCTTGTCTGTTCATCAAAGAACTTTCCCTGCCATGGTTGAAGCATCATTCAAGACTTCTGCGACGTATCACACCCTGTGTGCAGCAAGCAACCTGCAATGTTCTCAGATGGCATCCCTCCCTCCAACCTAGAGAGAAGGTAGAGCAACAGGTTATAGGCAAGACACTCGATTCGGGATTGGTAACCCTGATGGGATGGGTAGTGCCGAAGGATCAGACTCGTCTCAGCCTAGCAATGCCATGGTGTAACTGTTGGCAAGCCCAGGAATCGGCAGTAAAACACACCGGATGCCGATTCCCTCCTGATCCTCGTCGTCCCTGCTGCCCCCAATAGGCTGCGGACGAGAAATGGGTCGAGGTGTTTCGAAACCCGCCAAAATCTCACGCATTGAGGCAAGGCCGGGATTTGAGTGCAGCCAACTGGGGAATTAGTCCACGTAAACCGAAAATAGCATCCGTCCATCGCTAAAGATATGGCTTGCCTTCCCTGTCGATCCTGCTAACACGTGAGGCGTCGCACGTAACCTAACAATCATACATACACCCTTCTCCGTCTCTTCCATTCCTCTCAAGCCTAGTTCAAGTATGCTCAGGTGCTAGATAACCTCGCCCTTGGTCAGCTTCGGGAAAGGAGCCAAAGATGCACGGCATTCTCCTCGCTTCGCTCCTCTTACACCTGGTGCCGAGGACGCTCGCCGACTCGAATTCAACATGCTACTTTTCCAATTCTAATGCCGCCAAGAACGATGTCCCTTGCGATCCCAACGCCGAAGTGAGCGCCTGCTGCTCCAAGGCGGAAGGCACAGTATGTCTTGAGAATGGTCTCTGCCAGGATAGCGGCGGTCACAAGAGTCGTGGATCGTGTACAGATCAGAAATGGGACTCAGAGTGGTGTCCTCAATTTTGTCTGGGTAAGTTCAAGTTCTACCGCAGAACAACATTGAAACGTAATTAGAAGGGCCACTGACATTTCTTACGGCGCAGACACCGATGCCAGCGACGGTGTTGGCATGAAGTCGTGTTCATCCACCACCAAGAAGGACACCTCCTACTGCTGTTGGTACTCTGCCGATAGCTGCTGCTCGACTGGAATCAACCGCATTGAACTGCTGCCCTCCAACCCGGGTATCTGGGCATCATATGACAACTCTTCAAGCTCATACGACGTTGTCAAGAGCCGCACGTTGGTCTCGAGCTCGTCCACACAGGCGTCAACAAGCACATCATCATCATCATCGTCGTCGTCGTCGTCAACCTCCGCCACCAGCAGCGCAACTACCACAACATCCGCTTCCTCACCGACCTCGACCAGCGACGAGAGTACTTCAGGCAGCAGCAGCGGCGCGCTGACCACAGGGGCGAAGGCGGGGATCGGAGTCGGCGTCACGCTTGGTGTGATCGCCCTGCTCTGCCTTGGGTTCTTCCTGAACCGCTGGTACGAGGGAAAGAAACGGGCAGACGCGCAGGCGCAGGAACAGGACTATCCTCACTCGCCCGGCAAGTATTCCGAGTTGGCGAGCTGGGGCACATCGCACGCGCACTCGTCGTCGCATGGCACCTCTTACGCAACCCCCCATGTAACACCACACGCCTCGCCGGCATATGATCCTCGATACCCCGTGGGGCCGTCCATGCCTCCAGTTGAGATGCCCGCCAGGCACACTCCTGCTGTCGAAATGCCCGCTCATTAAAAATGACGGGGTTTACTAGGGGGCTGGCGTTTGCATTTTACGGAGCTTGCATGGCCATCTAGTTTCTGGGTCTTCGGCGCTTTACTTTCGGATGTGCATGGTAGCGATGATGAGTATGCTTTTAAACATGGATTTTGCGTTTGGTACGAAAAGTAACGGTTAGCAACTGTCGCTCTGCAAGGTAGCTATCGAATATACATAATAACAAATCCTTCAACGGCTGGTGCGTTTCTTGAAGCTCGATGTACAAAATGCCACCCGAGCTTGCGTTTAAAATGCAAGGAATAACTATGCCAGATTGGTAAAAGCTTTGGCGGTACTGGATTTGAATTTGGTGTATGATTCACAAAGAATCAGCAATGATTGCCTACACGACGACTTCATTCGAGGGGAGTTACTATCAGAGTAATGTCAGATTGTGATGACAATTGGTTGTGAAAAGTTGAATTCAGGACTCAAATCATCCGCAGCAACCTCAAACACAGATCATACCCAGCACATATCGTCTTGTATTTGTTCCCCCGAGATGCATTGCCATGCCTCATATCAACAATTGGTTAGCTTCTAATGAACAAGCTTACAAGACACCCTTGATAGAACCAACTCGATGCGCACTCGGCCGAGCCAATAGCTCCCCGTCAGCTCGCCTAATTAGACATCAGACCTAAAATCTCACCGCCAGGAGAATTTTGCAGATCCACCTGAACCTTGATACTTCCCCGGAGATCTACAGGTTGGTTGTGTTACACTCCATCCGCACCCGGCTCCTAACATGTTTCATGAAGCTATACCAGATGTGGCACGTTCTATTGGTTTGAGTATTATAGTATCAGATTGAAATCTGGTTCCTGCAGTAATACGCAGTGAGTTCTTGAGGTATACTTTCCTACTAGAGTTACTTATTATTGTCCAAGGACTAACCTC